CTTAGCTACAATAGCAAACCCAGAGTTAACCGAAAGTACTTCTTGTACAAGCTCTTTACAGCCAATTTTTGGGTCGCAGACTGCAAGGTAGATGGCCTTTGTTCTTCTGTGACTTTAAAGTAACAGTAGGAGGGGGTGGTGTTGTTGCTGCTGTGGTTGTGCCTATATTCTCAGGCACTAAGGCACTCTTTATGGTCTGTGCGAATGAAATCTTTTCCACAGGAGCCAGAGAGGGGGTTGAGATCGTAGGAGACATAAGGCCATCTCTGCCCCTTTGGGAGGCTCCAAGAGCGGACGGTAGTGGAGGCGGGGTCCCTGAGGTGTATGTTCGGTGGAAAGCTAAGCTAAGGTCGGCCACCTGAGTGCAAAAGGCCCTGAGGTAGGGCAAGAGTTCCGGGGGAGCCCTATCAAGNCCCTTTGGGAGGCTCCAAGAGCGGACAGTAGTGGAGGCGGGGTCCCTGAGGTGTATGTTCGGTGGAAAGCTAAGCTAAGGTCGGCCACCTGAGTGCAAAAGGCCCTGAGGTAGGGCAAGAGTTCCGGGGGAGCCCTATCAAGAGCAGTGTTTAGGTGGTGGTCAACGGCTTCCGCGGTACCTCCAAAGAAGATTTGGCCTATAGCACCACGTTCTAGAGCTTTGGTGGTTCCAGAAACGAAGTGCTGCTGTATATTGGGTAGTGGGGGCATCGGGCGTACTCCCCCCTTTTTCAGGCCCCTTCCAACGGGCGTGGGCGAAATCGGAGGCTTCCCTGGAGGAGTCTCCATGGAGGGAATTTTAGCTTGTCAAACGAGAGTAAGAGAGATTGAGCGTTTTAGAACAAAATTTTCAATCTACGAAAAAGGTTGAGATGCTAACTATACTATATATGTTTATATAGCTAGGGGCCTCGGCTATTTAGTATAGCGTAGTAAAGGGGAAAAATCTATAAATTAAATCGGTGACGTCGGCTAATAATTAATACAGGATTAGTCCTTAGAAGTTAGAAGAGGTAGAATAAAAAGTAGACCTAAAAATCCCTTGTAAAAAGGGGGACAAAAGTATAAATTCGGCTAAAGTGGCCCTAGAAGTCGCTAAAAACAGCCCCTCTAGCGGGGGCGAATTAGCCTTGAAAACGCTAGTAAAAGTCCCTCGCAAAGGGGACAAAAGTAGCTCTAGAAGGTCGCTAAAACCAGCCCTTTTAGTAGGGACGTATTTAGCCCTGAAAAGGGTAGTAAAAGTCCCTTGCGAAGAGAGCAAAAGTATTAAAAAGTAGACCTGAAATTTGCTTTGAAATTAAGGCTCTTTTATAGTATGAACGTGTAATTTATAGCTCTTTCGCAAGATGTTTTATATATACTCGAGAGGTGTTAGCTCGAGGGGGGTATAAGCCCTAGCGAGGTTCTTAGTATCGATAGTAGTACTAAGTGGGGTGTCGCTGTCGGTTGGCGAGTATTCGAAAGAGGGGAGAGAGGAGGGTAATTACTATACCGCCTCCTAAATCTAGGTGTTCGAGGAGGGGGGGGAGCGCGGATCTATTATCTATACTCTATAAGGCAGGCTTTTATATAACTTCGATGTTATATAACTCTTCGCCTTTATAGTCTGTCGTAAGATCCTTCTACAGTAGTCGCTATTAGTAGGCGAGTATTCGAGAGAGGAGGGAGAGGGGGTGTCGCTATACCGCCCTCCTGAATCCAGGTGTTCGAGGAGGGAGTGCGGATTTGTTGTCTATAATACACGGGATTTTATATAACTTCGATATTATACAACTCTTTACCTTCGTAGTTTCGATTGTAAGATCCTACTACAGTAGCTACCCCCTAGCGCTAGAATTCCTAGTAAAAGGGTCTATTTTATAGGTTGTATAGGAGCATACTCGTTAAGGGCTCGATAGTGGTCGGAGAGGGTTTAGATATAATTATACGTTGATATCTAATTATCTCTAATCTGTACGACACCGATCAGTGTTAGTATAGAGATATCAGAGATATCAAGGAAAGGAAACAATAAAGGTGTAAAAACAGTGGTTCTAATAATCGTATTGTTCTGTCTATCCTATGGAATCCAGGCATATATATAGCCCTGGATTGCCACGTAATTGAACACGTAAATATATTCCGACAGAAACCAGGTAAGATTTCTATAAATCAGTAGTAATAGTACAAAGGCCAAAGAATGACAGGTTATTTTGTCCACTTGGTGGCATGTTTAAATAGTTCGAACCAAAATACAGCATGCTTCATATGCCACGTATACACCTCAATGTGATAGTGTAGTCTTTGCAGACTTTGACAAAACCAAAACAGGCAGTGGTCTAGACTCCCATGTCCCTCTTGTATGTTCGCGATGGTGCCTCTCCGCATTTCTGCCTAGTAATTTCTCATTGATTGCAACATTTTTGACTTCTTTCAGGGTCTCTGATTTGACGCCATTCCACTCCACAATCAAAGGGCAAGTATCACTTGGAGGAGTGAGCACTTTCAAAGTGCCATGATCGCCTAGAGAGAAGGAAGTTCCTTTCCTGACATCTGTCGCATCCCACACAATCTTTCCCGCCCTATCAAGTTTTCCACGCTTCAACTTCTCGCTCTTGAGGATTGAGTCATTAAGTTGAAGAGATGTCTGAAGTACTGGGTAAGCTCTCGAGTTTGACTTCTTAGCTGTGCAAAACGCCTGAGAGCACCTTCTCCCGTAACCCCCGTGGTCAAAGTCAAGACATGCCATTCCTACAACGGCCATTGTCAAAGACTTCTCCGAGTCTTCTAGAAACCCAGTCCAAGTATATTCAGATCTGAATAAAGTCACAATCCATTCTTCAAAGAAACATGAGAAGTGTTTATCTGGACCTGAGGTTGACGGTTGTTGATCACCGCGATCATCTGATTCACCATCAGATTCTCCATCAGAGTCGAAAGAGTCGACCCAGAAACCTCTAAGCTCGCGACTCTCTTCGTTGACACCAGTCTCCTCCAATGCGTCCAGACAAGTTGAGATAGCATTCCCAACGTTTTCTCGATAATCTGGATTACCTTTCCAAAACCTCCGAAACGACTTCGGGCACCTTAGAGCCTTGAAATACGAGTACTCGCAATCTTTCGAAATCCATGGAAATGCAATGCCATGAAGATAATTGCGTATGGTAGGGGAACCAAGGAGATGTAACAATCTTCTCCTCCTCGCATTACCCGTACAAAGAGATATTTCAACCCCACTAAATGCCTCGAGATCCATTGGGTTCCGGAAGTTGTGCCTCCACCGTTCGACTAAGGCGTCCTTCATCGTATGGCCTCCTCGACGTTTGTAGGTGACAATTCCTGCAGCGGAAATAATTCCCATAGCTGTTCCCTGAACCTGCACGGCGTGAGAATCAATGTATCGTTAAGACCTAGATGTATTCCGGCTCCTCAGCCCTCCCTGCTGGTACAACTTTGTCTTCATGCTAGACAGTCGTGCTAAAGACGACGTGCAGTTTTCATTGACTTGAAGGCCAAGATCGACGCTTGCACCTATCAAGAGGATATCTGACTCGAGGAAATATCGTCTCTGCAGTGAAGACTGGTGCAATTCAAGCTCGCTGTCGTTCCAATCCGAACATGCTATCCAATGACAGAAGACTTCCGAAAAGAATAAATCCATATCCACTTCCTGATCACTGTTATTTCTTGACCAAGGCACGATGGATCCGTTGCCAATGTCGAATTGCTTAATACATTCGGGTTTAGAATTCTCCATAATTCTCCATGAAGGGCCTCAAAGATCCGTGAGAGCTTCAATGGTCGTCGACAAGCTAAATCTTTCTTCTCCATTGCTCGAAAAGTCCTGATGAAGAACCCAAGGTTGTTTCTTACCCAGAAGCTTGTCTAAGCATTGTAGCCGACGACGTCGGTAGGAAAATGTCTTGAAACACGATACTGATGAGGCGATATCTCGAAGGGTCTTATCGTGGTAGATGAACCTGCGGGGTATCTGAAGTGATTCAACCTCGATATCCATAAGATCCAGGTCGAATCGCTGAATATGCGTTCCAGCGTAGGAAAGCGTAATCAGGTCAAGAGTTTGAAAAGCGCATTGCCAGATAAAAGAAGCATTATCATACAAGTGCATAGAGGGAAAATGGAGCAAAAGGCCCATAGGACTTAGGAGGCCCATCGATCGAGTAGTAACGAGGCGTTCCCGATCTTGACTCTCGATGTACCAATTGGCAGACCTTCGAGTAGATGCTACCTTCTGTATCTGCGAGATTCTGATTACCGAAGTCTTTAGAATATCTTCAATATCTTGCACAAGTTCGAGAATTGGTTGGACGTCAAGTCGCAGGATCTTAGCGACATCTGTTCGATCCTGGTCCATCGCCAACAATGATAAAGAAACACCACAAAAGCCAGAGTTCTGAAGGCAAGTTACGTTCTTCCAAGCCCGTACAGCAAGGTTGTACATTTCCCATAGATTAAGAAGCTTGTCATATTTCGTAGAACGGATAAGGGCTATGATTTCTTCGCTATCGACACTGAGCGGTGTGGACACAGCAGGAGGCTGAAGGAACGAATCGTCATCGACGGCGCCTGAAGAGCAACCACTTTTTTATGCGCCTATACCAGACTCTTTCCAATGCAGCAAGATTTTGAAAGTAAGCCTTGGGGTCTGAAATCCGTTCTTCTCGTGGTTCATCATCAAGGTCTAGGACTGATGAGAGGTCTGCCGAGTCGTCATTCCAGTCTGAATCGACGTCAGGTGCGGTGATGGTGGTGGTTGAAGTGGAGCTAGAAGTATGAGAGTTTACTTCAAGGTTAATACTCAGACGTGAATCTGCAGAAGGACTTCTCAATTTGGTATTCGTTCCAGCGCTTGTGCTATCGTTCTCTTGACGCATATTGGAAAATGCAGAAATAGTAGAAGACGACTTTCTTCTCGCGCTCGTCTTTCTGCCTTCTTCGGTAAGAAGCGGAGTGGTGTGCGCGTCTGAGGCCTCTTGCGAGCGCAACTCATGTCTTATTTCACTTCCATCATCTGTTTTAACAGCTCGTGCTCCAGTGCCTATAGAGTCTACTTGGGAAAATTAGTGTACAGGTATAGCCACCGGTAGAAAGTATGGCTTACACTTGGATGTAGGCCTATCAGGATGACTGGCATCTGGGGTATTGCTGGAAGCAAGCATAACCTTCTCGCCAGAGAAAGAAAACACATGGAGGGTTTTCATGAATATCATGGTTGAAGGACATAACACTTTGCAAGTCCGGATCACAGTGACCCTGACTATTCATGGAATCATCGTCTGTGTCGACGACAGTATCAGCACCGTAAAGAGTGTTGTCGGGACATTTTTCTGGATCGCACTACATTTGATTAGCATTTTTACACTGCGCAATGCCGTGATTCCTAAGAGAGTCGGGCATTACTCTGTACACGCCTAAGTTATAAAAATATTATTATATTAACGACCTCATACAACTAAATCAATTATACAAATAGTTTAGAACAACCAATACTTCTCCCTCATCATTAACCTGAGTAAAATAGGACAATTGATTTACTTGTACCAGACTTGTAGTATAATAACTTTTGATAGCGTGTACGGAGCAATGACCAGGTTTCTTACCTTTTCGCGAGCCTTTTGATGCTTCTCACAAATAGACCTTGGAACCCGCCTGATACTCTTCGCACTCTTTCGTTGTGCATCAGTTAGCGGTCCTTTTCTGCCCTTCTTAATCGCGTAACTTCCTTCGAGCATCGATGAAGAAGGGTACTCCCGATGACGCTTCAATTGACGTGACCCGGAGGATGAAGAAGGATATGTTGACAATCCATCGTATGGTTCAGGAGTTTTGTGAGCTACGTCTTCATTATTCGGTGAAGGACTTCTGATGCCTATAAGGTTATGTTCATTGTCGTGACCCGCGCTGGGAACCATTGAATTCTGAGGAGTGGGAGCGTTGGTTTTTGCTCTCGGCTTTCTGCTTTCTTCTGAGACTGAAGGGGTGATATATACGTTACCCGCGGGAATTTGTGAAGGGGCAAACAGGGGTAGCTGCTAAAACAAATTTTAGTATTTGGCTCTTCCGTTATTGGTAGGATGTTATAAATTACCGAATTTTCAACCTTCGCTCGCTTGCGACGACCACCTTCAACGATACTGTCAAAACTAATCTCCGCATCTTCAATCTCTTGGCTTGTAGCTCTGCCAGAAGTAGAGCTTGCATTCAAAAGTTGCCTTTTGTGAGATAGAGGGCCATCATCGGCTGGTGGACCAGGCACATAATCCGGCAGAAATTCTACTACCATACCCTTCTTCACATCTTTAGCCGCGTTTCTTCCATCTTTCACCCAAAGTTTCCGTGGCTCTTGTAGGGCAGACGGAGGAATAATTTCTCCTCTTGCGATGAATTCCTGTCGCGTCAATTCGAAATCTGCCATCGAGTGCCGAAATTGTTTCTTCGGTACAGCAGAGGCGGGTCCTGATCCTTGTCCTGCGATGGAGAATTCGGAATCTGGTTGTGTTACAAGATGTTCCTCGGTCTTTGCTTGTTCATCAAATCCGAATGTAGCTTTACCGTCCTTTCCTTTTTTATCCTTTTTGGCAGTGGTAGAAAACATTCCCCAGTCATCATGCCCGAGGACAGTCTTTTGATTGAGATCCTTATCTTCATCAGCCATCGTTAAATCGTGGTGAACTAACGATCTCAAATTCGTGCGAAAGCACCAAAATACACGACAACGATCGATAATAATGGCCCTTTTCTTCAAAGTCGATTCCCACGTTATCGTTTGGCTTCGACTGGGCTCTGGTAGGGGTATTCCGCTTCGTTACGTTCTACGATCATAGGAGATTCAATATGTTCGTGAGAAGGTATCAATTCTCAAGCTACACCCAATACAAATCAGTACAGCATCCATGAATACAACACTGTAATGTTTCCTGAGACCAGATGCCCTCCAAACTCACCTCAGCTCAAATCTATATATCCTGGGAGCGAGGCTCGCAAAGTGGTACTCCCCAAGAAAAGATCGCGTTAAACAAACTTTGGAACGCAGGTTGTATGCCTGGTATAGGGATTGAAGAACAGTAATGTAGACGGGGAAAAGAAAAGCTACTGAGCTGAAAAACGAGATATTTCATAGGATTTATGACGATATGTGTGGTAATACAGTGACTACACAGCCTGGTTGACTGCGCCGCAATGATGCCACCTTGTACTTCTATTTAAACGTTTAAACGCGTGGTTGTACAATATGTATTGGAGTTTGGGGTTCATTTGGACTCTACTTCTCCGAAGCTCTCCAATATTCTCGATTGAAATTTGAACGGCCTCTGCGCTCTTTCCTGGTCAAGAGAGAAACATTGTTTCAAGTTGGAAGCTGACATCGAGATTCATTTGAACCATTCTATCGTTTCAAAACCCTACCGTGATGAAAAAAAAGCAACCAAAAAAAAACAAATGAGCAAACGAGTATGAGAAAACAAGAAGACAGAGATAAGATATAGCAATTGATCGCGAATTATTTCAGGCACTAATAAGTACCTGATTTATGATTTGGCAATAAGGCGAGTGAGGTACAATGTATTGTTGTAAAACAATTGAACCCAGGTCCTGTCGCAACATCAACATGTTGTTTATTATTCACGTGACCTAGCACTGGCATACAAGCGTTTGTAGACTAGACGAGTACCCTACCTTCTCTTCTCAAAGCAATTGGACACCAAATAAGAACTCATTGATATTTTTACAAGTACTGGGTAAACCGACAGGCCCGCTCCTCATAATTCCCCACAGAGGCTAGAGCCATTATCTTTACTCTATATACATATAGCATAAAGATGTTATTTCAAATGCCTTTGTAGAAATAAAATAGTAACAAGTAGTTCAGGATAATCAATAATCTTCACTTTTTGTTAGCCTGCGTATACTAAGATTTATCGTATATACAGAGGATTAATGAGGTCCCTTACCTTTACATATAAATCGGACAAATCAACTGTTTTAGAAAACTATATTGTAGGGTTAAAACCCATCTTATAACAAGTCGTATGCAAGGGGACGCGGAGGGGAAGCACGCGAGCTTTCCAGACTCTTTATTATTGCACTGGAGAAAGTTCTTGTCCAAGAAGATTTGAATGGAATTAATAGCTTTTTCAGCTAATTTTTCTGACTCTTTCGAAACAACAAATCTTGAGGTCAGATGTTATTCTAGACAACAAGTTCTATACCAATTATACGTAGGGGAATAATGTATGGCTTGAATTGCATATTTTTAAGCCTTCTAAGGTCGTTGAACAATAAAATATCTTTTATCACCTGGGCAGTAGCGAAGCTCTGAAGACAAGCACCTGCCCCTTTTTCGGGGTCTTCGGCTTCGGCTCAATCTACGTCCCGTTTGAAGCGGTAATGATTGGTAATGAGGGTGAAGCTTATCCCTGCTTATCTCTTATCGCCATAGGGACTCGTCTTGACCTCATTCCATTCATCTACTTCCGAATCATTTCCTATTAGATTCAGAAATAATATATCTCCAAGATTCCGTTTCAGCATAGTAATTGGAAATATGGCAGATTTTAACTATGTCTCCCGAGCGGAAGCCACCACAGAGGAGAAATGCCAGAGCGGCAAAGCACCTCTGGACTTGAGCCATCATTTCTCGCGGTTAGTGATGAAGCGGCAAACTAGTAGTATCAAAGACTTCTACAAGTATTTCCAGATCCCCGGGATTGGGAATCTGGCTGGTGGTAAGCTTATCCCGAGCCAACGACACGATGTGGAGCCAGATGTTGGTTACATGTTACATCACACACATGGTTACTTCCGAGACAATTCTAACGGTCTTGCAGGACTGCCCAACGCCAGTTTCTTCCCATATGATACCCTCGAGGCCCAGATTGCGCACCCAGAGCGCTTTAAACCTTCCCCCAACGAACCTAATGGCCTCTCCAAGCTCACGCAGAAGTTCGCCGCCACTTCTTTGAGCAAGAACCACGATGCGACTGCTGCTGCCCATTTGACCGTTCCACACACATCAGCCATCGGCAATCCACTGCAGAAGATCGATTTAACGACCGCTTTGCAGTATGGACAAGCTCAAGGATACCCGCCTCTATACTCCTTCATCCGCCAATTCACACGCGAGAATCTACACCCGAATGTACCATATACAGGAGGGGTAGAGATCATCCTCAGCAATGGCAATACAGATGGGCTGTCGAAAACAATTGATGCTCTAAGCAACGTCTGGGACGAAGAACGGGACTGGATTCGGGAGAGGGAGGGTATTCTCGTGGAGGAATTTGCCTATATGAATGCCATCCAGAGTTCCAAGCCAAGGGGGTTGAATATCGTGCCCGTGAAGCTTGATCTAGAGGGTATGAAACCATATGGAAAAGGGGGCTTGGAAGATGTTCTTGAAAATTGGGATGAGGCAAAGGGGAAAAGACCACATTTGATGTATACCGTTACGTGAGTACTTCTGTTGAGTTGAAAATGGGGGGCGTTACTAATCATCACCAGAATCGGCCAAAATCCTACGAGTGGAACACTTTCTATACAAAGACGCAAAGAATTATATGCAATTTGTAGCAAGTACGATGTGATGATTATCGAAGATGATCCATATTGGTACCTTCAATTTCCATCCGCCGTTGGAAAGGAGGCAGAAGCTCGTGGTACCAAAATCCCAGCAGCACAAGAACCACACAAATTTGAGAAATCAACTGGATATGATTACCTCGACAGTCTCGTCCCCTCATATTTAAACATCGATTACGATGGCCGAGTCATCCGTCTCGACACATTTTCCAAGACCGTCGCTCCAGGATGCCGGCTAGGCTGGATCACAGCCCAACCAGCAATCATCGAACGCATCCTCCGAATTACCGAGTCTTCCACCCAACAACCGAGCGGTTTCGTCCAATCCATGGTTGCAGGACTCCTCATGGGACCTCAACCAGCGGCCGAAGCATTCTCCAAGAAATCCAAAGCCGACCAACTCGTCTTCACAGGCTGGAAAACCGACGGCTGGGTCCGCTGGCTCGAGGGTCTCCGAGGGGCCTACGAACGACGAATGAACCGGATGAGCACCATCCTCGAAGCAGGACGATACCAACTAAAAGAAGGAACCTTCTACCAAATGAAAGACGGCACCCCCATCAAAGCCGAAGAAAGCGACTGGACCGTCATCTCCAAAACAAAAATGTACTCCTTCGACTGGCCCCACGCAGGAATGTTCATCTGGGTACACATGCACTTCGAGACCCATCCCCTATGGGGTACCGTCTCGGGACCCAAACTCGCACACAGCGTCTGGATCTACCTCACGCAAAAACAATACCTCGTCCTCGTAGCCCCAGGCGCGATGTTCAGTCCCACCCCCGAGATCTTGGCGGAGAAGGGCTGGCAGTATTTCCGATTGTGTTTTGCGGCCGTGGACGAGGATGATATTGAGCGGTGCTCGAACGGGTTCGCGGATGGGGTCAAGGCTTTTTGGGGAATCAAGGATGTTAAGGATTTGCCGAGTATGGGGGATGAAAATGTGGGGGAGGAGGTGATGGATTTGGGGATGGGGTGGGCTTGTTAGGGAGGGGAAGAGGAGATGGATGTTGGAGTACTGTAATGATCATCGGTATTTTCAGCGAGGTGGGGATTTTGGGGGTATACTTGGCTTTTTTCCTTTCTTGCTTAACAAAGTTCGAAGCACAGGCGTTGTCTTTCATGGCTCTATGCGTTAGGTCATACAAACGTCACTTGGGTACCCCTTTTCAGAAATGTAGAAACGAAGAATACGAAATGAATATCTACCACAATCACTCCTGCTACAGCGAAAGAATCTCCACGAAAATCCCAGGAAAGCAAGACCGTGTAAAGTAAATGGAAAATAATAATAAAACTCGCCGCGAAGCGTGCCTTCAAATGGCTATTTACTATTCTTGCTAATCTACCTACGTACTAGAACCCATCGCTATGCATGCAAAAAAGCAAAAACGGGGGCACCTTTCTGCACCCTTCCTCTCTCTCAGGAAAATCTTACAACATATTCGAGCCTCCCACCTTCAAGTGCTACGCCAGGTAGGACTTTGCTTTTTCTTATCTCGAGCTTCTCCCTCTCAAGGACATTTGAAGCTTTCCTCCTTGCGAAAGCTCAAAACTTCAATTTCGAGTTCAACATGAATCATCCATCAGTAATTCCCACAACCCTTCTTTCTCCACGAACCCATGGTGAATCACGTTCACCAACCACACATCACCTCTGACCTTTTCTAGTAACTTCTGACTCTCGCTCCCTCTAGGGTAAACTCTCTCCCACTCGCCCCAGATACCAAATGCCTCCTCGGCCCAAGCGCGGAAACTCACTTCTTCAATGATAGTAGGTGTGATGATTTCCTTGCCCGGGAACGCACCCCAAGTTACTGCATTGGTAGAGTTTTCTTCTTCGGGGTTAGATGTAGATGGTGTTGCAGATTGAAGGAGGTCCCCCTTGGCGTTGGAAGCGTAGAAGAAGACTAGTGGTGCGAGGTCTGAGGAGGTGAGTTTCTTATGGAGAGCTGTGAAGGAGGAAGATGGCATGAAGAGTTCGACAAATGCTTTTTGGAAGACGAAACCGTTCTTTGGTCCCCATCCGAAGATTGGATCTGATGAGCGGACACCGTTTACTGCTGGTTGTGAAGCTACTGTCCACCAACCCTTTCTGTTCAAAGCCAGGAGATGCGGTTTTATAGTATTCGTCTCTTCGTTCAAGCCTTCTTCACTCCAAGGTAGAGACGGGATCGATCCTTCAATGTGGCGGATGAAGAGAGAGGTTATATCAGAAACAGTCTTGGGATATTCCCAGAGTTTTATGGCTTGGTTTACGGACATGTGAAGGGAGACACCATAACCATCAATTTCTCCGTAGGCCGGTGAGCGGGCATCTCCCCAGCGACCGTTGGGAAAGTCGTCCCAAGTTGCTTCGCGGCCAAGAGAGCCTTCTCCTTCTGAAATTGCCAAAGTGTTGGCGCGAGTGTTGATTGCTTGAGCGGCGATGCCAGCTTCTGAGGCAGTAGTTTCGTAGTCGGGGTTAGAGGTGTGATTTTCGTTGATGATAATCCTGTTATGGGGATCGGAACCTATTGAGCTTGCCCGACGACCTGAGCCGTTGATAATTGAACGAATGGAACCATTGATACTCAGTATTGGGAGGGGAGCATCGAGAATCGCGGCTTCGGTGTCGGAGGGGCTATCGGGTATTAGGTTTGTTCGCTCGAGGATGAATGAAACTGCTTTTTCGAGGTTGAGAGTATAGAAGTGGAAACCTCTTGGACCTGGAGATTTTTCCATCTTGATATGCTCAACAATTCCCGCCATGATATCCACTCCAACCTTCTTAACCATCTCATCGTCTCCCTTGACCGGTTCCAATTTGTCTAATATCTCCTGAGGTAACTTCGCATGGCTCAATTTCGTCGTTCGTTTGATCATTTGGTAGCTCTGAATTGGCATCATACCAGGAATGATAGGTATCGTCTTGAAAGCCCCGCTCTCATGTTCTCTCAGTCTCTTCTCGAAAGAATCGAAAGCCTCAACATCGAAGAACAACTGTGTCATGATAAAATCCGCCCCAGCATTCTTCTTCCCCACCAAATACGGTAAATCATGCTCCAAACTCTGACCCTCAGGGTGTCCCTCGTCGGCGTGCCCCTCTGGATACGCAGCAACTCCAACGCAAAAGTACTCCCCATAATTCTTTCTAATATACCTCACCAAGTCCACCGCCCATACAAACTCCTCCTCGCCCTCCTTCGTCACATTAGCATCCCCATACTCCTCTTTCCTCGGCGGATCCCCTCTCAATGCGAGAATATTCCTGATTCCCAGCGCCTTGGCATCCTCCAGCGCGCGATCAACCAATTCCCGACTCATGTTGGTGCAGGTAAGGTGCAAACAAGTCGTCAATCCCAATTCCCTCTGACACAGCTCCGCCAACTCCAAGCTCTTTGTAGCCGTGAAACCGCCTGCGCCCCAGGTGACGGTCACGAAGAGAGGACGTAGGGCGCGGGACATGCGGTCGAGACGCGCGCGGAGGTTCGAGGAGCCCATTGTTGTCTTTGGGGGGAAGAACTCGAGGGAGAAGTAGGTGCTGCCAGGGGGCAGGGCCGCGATTTTCCAAGTGATCTTTTCCGTCTCCATGATGGGCGGTCGTTCGTGTAGGTCCTGGGATTTGGAAAAGGAGTGTGATCTGCTCTGGAAGTTTGTTCGCGTTGCAGATGAGGGGAGGAAATATAAATTGACAGTCCTTGGTGGGGTCGATCGTAGTTACCGGGTGAAATCCGGATGGGTGGCGTCCGATTGGGTGGGCTCCGTCATATGAAAGTTTCCATTGGAAGGGAGCTGTTTTGGTAACACGATTCGATTCACTCTCTTTACGACCAGAGAAAACTTCACGTTGTGATACTGGATGACGTTTCTGTATTACACTGGGTGACAGTGGAAATGCATCTTGAACACCAAGCATGCCAGGTATCCCCTAATTCATGTGGAAGACCCTTGACAGACAAATAAAAGCCCCACATGAGCTCTGTAAGCTGGAGAAATGCACAGCTATGGCAAAGCTTTGTAAGGAGTCCGCGGCTAACGAAGACATTATTCAAGATAGAATGTCAATTGAACAGTTTGAAGGAGCCAAGTCGGAAAGTCGATTATAGAGTCACCCGATACCCATTCCAACAATAGCGTTATCCTGGGGTACGGTACTTCATACAGTTCATACGAAAGAAGTTTTCAAAGAGCAATGTATGGCCTCAGCCCTTTCATATCAACGTTTGATTGAAACGATCGATAACAAACGAATTAGCACACTCAAAAAGGGACTTCTTATGTGTCCTCACATCTACCAGCCCCTATCCGCCCCACCCACTAGCGAGGACTAGCGAGAAACCAACCCGACCTCAACGTTTTGCACTAACGACCACTCTATCGAGAATCAAGGAGTATCGCCATAGCGTTCCGCAAAGCTGGAAATCTCGATCCCGATTCTCAGCCTCAAATTCACATTCAGCACTACGGGACCTGGACCTCTTATTATGGAATGCGGTGTTCGCCGGGGGACTATATGGACTTCTCATCTCCCAAGAGCTGGAAGAATGTTTCATAGATTTCCGAAATTTCTTGAGAAAGCTGAGATATAATATTTCAGTATGGCGAAACAAGATCAGATTACTGCGGCTACCGCGAGGAGCATGCTCGCGGGGCATCCTGTGGTTATGGTTAGTCTTTTCTGGAACTTTGAGTTATTTTTTTCCATTTCGAAATACAATTGGAAAGAGTGTGGCACTGCCCCCTTCCAGAATAACCTCTCTCCTACCTAATCCTATCATGGAATCCTGATGATTATGGAAAACCGCAAAGCTAACTGGGATGTAGGTCACAGGAGGATGTGGATATATCGGTTCACACACAGTCCTAGAGCTGCTCATCGCAGGCTGCTCCGTAGTAGTAATCGACAATCTCTGCAACTCCAACATTGAAGCACTCCGACGAGTCTACTTCCTGGCACGAGAATACTTCCTCGCCTGTCTCCCCCAAGAAAAGGACAATTCAACCGACAGATATCCACAGCTGCACTTCATCAAAGCCGATATCCGGAATCGCTCCAAAATGGCAGCCGTCTTGGAAGCATACAACACCGATCGCCCATCAACAATACAAATCACACATATCTTGACTTCCAGACACTCCTACCGAAAAGTCTCAATGGCGTTCCAGACCCAACCCACAGCAATGACCCTGAAGGCTTCGCCCGATAAATCGGATTCCGGGAAGATAAGTCACGTAATCCACTTTGCAGCCCTGAAAGCCGTCGGAGAATCCGCAGTAATCCCCTTGGAATACTACCAAACCAACGTCGGCGGTCTCCTCAATATCCTCAGCGTCCTGGATGAGTTTCAAGTCCGCAACATTGTTTTCTCCTCCTCAGCCGTCGTCTACGGTTCCGGGAACGGAAAATATATCTCTGAGGACGCTGTAAGAACAGCCGGACGAGGAGCTGGCGGTGGTTTACTTACAAATCCCTATGGACGAACCAAATGGATGGATGAAGAGATCCTCGATGATTGGTGTGTGGCAAATACAAACGTCCAAGCCATAGCACTCCGCTACTTCAACCCAACAGGTTGTCACCCCTCCGGTCTCATAGGCGAAGACCCCAACGGCGTACCCTCCAACCTCATGCCAGTAGTCCTACAAACCTACCAAAGACGACGAAGCAAAGTGGCAGTCTTCGGCAGCGACTACAACACCAAAGACGGCAGCGGAGTCCGAGACTTCATCCACGTCGTCGACCTAGCCAAAGGCCACGTCGCCGCCCTCAACAAACTCGTCTCCTGCCCCCCAGTCCCAGAAGACGCAAACCAAGGCCTCGTCGACGCCGCAGCCAACTACCACGTCTACAAACTCGGCACCGGAACCGGCTACTCCGTCCTCGAAATCATCACCGCCTTCGCCATCGAGACAGGCGTCGAGATCCCTTTCGTCCAAGGCGACCGCCGACCCGGCGACCTCGGCTCCATAACCGCAAACCCCAGCAAGGCCTTCACGGAACTAGGCTGGAAAGCGACCCACGGGCTCGAAGAGATGTGCAAAGACCTCGTCAAATGGGCGAACAAGAACCCCACGGGCTACGAGCGCCTCCGTCAAATGAGCGTCATGGCCGTCAACGACCAAGAAGGCTTCATGACGAAAGTCCGCAAGGCGTCCGTGGTGCGCCGGCAATCCATGGCGCCGGTCTGGCAAGGGGAGCAGATCCCAGATCGAGTAGGGGGCGGCGAGGAGGAAGGCGAGGATATCGGGTCGTTGGTGAAGAGTTTGGTGTTGGATGATGAGATGTTTGAGCAGATGGTTGAGCGGAAGACGGGCTTGTTTGGGCAGGATTTTACGTATGATTTCAACTCGAGACGCACGGCGGGGGGGTATGAGTCCCCTCATTCGCCTGGCACGCCGGCTCCGGATCAGAATCCGCTTGATTACTTTGATAGTCGGAGAGCGGTTGTGGCGGATGATGCGTGAGTGTTTGGTGCGGCATGGCTATTTGGCTCAGGAGATGACTCTCATAGTCGGTCGGACACCTCTCAAGTTTCGACGGAGAATTATTTTGTTTCTTCAGGGAAAGGTATTATAGATAGATCAAAACCAATACAACAATAGAATAAACAACTCCTCTCCCTTCACAACCCCCCTCTCCTCCCCACAACCTCCCCCCATCACACCCCTCCCCAATTCACCCACTCTTTTAACCATAGAACCCCCAGTGTTCCCCACGCACTCTCCGTCGACATCAAGCTTAAATGATATTTTACCAAACCAAGCTGAGCAACTCATACAGTTGAAGTTCCACGACGTAGTCCTGTGAGAAAACGGCTGAGAAATAGTTCTTGCCATAGGATATATCATATTATTACCTCGGTGGTGTTGTTAAGGTAGTTTATCTTCCTTACCTCAGCAACCGTTGAGGTTATTCTTTTTACTCATCCAAGTCTCTTGGTCGCTTCAAATCCATCGTAAGAGTGTTGTGTTAGTTGGATTATCCCTTATATATGGATATACCGTATCTGACGTGACGAGGGCAGCATTCGAGACAATCACAAATAATGAACTTCTGGATAGACCAAACCCTCGCTTTCTCACACTCTCATATCGCGTTTCACGAACTGCAAAAGAAGATGTTGAAATCATCGTTTCATTTTTACTATTGGTGATTAACGCAAGCTTATCAATCCTTCCATAACAGCGCACTCCTTGCTTCCTTGCTTGAAATTGTATCCCGTATGGTTTCCCCCATATGTCCTTCTAAAAAACAATCTGCAAGCAACATACATATCCAGATCCCTCAACCTCAAGTCAAGAAACCCATGCATCTTCCATTTCCATATCCTGCCAGATCAACCAATCAAGGCCAATCAAACCAACGAAACCAAACCATAGGCTGCAAAGAAAAAGAAACCCGTTGCAAATTCCAATCCTCAAATTCAAAAACAACCAATCCTAAGAGTCCCACCCTCTCACCAGGGCAAGGTCGTCAAAGTCTTGTCCGTCGTAATCCGAGTTCGAAAATAATTGCTGGAGATGTTTCATGCGATGCGATGCCGATAAGTTGTCGTGGTCGTAAGCGCGAAAATAGGGAAAGACGTGTGCCAGTCATTCAAGTGAAATTCGTAATCGAGGAGTAAACATTGCAGAAAGATACTTGGACTTTCTCACCAAAGCCTACGTTGTCTTTAGCTAACGTGCTAGTCCAGGAAAGTTGCGAAGTCTTAAAGCGGACCAGGGAATGTAGTTCCAGAGAAAGCGGAAGCGTGAAAATTTTCCTTGTTTGAAACAAAAACGCCGATAGAAAGGAATGACGAAAGAAGGGGCGTTGTTGTACAGTTGAGAAATTGTTTTTGAATGAAATGATGAAGATCGAAGGAGATTGACGATTGCCGGGTCGATTTAGGACTTCCCAGGAGTTGAAAAGATCCGAAAACCCGCCAAATGACTTGACGCCTTTTAGACATCTTGGTAATCTTCGGCGACGTAATATTCCTCGTTATCGTCGTCCATGCCATCCACCGTATAGCCATTGGTGGGATCATTGGCGAAACCTTTACTCACATCACCGTTTTGGAAGGCGAATTCTTCCTTAACCACAACAACATCCTCTCCATCAGAGCCAATCGACTCGGAATAGGTAGCCATCTTCTTGGCAGCGGCGCGTGGTGCCTTGGCAACCCGGCCAGTCTTGACCTTGTTGAGGGCACCCTTTGATGGCGAATCACCTCCGATGTCCTCACTGTCCTCCTCCTCATCCTCCTCATCCACGCCCTTCTTCTTACGTGAGGTAGACTTCTTAGCAGAACCACGGGGGGCTCTCGGCTTCTTTGAAGGGGTAGAAACGGCACCATCTAAAGGAAAGTTAGCATTACCAGACTGAAGTGAGTCACATAAACTTACCGGCACCACCATCCTCGCGTGGGATAGCTACAAGAATAGTTAGCAAATGATTCCTCCAAATGATGAGTGGTGGCGATTTGGGAGTCGACGAAAAGAAATGGGGAGGGAATTAAGTAAAGCAGAGTAGCAAGTCCACAATCTCAAGCGAAAGGTAGGTTTCAGGCAAAAGTACCCGTCATCTTCTTAGCTTCAGCTTTGATCACTCGCATGCGGTGTTCAATCGAATGCTTTGTGGAATCTTCCTGGTAGTATGCAGCGATGGCTAATACAGAACGTTAATATGATTTATCTCGAGACATGTCTTTCTAATTGAAACAAAGCAGGAAAAGAAATGGAAATAGAAATGTAGAATAGAAGAGAGGGTTCTTGCTGCACACCCTTTTCTGTGCCACTACCTGCGCCAACGTTTAAGTCTTTTGGGTCTCCGCCAGATTCAAAACATTGACGTTGGCGCTTAGCATCGTTCTTGATCTGGCGGAACTGGAAACCAATTCCTCCGCCAGTGCTATCTGAACCGAAATAATTTGAAATAGCTAAATGAATCATTAATAATGTTGCTCCAAGGTGTTATGTGTAGAAGGAAAAGATAAATAAAGAAGATAAAAAGAATTCCTCTCGTTCTAACCCTTGCCGTAAACATCGACGTCTTTAGGGTCCAAGCCTTTTGCAAGCATATCAAGTTGACGCTTTCCAAGAGGCCTAAAACGATCTGTCATCTGAAATTTGATTCCATTGGCAGTAACGTCGGTGCCCATGATGCGTGCGATTTCTACATGCAAGTCAATAGAAAGAACGAGGGAAGTGTAATAGAAATTCAGATGTGCTTAAAAATGATAAAAGCGATCTCAATCAGGCTAACATTTCTTGGAGCTGGCACTGCCACCCAAAGTCAGGTTGAGATCCTTGCAATCACGTCCAGCAGCACGTGCATCCTTGATGAGCTGGGCATTATTCTTGAGGGTAACACTGAATTGCCACTCCAATGCTTTCTTCGTAACATCGGAGCCCATGCAAGCTGCAGTCTCTATAACAAGTTAAAATAATGCTCCGAAAATAAAACTGAATAATAAAGTGCAAAAGGTGAGAAAAACAAAATTCCACTCTGACCCATGGATTTCTTCTTAGCTGGGCCTTCTCCATCAAATACAATAGTACTCGGATCTCCACCAGCCGCTACACAGTCCACTAGACGCTTTGCGTTGGGTCTGAGACTGCGAGAAACATGAACTTGGAGTGTTATCTGGTTGGAGGCCCATTCCATAATATTTGCATATCTCTAGGTGTTTACGTTAATAAACGGCACCCTTGAGGTTTCAAAGATGGGAAATGTGCTTTGCTAGGCAACGAGAAGAAAGAATCCTGACAACCATCGTCGCCCTTGACACCGCCTGTAACATCAATCGTCTTCGGGTCCACGCCAGCTTTGACGCATTCCTGTAGACGCCTCGCTGGTGGCTTGACGAAGCGATTGATGCGTGTTTGGATTGCAATCGCCGTAGCATCACTGCCAAAGTGAGCCGCAATGGCTATGTCACTTATTAACAAAGCTGTTCAAAGATAGCAAAAGAAATGTGCTTTGGTGTGCTTTTGAACCTTCTTAAGCTAGCTTTTTGATTGCCCCAAGATAGATTGCAAAATTCAGTAGATGCGTGATAATGACTCGTTCTTTGTAGCGAAGGGGCTGTATAAAGTGTAGGTGGAAACTTGTAGTAGAAGAGGACTCGTTCTGACCAATGCCTGTTCCTCCAAGAGCAAACATAGTTACTGTTGCAGGGCTTTGGCTAGCATCAACCGCACTGCGGAGATTTCTGACATTGGGCTTGATGTTCCTATCGAAAACATTCATAAGAGCCTTCTTCGTGGTGCAATCATCGAAATACTTGGCGATTTCTTGAGTGTTAGTCAATATTGTGTGCTCGGTAGGTGGTAAGGGAACGCAAAACTTGAGAAAGCGACAAAAGGAAAACGTGAAATATGTGCTGCTGAATAGGCAGATATCTGGAAGAAGCGTAGTCTGACTTGGATCTTGGCCAGATAGACCATATAGAGCAGTAGCGGCAGGATCATCTCCAGCCTCAAGAGCCGCCTTGATAAGCTTGATATTAGGACGAATGTTCCGATTGAAAAGGTTCAAAATTGAACTCTTGGTGCATGTAGAACCATAACACCTAGATATCTCTGCCACAAAATCAACAAGGGAGAATGAAACTTCGAGCCGGTAAAGCTGAGACAGGTGATTGTGCAAGAAAGTTTAGGGGAGAAAAGAGAAGAAGAGGCCTGACGATTAGTGTCGCCGATGGTCAAGGTAATGGAATCTTCGCCTCGGGCGAGGCATTCATTCATAAGATTCGCATCTTTCTTGATTTTCCTAAATCGATTCTCAAGGGCAGACTTTGTGCAATCACCCCCGAATCTTGCACCGATCGCTGGTGAAAATCAACAGGAGAACAAAGATGACGAAAGCAACAGCAGAACCAAAGGAGAAACTCAAGGAAAACGTGATTGGTGCAGAGGGGTTCAGGAGGGGTAGAAGTTCGTTGCTACCTCGAGCCTTGGGGACTTTGTGCTTTGCAGCACCTTCATCCAGCTCAATGTTCAACGGATCTAGTCCGCCATCGACAGCCTCCTTGATTTGTGCCGCGAGCTTGTTAATCTGCGTGAATCGACCCCAAACAGATTTGTATGTTGTGCCACCACCGTAGTATTTTCCGATTTCAGCAGGACATCAGCATGAACACTGCGAGAGAAAGAATGGTGAAAACAAAAGAAAATGAGAATAGAGATATAACGAATTATAAAAGATCTAAGGAGACGAGGCGGAAGCATAACGAAAACAAGAAAGAGTTTGGTGCTTACCGGCATAGTCTAATTTCATTCCGGGATTTGCTGCGACGATTGCGCTTAGCAAGCGAACCGAGGACTCGTATGTCTTCCAGTTAGGCATGGTGGCGACTAGATGTTAGCTATGAGGGCTTCGAAAGGCTGACAGCGAGAGACTCTGTTCAAATGATGTCATGGTAGAATGGGAGAGAAGATGATAAGGGAAGTGAGGAAGTATGAAGGAACGAAACGTCACCACAAAAAAATGGGGTGGCGGGGAAATGAGACTGAAGGTGAATTCATCGCCCTCACCTCTGACGGACTCAGAAAGTTGCGACGAGTCTCAGGGAGCAGCAAGACTGAAGACGAGAGATCTCTAACGTCTTCTGCGAAACCAAAAGTGAGATCGAGGAAGTCCCCAAAGGTTGACCTCTGAGCTGCGTCTTTTGAAGTTGAGATCGGGGGGCGCAAGAGGGGATTGATTGCCAAGATGAAAGGAGAGGCAATTGAGCTGCGATAGTGGATGCGAGAGATCGAGGAGTTAAGAAAGAGAAATGCATACCTTAGAGTTGTTGTTGTTGGGTGTGTTGAACGTTGTGTGGGGTTGGGGTTGGGGTTGGGGTTGCTGGGTGACGACGGAAGCTGTTGATAGTCAGAATGAAAGTGCGCAAGGAAGAGATCGAAGATGCAAAGAGTATATGGGAATGTAGATGCGCATTGGGTATGATGACTTACCTTGGAAGAAGCTGTTGGTTTTTGGGAGCGTGTGCGAGAGGGTAGTTGTGGTTGAGGTTGGTCAAGAAAAAAGTTGTTGTGGATGAGAAGAGGAAGAGGAGGTGGAAGTGGAGGAAGAAGATTCAAGTACCTGAGGTGGGCGGCGGTCGAAGAAAAAGCAAGGCTGGGGGCTGACGGAGGGAAAGCGCGGAGGGCAAGAGAGAGCAAGAGAGAGCAAGAGCGATATCGAGGGACTCAATGTTTGCCATGATTTTGGATGTGAGCAAACAGATGAGGTCGAGGGTGCTAGCGAGAGTGTTTTTCCACGTCAACCGACCATTTCAAGTCCCAAAGCTTCCATTTGACTTTGGGAATGATTTATATTCGCTATATAACAAACTGAGAGTTTTTTCAAGTTAATTGCGTGGAACATTTGTTGTTACAACTTTCTTGCACTCAACTGACGTTCATCAAGTCGTTCACGAGAATTCACAGAACCCCACGCAGTAGGCGAGAGCCCCACCCCTGCACATGGTCTTGGCGCGTGCTCAGCTGCACGACTTCTCCTCTTCAAGTGTGCAAGCCTATCACCTCAACCTCAAGTACAAACCACCGAGTCTCATTTTCCCTTTCAGACCTCCCATACAGATCTTCGGCCCGCTGTATCCTGCAATACTGCAGAGACCTCGAGTTGGGCAAATCATTGCAGCCATGTGGCATTTGTTACAACCGAAACATGGGATGGGATTTTGACGCTGCTGCGCTGCGAACGAAAAGAGGCAATTCACCGAGCCAAGTGTTTGCTGGTGATGGTGGCGTCTGAACCTCAACTTCGAGTCTCGGTGTTTACGGGAAGTAGAAGTAGCAGCAGACAGGTCTGAACAGCATGATTGTCTTCTTGGACAATTTAAACAGCCATTCCAAAGACCAGACTCGTTGAAATAATTATCTTGAATTATCCTCGAAGGCGAGAATGAGAGCTATCTACTGCTACGTTTCTTGTCCAGTTCACTGCATCGTGGCGGCAGAACGACAAGCTTGGAAACGTGGGGCAAGGTTGGATGTACTGTACTCGGTAGTCATTGAAAACAAGTTTACTCCCTCTACCCTCTATATGCACCATCAATTGGTAATAACATCATGCGTGGCTACATCATTTATACAAGTCTATCAATCCCCTAATCGTGCACTCTTCTCTCCCATCGGCGTTCGTGCGCGCGCAATATGGCTGCCGTTTGCGAAGCTACTCACGCTGCTCATGTCATGCTCGCCATGGCCCTTGACATTCCGTCCGTCTCCGTATCCGTACATGTAGTATTGGAATCCTAGGAAGCAATCACAGCACATCTGAAAAATACCACAGAGTTTGAAGGCCCATGTGATTTCCGTCGTCGCGGTAAAGAACCAAAACATCTTCATAGCATCACCTCCCAACCAATTGGCTAGCACGGACACGCGAAAGCCTTTGCATGATCGGGATTTGTAGTTGGAGTAGATTTGTGGGAGGGGCAGGGTTGCTTCGATCGAGAGACCCAGATACCCAATGAATTTGGAGTATTTGGAGTAGAACCACGGCGTGGGGGTAAGAATAAGTTCGAATGCCGTGAGCGTAATGAAAAGGTAGAGAAGGAACTGCCAGTATCTGCAGAAGCACATGTCAGTCGTCAGTTAATAAAGCTGGGGTATGCAAAAGAACGTACGGCTTTGGAGACCTCCACTTCCAGAAGTTAAATGGTCTCGCGAATCCCCCGTCCCGATGTCCTGCAAATGGTGTTGCAGCATCTCCCCCTTTTGAAGCTGGACCCGGCCTGTTATCCAACGCGACCTTGAGAAGCAGTGTCTGCATAATCATCATGATGAAGGATTGGATAAGAAGAGCGGTATCGAATTGCGCGCCGGGGAAATAGAATATTCTGCGCATGTTCATTAGCATGCTTGTTTAACTTGCGCCCAGAGCCCTTTCCAAGGTACCTTAACATGGACGCGCACAGCATGATCAAGGGGATATCAAGAGAAAACCCGGCACTGGATTTCGACTTGTGTATCGAGTATATCTGATCCGCATATGAAGTGATTGGGGAAAAGACCAGGAATAACGGAGCCATCACGCCCGATATAAAGGATATAAGATTCCCCATCTTGACCGGTGTAGGTGTGGTCGGTCTCGAGAGTTCCTAGGTACGCCTTCGGGGCTTGAGTGAGGGTTGGGGCACCTTTCTACCGAAGGTCCATCGGGTTTGTATGCGGACAGAAGAGAAATTCGACTACTGCTTTCCGAGGGCGATGATAAAATCTGGTGAGATTGTTTAGGAGTACGGAGGTAGCTAGGAAAAAGGCCACCCAATCAGTCCAATCTTTTTTTGGGTCTGCTAGAATAGCCATGGACCCAGCAGCGAGCAGCGTGCATCAACCTGGAACCCCTGATGACACCCTGACTCTCAAATCTCGGCCCGGCCCAGAAAATGTTTCTTCCACCTTCAATAAAGAGTTCAATATGAATATGTGGCTCTGCCTTTTTGGATGTAAGAGCAGATTGATGCCTGTCCTGTTTCCGATACTTCGCTTCTCTCATGATGGATTTAGTGTCCAGTAGCTGAACAGGTACTGAAGATCTAATGTTCCTTGTGGTGCTACCATAAACTAGTCCTGTTTTGGTGGTACGTTTGGAATAGTTGCATGTGGCTCTGGATGTAGCATGAGCCAACCAGAGCATGCCAGCCCAGGTAACAAACATCTGAAGAAGAAGAAAAGATTGGAACTCAGGGAAGACATAAAAATACACCACTGAAGTTGTCCACTTACAATTGGGAATTCACCGTCAATGTCCACGCTTTGACCAATCGGACGAAAGTTAATCCCCTTCCGTTCTGACCCCTCGTAAAATTTCAGTACCCCGCCAAAACAATTCAACTCCTAGCGACAGAGTCATTCTCACCTCATCCAAGGCGATCAAGTCAACCACCATGGCACATCTTGTGCTTCCTGGAGACTCTTGTTTCACGCCTTCTGAGGCCACGAAGCTCATCGTGAGTAATTGTTCCTTTCATTTTCACGAAGCATGGAGTTTTGTAAGACAAGAAACGCCGGTGTCTAAGAACTGGAGAAGCAACAACGTTATTGTCAGCATTATGAAAAAATATCTGTCTGGATGCGAAAATAGTCTGTTTCCCCAACTGACCTTACACATAGGCACTTATCAACAAACTGGGCCAAGCCAAGGTCACTCATCTCCAAGGCGTCTGGGTCCACTATGCCCATTTTCAATTAAGAGGCGATTCTGCCGTAGAGGTGGAAGATCGCCTGCGACAACTTCTTCCAGGAGTCAATAGTGATGCTCCAGCATTGGCCGCTGCATCCAAGACCTATTACATTTCCCCTAGAAATATCTCACCATGGAGTTCCAAGGCTACGAGTATTGCCGAAGTCTGTGGCTTGAAGGGTGTGCAGCGTATCGAAAGAGGACGTGCTGTAACCATTGCCTTTAGTGAGGAGCCCAAGGAGGATGACCTGTTTTTCAAGAATATTCTTCATGACCGAATGACGGAAAGTTTCAGTGCTTCTCAGCCGGATTTGGAAATTATGTTCGCTGAAGGAAAGCCTCTTCCACTTGAGGTTGTTGATTTATGGAAAGAGGGTTCTACTCCTATCGAAATTCTAAAAGCATACAATGTGGAATGTGGTCTTGCTTTAGATCCATCGGAAATGGAGTACCTCGTTCAAGCCTACACCCAGATTGGTCGTGCTCCGTACGATATTGAGCTCTTCATGTTTGCACAAGTCAACTCTGAGCATTGTCGCCATAAGCAATTCAACGCAAACTGGACCATTGATGGTATTGCAGTGGGCAAGAGTTTGTTTGAGATGATCCGAAACACCCATAACAAAAATCCCGGCTTCACCGTCTCCGCCTATAGTGATAACGCAGCCGTACTACAAGGTGAGGTGGCTAGTTTCTGGGCTCCTGACTACTCTACCGGAAGCTGGAAACAAACCAAGGAAGTGGTTCACTTTCTAGCGAAGGTCGAAACACACAACCATCCTACAGCCATTTCCCCGTTCCCAGGAGCAGCAACAGGCTCAGGTGGTGAAATTCGAGACGAAGGTGCCGTGGGACGGGGCTCTACGCCCAAAGCTGGGCTCTGTGGTTTTTGGGTGTCTGACCTGTTGATTCCTGATTACCAAGCACCTTGGGAAATTGATATTGGAAAACCTGCCCATTATGCCAGCAGTCTGGATATCATGTTAGAGGCTCCAATTGGAAGTGCGCGTTTCAACAACGAGTTTGGTCGACCCTGTCTAACTGGATGCTTCCGTACCCTCCTTGCTGATGTTGACACCGGAAGTGATGGTCAGGAAATTCGTGGTTACCATAAGCCAGTCATGATTGCCGGTGGCGTGGGTACTGTCAGACCTCAGCACGCTCTGAAGAATGGGCGAGATGTTAAGGAAGGTGCACATGTCATAGTTCTTGGTGGCCCTGCAATGCTCATTGGACTTGGTGGTGGTGCTGCTTCAAGTAGCACTTCTGGCGAAATCTCCGTAGAGTTGGACTTCAACAGTGTCCAAAGAGGAAATCCCGAAATGGAACGTCGAGCTCAAATGGTCATCAACGCTTGTGTTGCTCTAGGCGAAAATAATCCTATCGCCTTCATTCATGATGTTGGTGCTGGAGGCTTGTCAAACGCATTACCTGAGCTTGTGAAAGATGCTGGCTACGGAGGAGAGTTCGAGTTGAGACAAGTTGAAAATGCTGACAAGAGCATGAGTCCTTTACAAATCTGGTGTTGCGAGGCGCAAGAAAGATATGTCATGATCGTCAATGCCGATGGCCTCAATCGTTTTGTGAGCATTGCAAGTGAGTATCTATCCTTTTATTTATGCTTCGAGAATGCACTAATGAATGATCAGACCGTGAGCGATGTGGCTTCTCGAATGTTGGAAAAGTGCTTGCCAAGGACGAAAGTGGCAATTCTAGGCTTGTAGTGACTGATAGAGACTCTACCGGGTATCCTCGACCTATTGATCTACCCATGCCAACTCTCTTTCCAAAAGGGAAGAAGCTCGAGAGAATTGTCACTTCAAGAAAACCAAATCTTTCCCCGTTCGACGCTCACAAGTCTCTCGCTGACACATTTCCACAAATTCCCGAACATGACTTGTTACGCAAAGCAATTGAGCGTGTCCTTACTGTTCCAGCTGTTGGTTCGAAATCATTTTTGATCACTATCGGCGATCGTAGCGTTGGAGGAATGACTGTTAGAGACCAAATGGTTGGACCATGGCAGACACCAGTGTCTGACGTTGCAGTTACTATCACCTCTCTAAACATCGGAGACAAAATCAAGACCGGTGAAGCTATGTCTATGGGTGAGAAGCCAACATTGGCTCTCATCTCGCCTGCAGCTTCAGCAAGGATGTCTGTTGCAGAGAGTTTGATGAATCTGGCTGCTGCTCATCTGCTTGGAGATCTACCTAGAGTTCGACTTTCGGCAAACTGGATGGCAGCACTCAACCACCCTGGTGAAGGTGCTGCTTTATATGAGGCAGTGCAAGCCATTGGAATGGACCTGTGCCCTAGACTCGGCATCAGTATCCCAGTTGGAAAGGATTCTACTTCAATGAAAGCTGCTTGGAAGGACCAAAAGACCGGAGAGGCAAAGGCGGTTACAGCCCCCATGACAGTTGTTATCTCAGCGTTCGCACCTGTTGCCAATGTGAGAAATACATGGACACCCGCACTTCGTAGACTTGAAGATGTTGGAGAGACTATCCTCATGTATGTTGACCTCGCTCAAGGTCGTCAAGCATTAGGAGGTTCCGCCCTTGCACAATCCTTCGGCCAACTTGGAAGTGAGGCTCCAGATGTCAGAGATCCAGATCTCATCATCGATTACTTTGATGCCATTACTCAACTTCATGAAACTGGTGTTATTCTTGCGTACCATGATATCTCTGATGGTGGATTACTCACGACTATCGCTGAAATGATGTTTGCTGGTCGATGTGGTGCAGAGATCATGATTGATGGTTTCACAAAGAGTACCTCGGTTCAAAATGTGCTTTCATCTCTTTTCAACGAGGAATTGGGTGCTATCTTCCAGGTACGAAAATCCGACGAGATCAATTTCTTAAGATGTTTCGCTACCTGCGGTCCTCCACCTGGCATGGTTCGAAAGATTGGTCGCGTTCCTGCCGTATCGAAACAAAAGTTGTCCATCCGTCATGGCCAGCAATTGATACTCCATATGGACCGAACCGAATTACAACAATACTGGGCCAGCACATCTTACCAAATGCAACGTATTCGCGACAACATCGAATGTGCAGAGTCAGAATTCCAGTCCATCAAGGATGATCTCGACCCTGGATTATATTACAAACTTACCTTTGATCCTAAAGACAACATCCTACCTCTCACCACAACCATTACTTCTACATTCTCCAAGGCTCCTCGCGTTGCCATCCTCCGAGAACAAGGTGTCAATGGCTATGCTGAAATGGCGTTTGCCTTCAAGGCTGCTGGCTTTGACGCAATCGATGTGCACATGACAGACATCATCTCAGGCCGCTCCCTCTCTGACTTCGTTGGTATCGCAGCCTGTGGTGGCTTCTCCTACGGAGACGTCCTCGGTGCCGGTCAAGGCTGGGCAAAATCAATCCTCATGCACGAAGAGAACGCCCGTCCCGAATTCAAGAAGTTCTTCGAACGACCTGACACCTTTGCACTAGGAGTCTGCAACGGATGCCAAATGCTCACCCGGATTGCCGAACTCATCCCCGGAACCGAAAACTGGCCTCTGTTCCTCGACAACCAGAGCGAACAATTCGAAGCCCGCGTAAGCATGCTCAAGATCCAAGACTCGGCTAAGACACCATCTGTCTTCTTCCACGGTATGAATGGATCCGCCCTCCCCATCGCTGTCTCCCACGGCGAGGGTCGCGCGGCCTTTAAGACACCTGGGGATCTCGAGGCGCTGGACGAACAGGGTCTTGTCCCGCTCAGATATATAGATAATAGAGGCAAGATTACTACCACCTACCCTGCTAATCCTAACGGGAGTCCTGAGGGCGTGGCGGCTGTAAGAAGTAAGGATGGTAGAGTGCTAGCCATGATGCCGCATCCCGAGCGTACTATTATGGCCGATGTGGGTAGTTATGTTCCGAGGGAGCGGGTAGAGGAGTGGGGCGAGTTTGGGCCTTGGGTTAGGATGTTTAGAAGTGCGAGGAGGTGGGTTGGATGATTGGTAGATGGGTTTTTGTGCTTGAAAATTGGAGTTGGGGGGTTTGTTTTTAAGAAGCACATGAAGTACTTATACTACTCGCTTAAATTGGGGTCTTTGGTGCGTAGTTAGTTGGTAGTTAGATTTTACGGGGAAATAAAAGAGATTTTGTTTTTCAGTTGGTTTGTGTGTTTTGGCTGGGCTTATTATTATACTTTGGGGGATTGCAAATCTTCAGATCTTCTTTGAGACTGGAGACTGAAGTTTATTGAGAGATTGAGATAAGGGAGGTGAGGAGGTGGCTGTTGAAGTAATTACGTTGTATTTGAAGTCATTATCTAACTACTTTAGCGGGATTTTGTTGATGCTCTTGGGGTTTGAATGTTTTCGTGGCATAACTTATAAAGTGTTTCCATGGGAATTGTGAAATTCCGAACAGCGGCTTCAATTAGGTAGACTGAAAAGTTGTTTCGTTTTTCTAGGGTCTTCATAAGTCTATAAGTTTGCAGGTATCTTTTTGGCGAATACCTACCTTTATTGTTCTATGAATAGGTGCTTGTCTTCTGGTTTATTGTAAATCATTTAAATCCATTTGGAAGTTGGATGTTTTGGATTTGGATTAAGATACTATCCCCTCAGCTGCGGCCAGGAACGCACTTGTGTGGTCCGTGCCTAGGGAAGAACATCAACTTTCTAAATAGCTACAACTACAATTTATTCTACTTCTATAATTTAGAAGACTATATAACTAGAGGGTATATCACTAGGGACTTCCTATCTTTATATTTTGCTGTTATTATAGCCCGAAATACCCTAGAATTCTCTAAGAATCGTACTAAATCTACGCTACAAAGATCATACTCTAGAAAAGGCTATAGTAGGCCTAATTACTATTAGTAACTTAAGACGAAGTACGAGCAGTATACCAATACTCGGCTATAATATTTATAACGTCCGGTTATACAGAAAATGGTCGTTATCCTAAGTTTTTATTAAAAATAGTCTATTTTCTAGCCAAAAGTAATAGATCGCTTAACTAAGCTCGGACCAGTGCGTTTCTGGCCGCAGCTGAGGGGATAAACAAGAGATTATCTACCATGGTTTTCATTTTTCCCCGTCTACCGGGAATCTGGCTATATCGTTCTTACCGTCTATAGGTATGGTTTTGGATTGTCGGAAACTATCACGTTTTTTCTCTCCAGTGGGAGGGAGTCACATGTTTTGGGTTGAGATGGCTTCTTGGCACCTTCCATCCATTTCTGATTTACTTCTGTCTCCTCTCCCATACATCTTTTCAGGTTCACACATTTTCGATATTCAAATCAACGCTCCATAATCGGCATTCTTACTATGTGGGAAAATTGTATCTGTCTACTAACACCAGGGATTGTACGTCCGGACGGATCGTGGTTGCAACCATGATGACTTGGGGGTCATGCACCCCATCGAAAGGGGCCTTGGACTTACCTGCAAGATTTTCGATTCTGACCATTCATGGTGTTGTGGTAAGAATATCGTGCCTGATGGAAATGAGGCTGGATGCTGCAAGATCTTTGATTCTGACCATTCATATTGCAGATGTGCGACCCTTTATGACCGTTGGTAGTGAGGCTGGATACTGCAAGATTTTAGGAATAGGACATTAATATGCCCTGATTGCAATCCACATGGAGCCTGATCTAAGAACACTTTTTCAATACTGTTCATGAGCGATATATTTGAACACCGAAATATCCTTCTGGCGGAGCTTCTGAAATCAAGAGTCACAATCACGTCGGTAACTTTGAACTCATCTGGTTTACCTTTTGATTTCCAGATCTTTCTCTTAGGACTTTTACCAAACGAAAAACACTTAGACACAATGGCGCCGCCTACCGGACCATCTCCAGATGAATGGGAGGCTGTCAAAACGAAGATCTATCAGCTCTATTTTGACTCGACGCTCAAGAATGTGATGGAGAAGATGAAAACTGATTATGGTTTTGTTGCCTCGTAAGTTGATGATTCGCTACTAGCTATCTTACTCTTGCGTTGTCGTTATTCTAACTTTCTGTATCAATTTAGGTTGTCAAGGCGAATCTTTTGGGTTGATGGCTTTGACTGTCCTAAAATTTCGGGATACTTGTTTTGATTGCTGCCGTTTTATAGATTGATCTGGGTTATTAACCCAATTCTGTTGGGTTAAGGGCTTTCGTTATATCTGATTATGGCTTAATTGTTTCTCAGAAGTTGGAAAAAATGCCGATTATTAGAGGAACTCCAAAAGATAATAGGAAGATGGCAATCTACAAGGCTAACTGTTTTGTAGGAAGAACCAGTACGAAAGGAAACTGAAAGAATGGGGGTTCCGAAAGAACCTGTCCTTGGAGGAAAGATTCTACGCTATTCGTACCGTTCGGAAACGCAAAGCAGAAGATAAGGCTAGCCAGGTCAAGTGGCAAGGACTTGTGCTCTCGGAAAAAAAACTCAAGAAGCTTGATAGACGAGTACCATTGATCTGAGCCAATATTTCTGATAATGAATTTGGTAAGTTCGATGGACGTTCGTTGCGTATAACGCTGATTTCTTCAAAGCTTCATGGCTACCAGCACCCAATGAAACCATCTCAGTCTGCACCCCTCCGCCGGAGGTACTTCAAGTGTTCTGCCCGCAACGACAAGTACAAATTGACAACCTTCCATTCTTCAGGTTTCTCGAAATGTTTGATGGTCAAGGTGACTATTTCCCTACTCAACCGAGCAAACAGAAAACACCGTGTATTAACATACCCATACAGGAGCCTCCAATGTGGCCATGTTGGTTCTGAACAAAACGGACCAGAACCATTGCCACAGCATAATGAATTCAACCCCGCCGGAATATGAGATCTGTGAGGACTATAACTTAGATCTTATTGGAGCATTTGGCGATGAGATCTGGTCGCCCAACTCTCCTGTTATTACGCTGTCCGACCAGGCCATCTTCAATTTTTTCTGCTCTCGGACCAAAATACAAGCAATACCAACATCTAGAATCGATCGAGTAGATTTGTTACTTAACAATGTCAAGTCAGTCATGGTTGAAAAGGAAGAAGGCTTTCTAAGAAGACGAGTCGAAAAACTCTTGTCTCCGATCGACCAAGAGGCTTTTTTGGAATGCCTGAGTTTCTTTATCTACTTCTTTTCGAACGGTCTACATGTGAATGAACGGCAGGATCCTAGACGCTCCACTGATATCATTGAACATGTTGTTTATCAACCCAAACATGCCATACGACAGATTCTTGCGCTTAAAGACCCCACACTTCTCGCGTTCATGCATTCGATCCTTACGACCGCGGGGAACACTGGCAACCTTGCTGCGGGAAGAGCATTACTTGAAGCCGATACTGATCGAGTTCTCTTTCATGGACGATTAGCGCATCTACTATATACTGCTGTGAAATTCCAGCACATCGATATTCTCAAGAAACTTATTCAGGAACGTGCAGATGTTAATGTTTCAGTTGGCACTAAAGAGAGACCAAAAACTATCCTTTCTGTGGTCAGAAACATTGAGTGTTTCGATCTTCTCAACGCAGCTGGCGTACGTCTCGACGACCAAACCACCTTCGAAGAAGCGACTTTTGGGAGACCTGTGACTCCGATTCATGATGCAATTTGTCGCAATGATACACCCCTCGCTCAACGTTTCCTTGAAGCCGGCGCGAGCGTTCATTTTCTCGATGAAGAATCTGGTAATACATACTTTGATGTTCATCATATGCTTCATAGGGCTATTCGGACTGATAATGGTTCAATGATCAAATCGTTGCTCGAAGCCGGAGCTCTATTTCAGGGCAAAGTTTTGATTGCACAGTATCCTGTTTCGTACATAAAATCATCATTTCCCTCTATACTTCACTTCGCAGTGTTTTCTGGATCTATCAATGTCGTTAAAGAACTATTGGAAAACAAATGGTACTCTGGCTTGGTGACATCAGAACCATATGGATGGTCTTTACTGCGCGATGCAGCGAGGAACGGAGACTCGGATATGGTCGCTGTTTTATTCAGTGCAGGTGCTTCTGTGAATAGCAGCAGCGAACTCTGTACACAGAAATACACCAGATCATATGATGGCTTGGACTTCGGCCTCGAATACAGACTCCCTAATTATCGGAGCGATCCCGAATACAAACTCCCTACGTATCAGATTGAAGACGAAGAGAAAGTATTCTATGGTATCGAGCTCGCTCCTTCCACAGCTCTCATGGCTGCCGTTGAAACAGGACATGTCGAAGTAGTTCAACTACTAATAGACCACCATGTAGATATCCATACAAAGACCCATGGTAACCATGGCTCTTTTGCGTTGGAGTCAGCTGAGGTTCTCGGCCACCGAGATATTGCCAATACTCTCGTTCAATGTGGAGCTTCAACGAGAATCGAGGACTGGAATTGATATCTGCTATAGAACGACACGACCTTGACAGGGCAAGGGAATTAATTGGACTTGGTACGGAGCCCGCATGCATCATTGCCTACCTTGGGTTACTTCAAGTTGCGACGTCTCGATTTTGTGAAGAGATTATCCTGTTGAAGGATTTCAGCTGTATTTTCTTATTCTTTTTGGGAGAATGTGGAGGTGACGTCAACTCAAGAGATCAACAGTCTGGCAAATCTTTACTTGAAATAGCCTTTTGTCTTATGGACTTTAATACGGCTAAGTGTCTCCTAAAAAAGGCCGTTGACGTTAGTGCACACTTGTCCAGAAAAACAATGGATAAAGCCAAGACAAGCTCAATTTTGGATTTTGCATTGTGTCAATTACAGTTCCGCTTCCGAGGTTCTTTCAAGTACACGGGCCCATTGAAGAATACAGTCGACGTCGGGCTCGAAGTAGTGCATATGATGTTGAAGATGAAAGCTTTGACTCCCTCAGAGAAGAGTGTTTATTGGGCAGCCAGATTTGAAGATTTTGATCTGGTTCAGCAAGTTGTTCAACTAAGAGCTAAAGCTGGCAAGTTGACTCCAGAGGAATTATATTGTGGTCTTGGACCCACAGCATCTTACCGCAACAGAGCTACGTTTGAATACCTGCTCTCTATGGGGGTGAGCGTCAACAAGAATACTGGCGGGATATGTTACATTGCAGACTACGAGACACCTCTCTTTGCTGCTTCATTGACAGGTAGTTTAAAGATGGTTGAAAAGCTGCTAGATATGGGAGCGAATATCGACCAGCGAGGAGTTTCACACGATACTGCGCTTCAAGCCGCGATTCTTGTTGGTAGGTTAGACGTAGTTGCTTTGCTTCTTAGGAGAGGGGCAGACGTCGACGCTCGAGCCATACCTGGCACCCAGTTCTTGTCCGGCCAACCTGCCCTCATGAAGGCAATCGCCTTGGGACATACAGAGATTGCTCGTATGCTTCTCGAGTTTGGTGCGAACGTGAATACCGAGATAAAATCATCACCTTGTGGTTTAACTTACGGAAATATTAATGCATTGGGATATGCAGCTCATTATGGCAGGCTAGATACTGTCCAGCTACTACTCAATGCTGGGGCAGATTCTTATGATCATGCCATTGGGATTGCACTTGAAGAGGGAAACCTCATCGTTGCGGATTTGATTCAAGACTGGAAGGAGTGTAAGGAAAGAGAAGCTTCGGCGAATGATCCTTGGTGAGTTTGAAGCCCTTATCAAGATACAAGATATATATCAACTAACCGTCGAAAGGGGTTCTTCTGAGCTCTGAATGAGGAGCTCAACACCCAGGCATCATGACCTACTATCATACTCGATTTGTATACCGTAGGAGCCCAATCCACGCAGCACTGCGTCTGACCCATGCCAGAAACACGTCGAACAGTGCAAGAGATCGAAATGTTTTCCAATGTACTGGATCTTTCATCTGCTATGCACCGCTTTACTTCTTCTTTCCTACGGGTCTTGATCCTGGAATTGGAGATTGTGATCAGATGAACCAGTTTTGAATACTTATGGAAAACTTGGAATGAAGTGATATATCTTTCTTTTTCAGCTATTTATTTCCTATTCAAATTTTTCCTTTCTTGCTTACAAATTTTCAACGCGATCGAATGGAACAAATTGCGTCACTCCACAGTCATCGCAGTCTGCTCTTCTATGAGGCATCGTTTTCTGTCTAATCACGAGATTGCTATATTCATACTTAAATGTACTCTTTTATCTTCTCACCCTCCTCTCAATCTCTCATACCTTCCAACATCAACACGTCCATCAAAACTCATCTCTATAATCATCTCTCCAACAACTGAATTTCACCTCATCACCCCCGTCCGACTTCATCCCTGGCCAAGACCGCTACCTCGCTTAACTTCAACAACCCCTTATCCGCGTCTTGCAACTCATCGTGAATGAATAGAAACATGTGAAATGTTACGAATTCCGGATTTCAACGAGGGAGAGCAAGGGAATACGAGAAATAGCTGAGAAATTGTGGAAAAGGTAGAGAATATTACACGTGACGAGTAGGCCAAAGGAGGGAGGGGACCACATAATCCCCAGCCTCCAGGAGTTACTTCAATTCCTAGGATAAACAAGTTCCAATCAGTCCCTTCCACAGAACCAAAAAAACAATACGTTCCCACCTCCGTGAACAAAAATCCGATTATCTCAGGGAGAAAACATCGCAAAAAAAGAGTTAAGGGGTATCATTATCATTCATCATTTCCTCTTCTCTTTTCTTCTCTCCCACAAAAAAAGAATAAAAGCCACTAAAAAAGGCTATCTATCCACCATGCCCCCCAACCTCCAACCTAACCCTCACCTCTCTCACAAGCGCCTTCGCCTCCTCAACCTCCACCCCATCCTGACACAACTCCGTCGCCAACTGCATAGCTCTACTATAATCCCCATTCCGCATCGCATGTTTAGCCAGCCACATCCTCGCCTTCGACGTCGCAGCCGTAACCCCCGTTCCGTTTCCGGTTTCCCCTCCACTGCCACCTGTAGGCTGAAGTGGAGGTCGACTGGGTGTCTCGTCATCCGAGGATTGAGAGTCGGCGTGGATGTTAATGACCGAGGAACTTAGGTCTTCGGGTGTTCCTTCTTCTTGGGCGACGCACATCTCCATGTATGCTCTGGCTTCGGCTTCGTCGTCGAGACCTTCGTACATTCCTGCGATTTGAAGGAGGATCTCTGGGTCCATGGTTCCGCCGCGATCGCGGCCTCCGCTGCCGAATGCACTTCCTACTCCTGCATCGTAATAGCTATCCGCAAGCAATGCTCTCTTGAGGGCTTTTATACCCTCTAGATTTCGTCCCATCTTTTGTAAGCATGATCCAACCGCCATCCACATTTTCCCATCCCATGGGCGTAATCCAGCTGCACGTTTGTAATACCATAAAGCATAAGCATGCATTTCCAGAACTTCGTAAGTTTGTCCCAGTCCATACCAGGCTCTGTAATCTCTCCGATTAACATCGACAGCTCTTCTGTAGGACTCAATGGCGGCGTGTGTGTTCTTCAATTCCACATATTCATGGCCCATGAGGGTCCATGCACTCAGACATGAACGATCAAGGGTCAAGGCACGTCGGAAATATTGCACCGCCTTTTCGTGTGAAGAAAGCAGAGAATAGTAATTCCCAACAACAACACATGATTCGGGGCGAAATTTATCGATGGTGGTACATAGATGGGCTAGAAACGAGAGTTTTGGTCGTAAGTTCATGACATAAAGAATGTTGGAATAATGGTCTAAAGAATCGAGCCGATGAGGATGAAGGGCGAGTAGGTTGCTAAAATGAGCGTCGGCGGCAACGAAATCTTTCGTATGATATGCAAGAAGTGCTAAGCATGTCAAAAGGAATGGGCTGGTCGGGAATATAGAAAGAAGCTGGTCTAACGAATTCGAGAGTGTAGGTGTCGATTGGTATAGCTCCAGTGAAGTGTGTAAGTGGAAGATAAACGAAACGATGTTTTGTGGTAGGTGCTGTGCGATGCGATTGAGCTGTGATTTCATTAGTTCTGAGTTTACTAGTGAGATGGGTCACAAACATCTTCTATTCGTCCAATTAAGGAAGTCATCTCTAGCCAGCACCCCCAATTCATAGGGAAAAGATGGACACTTCTCATCAGCCAGCGCATGGCTTCTTCTTCGCTTTTGTCTTTTGAGAGCACCATACCATAACTTCGCTTGTTAGTAAACTTCAAGGTCCGGGAATGTCAACATACAGATATTCCAGCCAACCTTGACTTCCTACTACCTCGCCCGCTTCGTTTGTCCTTTCTTCAAACCAGGTCTGTAAAAATCTGGTTATGGTAACCAGTTGTTTGTTTATCGCAGTCCCACCATCATGAGGGCCCATGACCATTTCACTATCCTCATCCTTTTTCTTTTCCCCCGACATGAATTTTGCGTATAAAGTCAAAAATAGACTCTTCTGGCTCAAACGCGGCATAGAAGGTGTCCCAGTACTGCTTTTTTGAGCCGACGCTGGTGCTTTTCCCTTTCCTTTATTATTTGCTGTTTTTTGCGCTGGAGTTGACGAACTTGTAGATAATATTCCGGATAATACTGTATCTGGGAGGAAGACAGCTGCGCATCGGTCGTACTCTCGACAATCGAAAAAGGACTTTGCCAATAGGTACTGGTTTATTTCTTTTGCTTCCAGCAGCGCTTCGTCTGGATCCGAGTTTCCGCTCACGACAATGGGAGGAACACCCTCACTGGGGACTTCGGTCATCTGCGAGTCCTCGGGTTCATCTGGCTCAGCTGCAGCAGGTATCGAGGTGAGGAGTTCTGCGGCCCTTTGCATGTATTAGTAGAGACTCGGCCGATTGTGTGTATGTAGCGCACCATTTCGCAGATTGGTAGAGACATCGTTCCGAGCATTTTACCACTGCTTCTTGCAGTGCCGCCCTCAAGTGAGCCGTCTCCCGCTCACTAAACACCATCGCGCGCCTCAAATTGTGGTTCTAGAGCTGATCACAATCCGATTCCAGTTCTAGCATGCGGTTCTTGGCTGAACCAAGTTCTTGGTGTTGTTGCGCCCTCGTGCTACAGAAGTCCTGTTGGCTTCGAATACGCGTGGAAGAGTGACTCTTTTGAGGTCTTTGATAGCTGGAAGATCTTGGGTAGTCGAGAAAGTCAGAGCAGTATGAAAAGAAGCTCCAGCAGTTCAACCTGTAGAAAATGCGCGCATTGTTTTGATATCGGCAGGAGGGCTGGAGGCGAGGCTACCAATGCCAATCACCTCAGCCGTGTTTACACTTGCTGGTACTGATCTGCTCTCGGCACTATATCGGCTCCGGTACCTGTGCCTGGACTTTCAGACCACCACACCCCTGCAAATAATTTCTGCCCCCACTCACCCCGCGGCTCACCTACCTCTGTAAGCTGATTACATTGTTTTCGCCCAACAACCTTGAACAACCCCAACTTTGATTATCCATTGAGCTGTCAAACTCAAAGGCCTCCGACACATCCTATTTCCGCTACTTGAAAGATCGTGCGGATCCTCAAAATCGACCAAAATGGCACAAAAAACTACCCTCAAGGAGTTTGAAGCTGTCTTCCCCAAACTGGTAGAGGATCTCCTGGACCACGCCAAACAGTACAAGCTACCTGATCAATTTGTGAACTGGTACAAAGCCGTAAGTGTAACACCATTGATATGAAGCTAAACATCTTACAAATATCCAGTCTCTCAATGCCAACACCATTGGTGGAAAATGCAATCGAGGCATGTCAGTACCCGACTCGGTTTCCCTCCTCCTCGTAGCACCCCTCACCGAAGAACAATACTTCCAAGCCGCCACACTAGGATGGATGACGGAGCTTCTGCAAGCATTCTTCCTCGTTTCCGATGATATTATGGACAGCAGCGTCACTCGCCGTGGAGCACCCTGCTGGTACAGACAACCTGAAGTTGGTATGATTGCTATCAACGATGCATTCATGCTCGAAGCCGCCATATACACGCTATTAAAGAAGTACTTCCGCACACACCCCGCTTACGTCGAGCTTCTGGAATTATTCCACGAGACTACTTTCCAAACCGAACTCGGCCAATTGTGCGACCTCATCACCGCTCCAGAGGAAAAGGTTGACCTGGACAACTTCTCCATGACCAAATACCAATTCATCGTCATTTACAAGACCGCATACTACTCTTTCTACCTCCCCGTTGCTCTCGCTCTCTACCACCAAAATATCGCAACCCCCAAGAACCTCAAGCAAGCTGAAGATATCCTCATTCCTCTGGGTGAATACTTCCAGATCCAGGACGACTACCTTGACAACTTTGGTCTACCAGAACACATTGGAAAGATTGGAACAGATATTCTTGACAATAAGTGTTCATGGTTGGTCAACCAAGCCTTGGCCATCGCAACCCCTGAGCAGCGAAAGATCCTCGATGAGAACTATGGACGTAAAGACAAAGCCAAGGAGGCCGTTGTAAAGAAATTATACGACGAGCTTAAGTTGGAGCAAATCTACAAGGATTACGAGGAAAAGCGTGTTGGAGAGATTCGAAAAATGATCGACAACATCGATGAATCCGAGGGACTGAAGAAGACAGTCTTTGAGGGATTCTTGGCCAAGATCTACAAGCGAAGCAAGTAGAAATTCAACCGTTCATTTTTGATCATCATATTGAAGCATTGAGGGAGTTTCAATTGCCTAACATACCAATATAAAGTATACCAGCTTGCGTTCTCATAGATTTCTGCCTTTTAGATAGGTAGTTTATCTGATTTAATATACCCATTTTTGCTGCAGCTTTCATTGACCCTTGGTTGTCGTTGATCGTAATCCTGCCGTTCTTCATCTGTTTCCTAGCAATTCACTCATCGAGGATGGCATCGTAGATCAGGCTCAAAGAAAACAAAAAACTATCCCAAGAGCCACCCAACCCCCACCCACACACACACCTTTATATATTAAGATAACCCTCGCCCTCCCAAATCCACCAATTACACACCTGTTGATGGTACCCTAGGTAATTGCAATGGCCTAGCGGTGCGACAAAAGCCCAAAGGTTACCTGTACTAGCCTTGTAAAATATATAGTACTTGTACGCCAATGAACAATAATGTAAAAGTAAAACTCAGTCCGTCTGGCTTTAGGTCCTGTGGGATTTTTTTTTGCGGTTTCTTTTTTCTTTTTTTAGGGTTTTATGGGATTTTGAGATGTTGTGGGGTTTTGATAGGGAGGAATGGGGGGTTGGTAATTCATGTAAGGGTCTGGTGGAGTGAATTGTGGCTCGCTTAGTGAAATCATAGGGGTAATTGGCATATGTGGGTCCAACGGTTGGCATTGGAAAGCACCTGTGAGTAGATAAGTATGGGTGAATGGGAAGCTAAGTCATCTTATACCCTTACTACTTAACCATAAGAGGGGAAAGGTAGTAATGTTCTACTAAAAGATAATTTATAATAGTGTAGAGTGGTAGTACTACCTTTACTACCTATAACCGCTCTAAGTACAAGTTCACTATTGCCATTCATCCTTCATCTAGGTGGAAAGACCTCGGGGAGTTGAAAGTAGGTCTATCATATAACCTTGAGCTAACCAAAGCCCCACTACAAACCGCTTATTATTCCACTTAACCTCGAATAACATAGGAGTTAGTATCTATCAGGAGAAGTATAGTCGAAGCTCCGGTGGCGCGATGGTACACATCAGTGACTGAGGGGTTTCGTAGGAATCCCTGATATTGGTTCCTAGAATTTACAACTCCTCTGGGGGAGATGCAAGTGGCCACGGGGGGACAGCGTGATTACTGCCTAGGTATTCGTAGGTGGTTCTCTTGTAATAGCGCTTGAGTCTGTCTGGCACTAGTAGTTCTTTAGGGGGTTTTTGGACTGTTTTGGGAATCTTGTGTAGGGATAGTGCGCGATATAGAGGTAAAGGTTGATGTTAAATCTTTGATTTGCCCTTTTCTAATTAAGCGAGGAAGTGGATGAGTTGCTAGTCCTACTAGTAGGGCTACTAGGTAGGCACCTCGCGTAATTATCTTAAGGCGTGTTAGTACGCTTGTTTCTTAAACTTGGTTATTTATCCCTGGATATCTGGACTAATCCTTAATATCTCGAAGACTTGATCATTGCGCAAAGGCTTTTACTACGATTTCGAGTTCGTATACGCTACGCTTCTTATTGTCTTTCTTTTTTCTGAGTTTGTTTGTATATATATATATATATTAGTATATCAATACTACGCTAGCTATTACTTACATCTTCATATTGCCGTGAAAACACTAGCTTAATTCTTTGTATGGATCGAGCTTAGAATACTGTTTGGATGATGGCGCAAGCTAGTCCGTCATATTTCCTCTTTCAACCCTTATGAAAGGAACGCTCCTACATAGGTATTCATCTCTAACCTTATAGCCTCCACCTTCGACCTTAGGTTTGAAGTTTGTAATGCTGGTATTCATCATTTATTTCTTAGTCTGGTATTTAGCTTGGATGTTTGGGGGGTTGTGGTGGATATCCCAGTTAGCAAACTATGTGACGTACGTTTCTGATATAGCCGTACCCGTACCGGTAGCAGTGGTATCAGCTCCCCTCTGCATCTTTCAAGGCTCACATCTTTTGTCCGTGGATATAGAAGAGTAAGAGGGTACATGGTTATTCTGTACCCTATAAGTTCCCAAATATGATCCCGCGATTTGAGAACATGATGGCAGCGAAGCGTGTTTGTGGGTGTTGGAGGGTATAGGAGCTGTTGGTGAGTCTTGTGGATGTTGTGGCTGCCACTTTTTAAGGGTTGTAGGTGGTGTGTAGGTTTTGAAAAAAGGGCTTTTTTTGGGATGAAGAAACTTGGGGTTAGGATGGATCTTGGTTTTGAGGAGTCGATTAGTTGGTGTTGGTGGTAGGTTTTATGGGTCAGATGATGGAAATCTGGTGGTTTGAAGAGGCGGGGGGATATATTTACTGAGTAGCAGAGCTAAGCGAGGGGGTGCTGCTACTTGAATACTCTGCTTTTGGTTATGAATGTAAATCGGCCCTGAGTCTTCTTTAGATTATTAAAAGCTTCGTAGTGGATTCTGATTATTCTGGACTATCAAAATGGGGTTTTCAACGTGCGGTATTTCGCTCTTTTTGGGTGTCTCGGAATAATTAACACTTCAATATGTCTTTTTCATATCTTTTCGTTATATTACATAACTCTCTTCTTTACACTGTATTCTGCTGATGTTTTAGAAACCCCCAACCTATCCCAAAAGACCTCTCGCACAAACCCCTGAACCTCCCCGCCATTACCACCCCTTCTTCTCTCCTTGGGTCTCTCCGTTAATACCAATTATGCATTTCACAACACCTCTAGCAAACTCAATGACTTCGCATATCATCCTGAATACTCTTATAAGAGGTTCGATACATATATGCAGAGAAACCCAACTACACAAGGTAAACAATCACCATCGTGTCGGCTTCAGTAATCCATCCGACCATGCGTTGTGGGAGGGAATAGGGGTCGTAGTTGAACTTGTTATTTGCAGTTTGTGGGTAACGGTGATACTAATCTAGGGGTATGTTAGTTGTTTTGAGTGGTATTTCTGAAATTCTAGGGCTTGTTGGAGTTATACTGCATTGCCTATGGACGAGACTTTTGGTGCTAGGTAGCTAGTTATCCCGTAGACAATACCCTTTTATTCTATAGATGCAAATGCCCCATTTAAAACCCCAGTATGACGATACATGCTTTCACTTTTCTGGGTGAATTCTGAGAGGTCTTGCCATCGAATTATCAATTCTTTTGGGACATGCTGAGGCACAAGTTTTGATGTCCGCTATTCATATACACCCCTGCTAAAGGTGTTGAAGCGGAGTTACGATTGGAGTTTTGTGATACACTCAGATAAACTGATTGAATTGCAACTTTGAGTTCCTGTTGAGGTTTTTTATATTTTACAAAGGTCTATAGCCTGCGGAGGTTCAACTTCTGGCATCACTTTATAGTGCAGGCGTCTACGTACCGGAAATCCTTGTCTAACTAATGAAGTCCTGCTTTCAAACTTCATAAAACAACCTAGGGTCAGGTTCTAGTATTTGGGCGTGTATAAACGTTGAAAAGATATAACTCATGCGAAATGGCGGTGCACGATATCATACCGTTACACTCAGTCACCTGACGCCAATATACATTTCCATCCAGTACATTCAATCATACAAATGTTTACAAGTCCAAAAAGGCCGAGAGGAAACCATTGTGCTACATGGGCATGCTCATTGGAAATAGGTTTTGTGGGTGATTTGAAATAATTTACTCTTAGTTTTATTTACTGGTTCGGATATTCTAGAATAACTAAATCGGATGTTCTGGTATTTCTAGCAGAATATCTTATTGGTGTGTACAGTACGCGGACCAATCGTGGGTTTTCTGACAGGCGTCAAATATCACGTTTTTCAGCTGAGTCCACGAGACCTCCTGAACGTTACCCGCCTAAATATCTTCAGCACTTTCACCGCAAAAGAAGCCAGATTCAAAAGCGCACAAGTATGGATTATTCATGGCGGCTTTTCCAAAGGTCATGGACATTCGTTCTTTCTCCCTTTGGTCTCGACCGTTTCTTCACCTTCTTGAAAGGGCGGAAGTTGACATTCGGATTTTGGGTCAAGTACTCTACTGATCGTGTCATACTTCCTCCTTCTGGTGGCTCGTATGTAAGTCTCGATCAAATAATTTACATAATACCTGTCCTGACGGGCCTAGGAGAGACAGCTAGTTTACGAGCCATTGGAGCATCGAGATAGCATTCGTCTCCTGGTCCTATTCAAAGGGAAACCGATGGATCCAATACGGGGAGAACTCATTCAAGGTCGTATAAATGATCATCCAGAATTCAGTGCCTTATCATATTGCTGGGGCGACACATTAATTTCTTCAACTATCCATTTGGAACAAGGGGGCGTCCAAGTCACAGAGAACGGTTTATTAGCCCTTCAACAATTACGGTCAACTGATAAGAATACCATTCATTGGATAGATCAGATTTGTATCAACCAAATTGATTTGCAAGAGAAGATCAACCAGATTCGGCATATGCAAGAGACCTACAGGCAAGCTGAAATGGTAAATATCTGGCTAGGACCATCAACTTCTAACAGCGCTTTGGGAATTGAATTATTTCGAGACTTTGCTACTCATGACCTCAAGTCGCATTCGAAATCGGTATGGCAGCTGCACTCTCCTAATCAAGTCATCGTTGCAATCGAAGATATTCTTTCTCGGTCCTGGTTTGAACGCATTTGGGTTGTCCAAGAAGTAGTAGCCGCTAACAAAACCACAATGCTATGCGGTCAATATCACTTTTCCTGGATACCAAGCGACATCTCTCAACTCCGACGTTTTCAACGTGGCATCAAATTCGCAGAGATCTCACCGGAATGGGAACAACTTGGTTTGAAAGTAATAGACATGCGTTTGTTTCTCGATCTTTTGGCTCTACAACTGAAAGAACAACGGAAGAAAGCGCGGATTGAATACAGAGTGCCATCAGACCTTCTCGATGTCATGCATGAGCTACGCTACAAGAAGTCATCTGATCGAAGGGACATGATATTTGCTCTGATGGGCTTAGCGGATACAGAGATCATGCCTGACTATGGCAGAACTGTCGAAGAGTCCTTTCAATCTCTGAAGGAGCCGATGGACTTATCCGATGATACAAGGAATCGCTGTAGGCCCAGTCCATGCTTAAAACTCGTATTTCGCTGACATGAACTTCATAGCCTTGCTAACTTGAGTAGCTATGTGATCTGAGAACGAATACTTGGAATTGATATGCTTTACTATTATTGCAATTACAATTTTTAACGCGGTCCGAAAGAATCATGGAGGCGGACTGGAGTTACTCTTAATTGTAGGAGGACATAAATTGTCTTGTTGGCTTTCCTTCTTGAACGATTCTGCAGTACGCCTTACCGAAAACACTGGTAAGTTGGATGCTTGAAATAGATGGCGAATATAAGCTCTTGAAAATGTAATCATCGCTTGTTTTAAAGTTCAAAAATACAGTAGACCATTTTCCTCAGTGTTAATCGCGGCTCATTTTTATTTTCCACGCTTGCAAAATTTGGATGCTATTAACATGAGTACAAGTCTCCAACTAAACTCCTAGCAAATCCCTTCCTCATCGTCTCTTCTTTGTAGACTAGCCAAAGTAATTAACCTCACGTCTCTTGGTGCAGTTGTACTAGTTATCCAAGAGTCTCAAGTTATTTATTTCAACCTACTTGAAGAAGGTGGAACAAACGAACAAAATGTTTCGAGAAAAAAAGATCACGATAACCAGGAAGCCATTCGTCGCCACTTTTCTGTCCACCGCAAGCCTTTCACGAGATGAAGAGCAAACGAAAAATGGAAACAGGAAATAGACGAGCCTCCGATGGAAAATGAGACCATCTTCTCGGGCAATTCATCTTACTGAGACTTATTCTCACTTCTCACCGAGTATTCGCCTCGGTCCTATTCCTCTCAGTGAAAGAGAAGCGAAAATGACAATCCCTCCCATCTCACATATCCTCAAGATCTCAGCCTCATGATCCCCTCACCAACCCCTCTAACCGGCAATAGCTCCGAAGCAGGCGGGAACCTCGTGCAGGGAGGCAAAACAATTTGTTGCCCGCATCCGCCCGCCCGCGTGCCCACAACCATGGATCTCACTATCTCGTTCCCAGAGCGAGAAGAGTTACACCTAACCATACGGATGCCAGAAAACGCACAGCATAATCTAGCATTCCCTCGTCTCCAACACCGTTCGTAACCGGGTTTTCGTGGTATGCTTACTCGGGTCAGGACGTATTTACCAAACAATGACAACTTTTGGTATCGGGTAGCTTTCCTAATCCAGCGGCTAGGGCTTGTATAGTGCATACTTTATATCCCCCCTTGTTCGGGAACATACCATGTTATCTCCGCTCCGATACAGAAAATATAAATGAGCTAATTTCCTGTACAAAATAACTCCTTTAGAATATTTGCAGCGTGTACTGCATACCCCTGGCTAATATACAATGCCTCGCTTTTCGGGTAAAGAGGTGCATGGGAATACTGCATGCCACGCTCCCATACAACCCCTCTCAGACATGGAAGAGGCCTGTAGGTATCGGTACTTGTACATAAAGGAATTGTATCTGCTCGCACTCGAAGGGCGTATTAGTACATATCAGCCGCGTGCCTGAATCGACCACTCACAGAAGAACATCTGTGCCGCGAAGAGCCTCGTCCTTGAGTAATGTGCCGCATGCTTGCTGGATGACAGCGTTTAGAAAGCGTCCCTAGCAATTGACATCGACCTCATGACCAATCCCATGAATTTGGGAGCCGCTGGCTTTCCAAACGGAATGCATAGAAGGTATTCCTGCTCGTGGATGCCATGTGCCAAAGGAATACAATACTTCTTCATGTGTCAAGTCAAGGAACAAACTCCTCCTACAAGACGGAAACCAGTTTGTAAATCCTCTTTACATGTCCTCTGCGTCAGTTGCTCTACTCCAACAAGCTGTATCCCAGCCCTACCATATTTCCGGATTTTCCTTATGGCGAGAAGATCATGAACCATCTCTTTACGTTATTATCTCCGTGCAGACCATGCAGTGTAGGAGTATGGCCAAGACATCAGAATGCCTGGGTCCAAATTCGTTACCGAAACTTCAAACCCATGGTAAACAATAATTTGTTACAAAGCCATTATACATGCATATCCCACACTCTTATCATCAACGTCATTGAAGTGCTTGTAGGAAAGCTTGCCCCTCAATAATATGCACCAAACTCTTTGGAAGCCGCATTGCCGATTCTCTGTGTTCACATAACCCATTTACAGAGACGAATACGAAGTACGAAGCAAAATAGGCACTAGTAACCGAGTTTATCCACCACTTAGGTTACTTCCCAAACTTCAGCGCCAACGTCTTGCGCCATTCTGAGATCGTCAATTCTAAACGTATAAATCAGATCACGGTAAATAAAGTCACAAAACACGAAGTAGAGCATTTGAAAACAGTCTGATGAGATACCACCATCTTGAGGACTCAAAGAACCTTGTCCACCGCCCACATCTCTTGACAAACCCAACTTCCGGCCTAGGCCAGCCTTGTTTAACCTACAAGCACTTGCCGTAAGCTTGCATGGTTGTATTTCTGTCGCGTGACAGTGAGGCTTACACTACACAAGCCATTGCATATAACAAAACAAATATTCTATCTACCCCTGAATTTGGTTAATATAAAATGTGGGTGCCACCACGCGGTAAAGTACTGAATGCCTAAAAGGAGTGTTCGTGCTTCCGCCGCCATGCGCCTTCAAGGATGTAAATAAGCATGGTCATTCAGGGCTGGAAGCCGGCAATTCAAATAGGTTTGCACAAGATCCTTCCGTGGAACATTTGTATGCTTGCCTGGTTAGCGAGACAAAGGAGGTTGGGTGCAACGATCCTCAAGGAATATAAGCCGTTCTTTCGATGCCGGATTCCCAAAAGGGCGCAAAGTTGAAATGCCATCATGATCAGGAAAGATTGGGATTTAGAATCACTGCCTGTAAGAGATGCCAGTGATGTAAGATGGTACGTCTTTCCATTCATACCACACGAAAAAGACGGCCCAACTGTTCGTCCACGAACAACACCATGATACACAAGCCTCATCACAATTGCAACTGCTATCGTCTGCGTAAATATTTGAGATTCAGCTCGAAGTAACTTCTTCGCGTTTTGTAAGATTGGTGCAATGCTTTGTACAAGAAAGTACAGTGCCACTCTGCAACCGTTCGGGATTTTTCCACGTGGAACCTTTTCCCAGGGTTCAGATTCCCGCCAACGACGCGCTTTAAATGGTGGTCGGCGATCCTAAAAGCGAAGATATGATTGCAACCTCGCCATCCGACCGAGCAATTCTTCCACCATCCAAACTGTATTGTTATTGGAGGCAACCTTCGGATAACGGAGGTGTGTATCAAGGGGTGCGGGAAGGCAATATTTAACCAGGCGCGTCCTTCGTTTCAGGATACAGCCGGTAAGAATTGGACACCTACTGCACCAAGACCCTTGTTGGAAATAAATCTTTCTTCCCTCATCGTTAACAAGATCCAGTTGTGGAAAAGAGTTGCAATATGATTTCCCCATCAGTAGTCCAGGAATAGCTTCATCATCGTCGGAGGAAAACCACACATGTTCAATAGTTTGTCGCCTAGTATCGAACGGAACTCAACTGCCAGTCACAACACCAATGTAACATTGATCTGCAGACAAGCTGTTTGTTCAGCTGCCTTCGACGACTTATACAGCGAAATCCTGGGCTACAATGCGTCTCGGGTCGATGGCGCCATTCGTTCCAAGACTCTGAAATGATATCTGGTAAAGCTCTCAAAGAGTATTGTAAAGGCGCCATCGTTAGCTCCGTGACTGTATACTTTACTCTGTTATTGTATCCTTATACTGCGCAACGGCTGCACACCTTCCATGTGCCTTCAAGTTAATTTTCTAGGTTATTTTCTTCTTGTGCTTGCCACAAAGGCTTGCGTAATAATGACATTTCAACATAGCGGGGTAAAGCGCTGAGATCTGCCTGCCGAAAGTCGATATCGTGGGGGAGGCGCTGTGATCTACTTGCCGTCTTAACGTGCACCAATGGTGTTGTGGTTGTTGAATCAAAAGCTCCGCTAATAGATGATGGGTGGTGGAAGGCTTGATAATTGTGCAGGAGTAACAGCTCCTTCCCGCTTGCTCCCAGCCTAGATATTCTTGCAGGTTGCAAGCTTTTCAAGCCTGCCTTCTCCAACCCCCTCCATTCCTCTCCATCCTCAGTCACCTTCTCGTCAGCCCTATCTGTATCATTGTGGGGGTGGTGCCCGATTCATCGGCAATTCCTTAGTATCAAAGGCCATCGGCGTCTTCAGGGGAAGTGTCTCAAGGTTTCTCATTCTTATCAGCCTGTTCCGAGCAGAATCACTCGCCATGGACTACCTTCGGCGTCAGATCGCCATAAGAAACCCGCCTTAAGGAGTAAACAAGCGAAAAATCACATAATGGGGTAGACAATCCGATTCGTGAAAAACCAATACTCTAATACTCCAGCAGATGAGTTCAGTTCAATGCCCCTCTTTCGAGGCTGATCTGCCTCTGCATGCGCGGATATACTGCTGTTTGAGGACGTTGCGGTGATCAAGGTTGGGAAAACAGAGTAAACCTATGCAGCCAACATATGGCAAAGCTATACGAGCGAATTTTGGTGTCCCTGATCTCCGAGCCGCAAAACACGCCATTTGTAAGTTTTAGCAATCAAAGGCCGAGGCCTCCCTCGCTCCGTATTGACAACTCATAGGATGCTCCACACTTTGAGCAGTTTACTGTAGTATCGGTGACCATCTTTGGGCTCCATCCGATGGTTAGCCAGAAATAGAACTGTTGTGGAGAGAACAATCGCTTCTCAACGCCAGGTTATGGTGTTTGAAACGATCGGAGCATCGGGTGGGGCGAGAAAGTGGAAAGTTGGGGACGGCATCCGTAGTTGGGCGATTCTTTCAGCTGTGCCTTCACACCATTTCCCAAGCTCTCATACAATCCGCACACACCGCTTCGGACTTCCAAACCAGAAACTCCAGCTTCCATCCCCGGCATATCTATCCAAGAATAGTGACAGAGCGAAGAAGGGCGTGCAATATGCTATTGTAGAGTGAGCGCCCATGATCATCATAACAATCATCCTCTCCCAAAAACAGTAACCACCCCATCGGTGCCACCACAACACCATTGGTCACCCCTGCTTTCGTCTTTCCAGGCAACACAACTAATAACATTTTGCCTCTCCTTGATTTTTCCATCTCTTCCGATCTTCTTTTTGGCCTCGACCTTGCTTCCCTCAATGCTAATTCTCTCAGCCACCTCTCCACTGAGGGTATCCCACACAACTACCTGTCCGTCCTCGCCTTGGACATTTTCGTTCCCGCATAATATCCATCTCTCATTTCCTCCAAAGGCACTCCGCATTCGAAACTCTCCATTTTTGAACGTCTCGTCCCTGTATCCTTTCAACAAACCCCCGGTGTCTCGATCCATTAGACGTATACAGTCGTCGAGCCCCCCAGCGAGGATTCCTTTACCATCCCTCGTCCTCGCAAGACTCGTAACACTTGTTCCCACAACATCAATTTCCACCTTGCCCATCCTAACATCATAAACCCTCACCCTCCCATCCACACACCCTGCACAGATTTCCCACTCCTTCTGCCCATTGCCCCCAGCCAAAACACAAGAAACGCTATCCCCGGCTTCCTCTAGAATCATAATAGGTTTCGAACTGTTGCTCTTGACATCCCAAATTCTGACTGAAGTGTCAAACCCCCCAGACACCAATAGCGAGTCTCCAATTCCAGCATACGTCACACAATTGATGCGCGCTGTGTGCCCATGATACCCACCTAATCTGCGTATTGTCTTGGCCGTCGACACATCCCAGAGAAAAACATTACGGTCTCCTCCTACGCTAGCGAAAGAAGCATTATCCTTCGCGACACTGATATCAAGGACCTCGTAACCATGGGCGGAGTAGATTTGGATGAGCTGTGTTGCTTTCGGGGGTGCGAGAGGATCAGGATTCGGAGGGGCTGCCGGTCGAGTGGGATTATAAAGCCTGACTGTTTTGTCCGAGGAGCCGGTAAGGATATATGTTGATGGAGAGCTGGAATATGTTATGGCATGGACAGGACCTATAGCTTGTCAATATATCTCTGGAGTGCTAGCAAAGCAAAGAATGTACCATTTGATCCGTAAAGTTGCGCAACAACCCTTTTGGGAAACTCCATTTTGATTGGAATTCTATAACATCTCAAATGATAGTTCAACGCTTCACTACGTTATGCCTCCTCTCAATTGAATGTTTGCGTAGTTGCTGTTTGGTGTTGTCTCCAGCGAGGCCCCACTAAAGCTTTCAGCCTTGTGATGGTGGGCTCGGCAAAACTGCGGCTCGTCAACGAAATCACCCCTTTCTTTGCCTCGCTTCTTGAAGGTAGGGTAATTGAAGATCCATCTCCAGATAAACCTGGGGTATCCTCACCGGAGAATTGACGAGCGGAAACATATAATATATTTGTCTTTTTTTAATAAACTCAAACTGAACGTCGCAAAAGTTCCCAAAATCCGAAGGCAAAATCCTTGCAGTCGGCAGTCCCTTGCTCCGGAACCCTTCACCGAGATCGACGAACCTTGGATCCTATTGTTACCGGTAGAAACGACCTGTCTACCAGTATAAGGTTGAAACTTCTGGAAAAATTCCCTACCTACCGCTAAAAAAGCAAATGAAGAGGTCAAACTTTAAAAACATCCCGAGTTTGGGACGCAGCCACGAACTAACTGCCACTGACATGCTTCGTATCATGGCAGCCACATCCCCGTTACATTCAACATCAAATCGCATCTCAAGACGCCGCGCTACAGATACGGCAAACCCAACGCTTATCACGGGAATGCCGTGACTTTACTAGAGTACCAACGCTACTGTACATTCCCGGACTTCGGTACTTGATTCCCCTCATCTAAAGTCATCAAAATTACAGTACCGTGAGTCAAGCACTTGAAGTGCTGTACCACTTGGGTCATCACGAAGGCTTGAGATACTAGCTCGCCCCACCCCGCCACAGTCTCAGGACCGAGATACCGAAAACTGCTGTAACTAAGTAAATCTTCTTACTGTACAGTGTACTCGAGATGCTTCGGACTTACACGCACCAAACAACTCCTCCGTCCTAATCGCAAGATCTGAACTCCATAATGCACTCGTACTCCCCACTTTCAAACTTCAACTTACTGCACAAGTAATTTCCATCTCGAACTTTCAGTAGCAGCCATCAGTTCTCACAATCCAACCAACCCGCCATGCCTCATCAAGCTAAAGAAGCACTACTGCATAGCAGATGACAACACAGCCTGCATCACATCATTCCAAACCTTCCCTATACACAATCAACCAATCCATCAGCAAAACCCCTACCAACCTTGGTCTGGCACCAAAAATACCTGCTAGACTCACCTTCCCGATCTCCTCGTATCCCACTCTCCACCCTTTCTCTAAGATCCCGCAAACAATAAAGTATATAACAACTCAGTCCCAAACCCACCTATTAAATCTGAGTCCCAAGCATGATCAAGTGAACAAAAGCTTCTTCTAAACCAGAAAAATCCCTGCACTGCAACGGCTCTGATGTTACTGCACAAAATAGCAAACCCTGTACATATATCTGCCTATCTTTCGCTCAAGATGACCGGTACATCTCCCAAATCCACTCACTTCCTTGGTTCCCCTATCTGACTCGTACTCCACCACATCAAACTTCTTGAATCGCACTGGTGATCTAGGTATGAACAAGAGAAAGTCACAATGATTAATTCGTGTAAATCGCTTACATCGCTTCTATAAATAAATTTTGGCTCCAATCAATGATTTCTATTCTTCTTTCAAGGAGCTAGAGCAATCCATGGATGCCTCATTTTATTATACATTGCGCGGCGCTAATTTACATCACTATCTCACAGTATCCTTGACAGCAGAACCACTTTGTTTGAATCTTGATATCCTTTCTTCTCGTAAATAGTAGTAAACATATATAAAAACAGGTATATCAAGAAATTAGACAAGGCTCTTTTATACAATAATAGTATGCTGTAAATATAATACATCATCGTATAACATGGCAGTCCGTAGACGACCAACCGTCCACACTCAATCAAATGCACCTCCAACGCCAACGCTGTAAAAACACAAGATTCCACCTGTAGGGGAAAATAAGGAATCTTCAAACCAACTAAACAACTCATACTCATCATCAAACAACAAAAAAAAGAAAGAAAAAAACTCTCAACCATAAATACAATCGAAATCCTTCCCGAACATCTTCTCCATCCCATCTCTCATCTCGAAAATAGACTCACGTCCCTCCACCTTCCGGAACGCTCCAAATCGGAAGCTAGTCGCGGTCCCTTGCGTAGTCAACTCCGCCAAATCCCTAACTCGTTCCAGCACCGATGCCTGCTGATTCTTCGCACTCTGCCACCCCATGGCCAATTCTGCAAGCACACTTTGGGCCCCACTGAAATTCGCCAGCCGGCCCGGTACCTCAGAGAGGGTCAATCTCGTTGTGAGAATATCGATCGCAGCCACGATTGCATAGCCGACAAAGGGCGTCGAAAGGCGACTGTTTGGAGCGTGGTGATTGTGCGATACAGGGCTAGAAGGAACCGAGGAGCGAGAAGCAACAAGGGCATCGGTAATACTCAATAAGGCCTCAGCGTGGTATCTAGCTGCTTGAACATGGTGGTTGTGCTGGGCAGCATTGAGGTTAGAAAGCCGAACGTAGCGATTCAATTTCATGGCTGTGGTGTGGTAGAGAGTATGCATGGTGATGAATGTATTGAGGGTGTTACTCTCCGTCCATCTTCGTACGTTTTCGGAGCTGAAGGAGAATGGTTTTGGTAGAGACGCATGCCATGCCTGCAAACGTCTGGTAATCGTTTCATAAAAGGCACCGAATGGTGCATTCGATGATGTCTGCCGTTGGGAACTGCGGTTGATATTGGCCATGACATCACCCCAAATAGTGATCATGTTGATAGTGTAACCCATCGACCCAATGGTCCAGTTCGTGTTGGAAACCGTTGGTGTAGAGATGTCGTAGAAGGGATTTTGAACATCCATTTGAGACTCGTAACTTCGGTCATCGGAGGGAAGTCGGAGAAAGATATCTTCAGGGTTAAGCATACTGAGATGGCCAGAGCAAAATCCAGTAAAGCGTTCAATCAAGAAAGAACTCCAGAATGTGCGTCGCCTACATTCTGCATATCCATGTCTAGTAAGACCATATGGGAAACTCTGTAAATAAGCCTCGTTGCTATTCTCCAGCTCGATGTTTAATTTCAACCCACTGGCAGCTCTGAGGGCCGAACCGCAGAAATCCCAGGCATCATTCGTATTATTGACAGCAAAGTAGTACAAAGATAACAACAGTCTTGATTGAACAAGTTGTATGCTGTAACGCCGGTTTTCACATGCGTATCGAGCAATGGATATGTATTGAGCATAGAGTGCCTTGCAATCCGTTCTTTTGGAGAAAACGCCACTTATTGCAAGGACGCTGTATATGAGCATCAGATCGTCCAACGACTTCTCGCCTCCGGATAGTATCCACGAACGTAGAACACCCTGCGGAAACATGTTCGAAACTGATTCTGGAACGTGTCTGAAGAACACATCGATCAAGTCGCTGACCATAGCAGGATGGGCATTAGCAGGGTTAACTTGCCATTGTCGGTATATATCATGGCTTGCGAAAGATGCATTATCTGGCTCATCTTCTCGGGCTGAAGGTCTAGGAGACCCTTCTGATGGGACGGGGGTGAAGTGACTGTAAGCTGTTCGTTGTCGTTTCGATGGGTGCGCTTCTAGCTCTGGCGATTGGCGTAACATGTTTCGAGGCGAGATGGGACTGTTCTCACGAACAGTTTTGTATGATTCCCCATCAGCCCTTGAAGATGGAGGTCTTGAGACATCCTCGGGATCAGCAGGCGGTGTATCTGGAGTACCTTGCCCACCTCGAGGTCTGGGAAGCAATGTTAGCTGTTTCTCGAGAACTGAAATCTTTGGTAACATACGCGTTCTTGAATTTGCAAACTCTACCAAACTTTTCGCATTGAACACAACGAGGATAGTCAGGATCGCACTTGATCTTCTTCTCTCTGCAAGTTATACATGCAATTGCGAGTCTCTTTCTTGGCTTTCCGGCTTTTGTTACCCCCCAGTGAGCATTTACCGCCTCACCGTCGATGACGGTCTTGCAGTGAGTTCCATCATCGTAAAAGTAGCACAGGCCTTCGCCAGCTACTTCAGCTTGTCGGACAAAACGAGGTAAAAACTGAGTTCCCGTCCAAATCTTTGGCCCTAGCCCATCTTTGGAAGTTGCTACCTCACCCCCTACCGTGCTCGCTGGGGTTGGAGGGAAACTTGGAGTAGCCGGGACACTGTGAGCTACTTCTCGGTATGTCGTTCTGAGTTCCTCGGACCTATGTGAAGACTCCGCGTGGTTTCTAAAGGATGAAGAAGTGTCTCTTGAGAAATACTCTGGTCGACTAGACTGGTTACGTGGAGACCAGGCAGTGACCGAAGGTCCTTGTGGTCTCGACTTCTCTATAGAGAGACGCTCGTATCGTGGAGATTCTGGTTTGTTTACTGTTTGGCTTGGTGGTGGAGGTGGCGCAATTGCGGCCCTCTCCACCCGCGAATCTGGTCTTGAATGGAATGTATGCTGTTGTACTGGTCGTTGAAAGTAGGAGGGTCCATCCGAGAACGGTCGTTCCGTGTGGGTAGATGTTGTCAAATGCCTGACATCAAGGGGTGACGCTGAAGGGAAAACTGGGCTTTGGCGTTCCGAGTAGGGAGAATGAGCAGGTCTAGCTTGATGTCCAGATTGATGTGAGGGGGAACCAAAAAGGCTGCTCAATGAAGGAAGCTGCTCTCGGCTGGTGTTTTGAGTGGCTTCTGGGCGGGTAGAATACATCTCTGCTGTCCGAGAGCCTCTGCTCACATCTGACAAGGGCGAGTGTGATGGGCTCCAACTTTTATCCCCCTTTCTCTCCGAATGGGTCAGGGTTCCGTCTGATTTGGTTGACTCGTGTGGGTAATACCGTGGTTGATGCCTCTCGTAGGTATTGGGGCGCTCATTTAGAGAAGCAATGTATGGTTGGGTGTAAATCTGGGTCATGTTCGACTTCGTACGAGTGATATCCAAAGGATCGACAAACTGAACTATATCCGGAAAGAAAACATACAGTCGAGCGTGACAAGTAACTATGTAGGATCTGAATACGGTCGTTCAATTCAAAGGCGGCTGCACTCAGCTGACTATAAAAGAAGACCAGGTTAGACTTTGGTATGAGATTCTGGCCGGAGTATAATGTGGCGTTTGGGCGATTCGCGTGGCGGGGTTGAGTGTGCTTCAAGTTAGTCCTGAGAGATTCTTGTGGTAGTCAACTTGACCCGCGATGTGAAGTGTGCCGAAGAGATGTGACGGTTTGGATGAGGCGATGATTCTGTTCGAGGTAGAGAACAAACACTTGATTGATGAACACTTGTGGGATGGCGGGATGAGAGGAAGACATGCTTGTGTAAGTATCTACCTAGCTTCTCCATAAATTCTGTAGTCTCCGCTACTATCAAGGGTCTCGGTCGGTGGTCCTGTAATGACAAGGGTAGCATTTCGGTAGTGGAGAGGGTGGTGGAGGACGGGAAAAGTGGCTCATGCATCGGTCATGTCTGAGGGTAGCCCAAAGTGTGGTTGATGACGCTATCAAGAACATGAAGAAGCTAGACTCGACGAGGCAATAAATACTCACGTCTCGATGAATTAGGAACAGAAGTTTGTGGCACATTATACTTCTTTATAACATGCTTGTATCTTGGCTACCGCTGATATTTACATGTACATGGAAGCCGTGCCTGAAGGGAGAGCGGCAGCAACATGGGAGGAAATGACAGTGTGACAGCGGTTGGGATGACTTGCGAATATGGCAGAAGAACTTCGATGGGTAGGGGTAAGCGAGAAGGGGACAGAGGGGTAGGGGGAATCAGACCCCTAGTACGTGCAGGACGTGGCGGACTAGGCTTTTGCTGAAGGACCGCTTCCTTGGAGCGAAGAGCCGGGGGGTGTTTGGGACTTGGGAATCAGGAAGGGGAACCCTCAAGGCCTGGGTCTGTGATATTGTAAAGAAACCAAGAGCAACACAAAAAGCCACTGGCTTCGTACTGGTAGATTCCTGCAAGATTAACAGTAGACATATGTATAATACGGAAGAACTCGTACTTTGTTCGAAATGTTTGGAATAGAGCAAGAAAGTTTCATCTGTTGAGCCGCGTTATTTTGCATTTGCATGTCTTCTTACTTTCCCTGTCACGGTCACATCCACGGGACTCGGGACGATCAATGGCTCTCACTGGAGATCTCTACTATTGTTCTCGTCGCTCGCAAGTTTGCCAGTTTCGAGATTATGTCCGGAGAACAAATGAGAGGCCATGAAAAGTCAGCCACAATCCCTCCACATGGCTCGTACGCTATGCCTAATGAAGCAGTTTGACGACATTAACCGTACCGAGTACGCTTAGCACGCTTGAAGGACAATGATTCAAGCCCTCACGTACAGATTACCCTGTGATACTGCAGTAGAGTGGCCGCTGGGTCCATGTCTCCAACGTGTGGAACTTGTGGGGTAAGATTGTAAAGTTCGATCTGACAGCTTCAACAAGTGGTTCGGAGTCGGACATGTACTGGTAACTGTTCGTTACTCTGGCGAGTCTGGCAGTTGTAGGTTTAGCGCCCCGCTCACATCTCTCACCATATGGGACCAAACGTGGGAAAACACTTGCAGGCTCTCGTTTACAGCGTATATCCCTCTAGCCTCCAAGTGCCGCACAAAATCATGGGAGGAAGGGATTCGGAGCGAGGAAAATAGGAGGATCTGACCAACCAGAGTTCCACTGAGTTAGAAAATCATGTAATTCCGTAGTGTCGCTGTATTTCAATTTGAGAAAATTCCAGCGATTACTATGGGATATCTCGTCCTGCTGAGAGCTATGGGGTTAGTTTATCGTCGTGGTCGTCAATTTAACCCCAATACAAACCCCAAATCAGTAGTGTATTCCCAGAAACCCGGCGTGCGATTTGCGACCCATGGTTTGTGAGAGAGTCCTGACAATAATAGCCATGATAATTAATAGCCATCCTTGCGGGAAAGGTGAAGCTTCCCATATTTTCCCAATGTTATCCACTGAACAAGCCCTGTCAAGCCCCTCCGAGATCAACCGACAAAAATAGGCCTTTGAGCGTATTCCTAGAACTTTGAATGGGCCTCATCATGCCCCATGCTTGCCGGTCACCATACGCCGGGATCATGGGCTCACGTTATTTTGGGCTTGGGTTCATGAAGAAATCCGAATTCCAAGTGGACGAGTTGCTCGGCTCCCTGCTGGAGCAAAAGTTAGTCCCATCTGAGCATCTGCCTTCGCCCCATCGTGAAAGGCGGGAGTCTGTGTGCATCACCGTGCAGTGCTGATGGGAACAAGTGCCGCGCTAGTAATCCGCAACTTGTCTCAGCCAGCACTCGCCAAATGCCAATCTCGGAAGGTCTGGTCAGGTTTGTTCTATGGCCCGTGAATCCACGTCCACGTCCACAGCACGCAGCTTCTCCATTTAGGGTGCTCTTGAGTGATAACTGCCATACTGATCACCCCTCGAAGTACCCGAAGTAAAGCATATAGAAATGGTGATTACCGGAGGCATAGGACAATGTCTTAATATTGTGGATCAAATTGTTGAAGCGGGCGCACGATCAGGAGTTTCTACTTCTAGGAAAACTTGCGAAATCTGGGAAAGCATAGACGCAATCCACCATGGCGCCGATAAGTTTCAAATGAGGCCTCGATATCACATTTCATCTTTAACGGGGCGGTTTTGATAGCGTCTGCTAACCAACATGAGTCGGAAACTTGATGACATCGAGTGCTGCCACCAGCTGCGAGGGGGCGTCCCGCCAGACTGGATCTGGGTTTGAGGCCGATGCAACTAGAGGGCTCCCAACGGAACAGGTGGCAGACTAATGGAATTGCTGGCGTACTACACTACTACCTAAGTAGGTACCGCAGAATTTGCAATTGCCGTACGTATTATTGCTTTTGCCGACGCCTCCAGGAGGGTTTCTGTACGAGTAGCGTTCCAGCCACGCCATTCCATTTCAACCAGTGCCTCGGGTGGTGTAACTTGCACGTCTGATGAGCAACGGAGTGCGGTACCAATGATGACGGGATTAACACTCCGTAGCTTGTGGGTTTCTCTCTCGACTTGCCCCTCACCCAAGCAGGTTGGGCCTGGGCTTGGGGCGCTCAAGGGGTTCGCGGTAGCATGGCAGAGATGATGATACAAACACTTCGCCGTATTATAGAATCCGCTCTCGCTCTCGCATGGCATGGCATCGCATAGCATAGCATCACGACTCTTTACCTCGGAGGAGGGTGGGTCTGGAGTGGTGGATTGTTGCACCGCAGCATAGAGTACAACTCACCCGCTGGGTTTCTACAGTCGCTGTCGCTCTCGTGGTGGCGTGGCCATGGCCATTGCGAAGGCGACGATGTTTTCCGTGACTAGAGCACATCATCCGCGGTCTGACGCTGGCGCCGGTGCTGGAACTGGAATTGGAGCTGGAGCTGGCGCAGCGGGACCCTGATGGAGGGGTCATGAGATGAATGACCATGTCTGGATCATACTGTATTGATATCGGCGATAGCATCAAAAAGGGTTGTGGTCGACCTATTGCCAACACGCCCCCAAGGCCTCTCTCGGGAAGCTCTATCGGGCTTGGACCGACTCGAAGGACTGCACAGCTTACAGTCGGCGCTCCTCTCGGGCACCACTCGGTGGTGATAGTGTTGGTGATGGTGATGGTGGTGTTGAGATTCAAAGACCCCTCTTCTCGTCTGCTGGTGCACAGGCACTTCTGAAAGTCACGAGCACGAAGTCATATGGATGTCGCGTGAGGTTGCGGCCTAAGGTTTCAAAGGGCAGTACAGTACGAGTAAGGCATGGACATTCTTATCTCCGTACGCATCGCATCGCATCTTCAGGCTATCCCCATCCATCTCTGCTCGTACTGTCAATTCTAACTTTCCATCTTTACCACCATCATCCTAGAGATGTCCATGTCTCTCCTATCCGCACATCGATCATCCCTTCAACGAACCTCCCGCAAATTTGCCGTTGATATGACAGGAAAGTCTGTTTGAGGACAAGAACTGTACTGGTAGTACGGGCGCCACAACCTTTCTACTTCCAAGTAACAGCTTACAAAGTGATTATTCAACGCTTAATAATTCCAACAATACAACAAGCTCCACTGCCTCGGACGCGGCCAACAGCAAGGTGCCGGTCACGTACCGTAGAAGCGGTCCTCCGCGCTGGCTAGAACGAGAATCAAAGCAATTTCAATGTCCATTTACCGGTAGAGCGAGATGGATCGTTCCCAACACCATTCATTCAGAAGAATCCAGACACGGAATCACATCACAATCACAACACTCCGTGGGCGTTCTCTTTATCGATAAGATCTTCGCTCCCACTACTGTTATCCGTCGCCCAGATTCAGTGCCGTCGAGGTCCGAGGAAGGCCTTACTTTAGCCGAATCCAGTAGGCCAATACCCCCAAACGTGGTGCAGAAGAGTTCGGCGACTTCTCGAACCTAAAATTGTGCCTCTGCTCTGCAGGAACAAGCGCCGTAAACATGGAATGGCGCTGGGATCACTATGCCGTGTGCCAAGTTTAGTCGTCAACCAGACTCGAACCAGTCCAATTCTGGTAAAGATGGGTTTTCGGCTGCAAAACAGAAACGAAAGGATGGATCCCAGAATGCCACGAAGAACAACTCTAAAACGTGCCGACGGATCAGCTTACCGACAAAACCGGCGTGAGGGGCCAACTACCGCTCTTTGCGCTCGTAATTGCCGTACCTTCGGCTGGGAATCCCAACGCAATCAACAGAAATTCAAAAACTTCTAGATGAAGGGGGATACACCAAAGCTCCCACTGGGAAGTACTTCGTTCCAGGCGTGTTAATTGTAATTTTCCTAGGATAGCTTCATTGGAGAACAGGATAAGACCCGGTAAAAGTACAATTATCATGCCTGGGACAAAGTACTACTACAAACGCCGTCCTTGGCTCTTAATTGTTTTGGAGTACGAAAAGATCCTTCGAGTCCTTTGGACGGGATGGGATGGGATGGTGAAGCCTGGCCAGTGGCCACGAAAATAAGATGGATAGCAGAGTTTGCGGCAAGGTTATGACAAATCATATTTCTTCCTCATTTCGCACTGCCGGAACACAAACTTCAACCCATCCTTTCGCTTATTTTGCCGGTAACAAAGTCACTTTCATTAGGTATTGATGCTCACATTTCTTTCCATGCCAACCAAGCACCGGCAAATATTTGCAGGTCCAAATCCTACCTGGCCATGACAGTCGAGGCAACTACTATACTTTGGTACATTATCTTCCGTTGTCTCAGCTTTAATAACACAAGCACAATTCTCCGTCTATCCCATGATTTCCTAGCCTACTTACGTACCCACGTGCCTGGGACGGACTATTATTCGTTATTGCTTTGCAATACTGACAAGGTCACATATACAATTCCAACTACTTGGGGTTTTCACAGCCTATAAAGCAAGGCACCCCATCGGTCTCACCGCCAGCTCTTATTGGCTTACATACGAATCAGACCCTAGCTGCCGATTTCCCGCCGCAAAATGCACAAGAGATCCCAAGAATAGTACCGTCTTGTGAACCAAGTACCTTCCTGTTCATGAGATGTACATCATGCACTGTAATTCGTACAGTACATTCTTTGCACTACCCGACTACAAATGCATGATGTGTTGCATCTATATTTTTCCTCTTAAATTGGATAATTCCCTGTATATTAATAGTATCTTGCTTCTTCGCAATGGTTCATTTTCATGATAACTAAAGTATTAAAGTTCTGATCATTGTGTACAGTGTACGGAATAAAGCAGGCTACCGGCTCAGCAGAGAAGTCGACTAGTCGAGAAGTCCCTTGGGAACTTCCAACCGCCCAATGAACTTTCTCGTCTAATATTCCCCCAAAAAGAGAAGACGGTTTTGGATACTGGTAGCGCGGTAGGGTTCCGAGTCGGATCCCATGTGGTACGTGAGCACTACCGAGTGCAAGGAATTGCCGTGATTCGTTATCGTGGATACGAGATCTCGATGTGTGGGGCATCAGGAACGTTTTCTTCCTCCTGCGTTGAAATGTTGACACCAGCAGCCACAGACGTACTCCGTACGTGAATTACGGAGTAATGTCATTCGATTTTACGTTGGTTGGTGTTGGTGTCAATGTTATCGATTGTTTGTTAGGCAGAAGACATCTACCCAAGGAGGATGGTTGTGCATGCATACACGAATATTTACTCGCCAGGACAATAATAAAGTACAGGTACAGGTTATTGCAAACTCGATACCTCGAGTCCTCAAACTTTGGATTGACTTTATCCGTCTACACAAGCTGTTTATCTCTGTCCTGACTTGAATCGCGCATCTTCATCCCTATGTTGCTCGCTAATTTCAGAATTTAGGGAGAATGAACGCTGGGAGTCTATTGTTACGAAATTTACTTCTAGTTTCGCGAGTTACGAAAATGTGTCTTAGCAAATTCTCACTCGTCCTTCGGAAGTTTTTCCCACGTTATTCTACAACCTAGAAGATGGCAGGGACAAGCCTCCAATGGCAACGTCACGGGCTGTCGTGGACAATGTGGACGGCAGGAGAAAAAATCACGGGAAAGAATGCCGACTCCAACGAAAAGTCAACGACAATACGACAATTCTTTTTTCCCGGGCCGCCGCGATGCCACGTTGTGGACCGAGGATCTGTAGCGGCAACCATCCAACAAGCAGGTTGTCCTCAATGCCCACATCCTGTTGCCCCCCGCCCCCCCTTACCCAAGTTTACCGAGCCCCGTCCACGAAGAAGGGGTAGCGGTCCCACAAGGAAAATATGAACATGGGAAAGGGAGATCACACCACAGGGAGTCCCGTCGAGAGCCGAGAGTCGTGTTGCTGGTTGCGTTGCTTAACTTTTTACCAGTGCTGCTCTCGCAAGCTCTCCCCTTTTGGGATAGTCGGGTGGGNTATGAACATGGGAAAGGGAGATCACACCACAGGGAGTCCCGTCGAGAGCCGAGAGTCGTGTTGCTGGTTGCGTTGCTTAACTTTTTACCAGTGCTGCTCTCGCAAGCTCTCCCCTTTTGGGATAGTCGGGTGGGTGCGGTGGGTCAAGATAAATCGGGAGCACCTTGAGCAAGGGGACCTGTGGTGGGGTGGTATGGTATTGGATGGGGGGAGTGGGGTAGTTGTATTGCTTGGTTTCTGTACTCGAGTACAGTTCGTAGGGAACAAGGGGATGAGGGAGAGGTTTTTCTCCTCTGATATCTTACGAAGTAATTTATTCAACGTGCGCATCGTCATTCCCATGCCCCTCGTCTCTTGTAACCCTACAGGAGTGGCACGGGCCCGACAACCTTACCGAACCTGGGAATTTTCTGTTTGCTTAACACCATTTAAATATACCCGTCGCGGCGTGCATGTCTGGCTTGCTGGATCTGTTGCGAATAGCCGCGCTGGTGGTGCTCTGGTGGTGCTCCGGTGGACAGCTCCATCATGACGACGTCCGAATGGGTTCTTTGGTTTTCCCGCATTGAGCTTTGATCTCCTTTTTAGGGGTTTGAGGTGCCAGTGGATGGGGATGGGGAAGTACGAGATCGACACGAATTGAGTATGGACGGAGGGGAACGACGACGACGGCGGATGAGTTGTGATGTGATGTCGTGCTGCTTCATGATTCATCTGATGATCCGCTTCGGGAACTTCACGAAAGTGCCTGCCTAATTGTGGTTGAGAGTTCGTCTGATGTTGGATGTCTTGTTTGAACAATTGCTTGTTGTTGGTTTGTGCGTATTTTCTCTGCTATACTGTACCAATGGGGTAAGTTACGATTGCGCAATCGATTGGCTCGGTGACTCGGATGCTTGTGGCTGTTTGAGAACGTGAAGGGGATTGGCATTTCCGCATTGGTTACCGGTTCTCGGCTGGGTGGCGTGGTGGTGTTGTTGTGTTGTTTAGTGTTGGTGGCTTGCCTGCTTGCAAATATGTTGGACGTTTCCCATCTTTCCTTGGCCTGGATTTCTGTTACTTGTGCGACCAACATTTCCCCAAGTAATGCATCGTTCGTTGACGAAATTGGCAGGTACATCTAGGTTGGGAGCGTTGGTCGGTACCGGCTTTCGGTACGTACCGTGCCATATTTAAGTGAATGTACTTGAGAGGCTCACCACGGTACTTGGTCCCATTTTTGGCGGCTAGCGCGGCGGGGTATTCTCTTGGAAAATAAAGACTCGTCGCATTTATAGATGTGTTGGTGCTGTGTATATATGAGCTTTTGTTTGGTGGAAAATTGTAGGTTGGTTCTCAAGCGATTCCTGATGGTTTATGATATTTTATTGCATCATGTTGGGAAAGATGCGACGAGCGTTGTTGGCGTTACCAAACTAGATTCGAAAAGCGGAATTAAGGTGGTTTGATATCGGGTAGTTGTCATTGTCAATTGTGTGGTAAGCAGTCCAATAGCTGCAATATAATTAAATAAATTATATCTCTATATATTCTGATTTATAATTAGAAATGAGAAAGAGAATGATTATAGACCAAATGACTCTAATTTCTGAATAAGATCCAAGACCTTACTACAAGTAAGCTTTCTTAAGCCGATAAGCTGCCCACGTCCCATTTACTGAATTATCGGTGAACCCGTTGATATCATATCGTGGCTCGCCCCCATCATTATTTAACATGATATATCGAAAACTATCGGTATATATTGTTACCGATATTTAGCAGTCCCTTGAATATTCTGCCGACATCACTATATAAGTGACAGAGTTTGATCACGGTAATGATCCCTATCTCTCAATTATCTTCGCTAATTTTGAGGAGGAAATACTGACTCATGATAATATGACTCGGAGAGAGGAAACAGTAATAAAAGGTTTAGGATTGATTATTAGGCTTTAGCAAACAACCTTCTCGTATTTTCAAATGGGCTTCTGAGAAGCTTCTAGAAGTAAGTTCTTGGTAGATGTTAAATAAGAAAAAATAATAATACGAATCATAGGTAGTTCTAAATATACTAACCTTCCACGCAAAGTTCCGAGATGATAAAAATGAAAGATTGAAAATAGAGCTAGAGACTTTTTAATTTGTTACTATATTTTCTGTATTAGTTCTTTTATCTCTCGATTCTTGAAGTAGATAGATTATAGTGTTATAATAAGGTTCGAAATATCTAGAGTTTATCTTGGGGCATGGTGGGGGTATTTGCTCTTTTGGAAAGAAATAACAATTCTACCTACATAGTCACTATCTTATGATATAAGAATTGCCTCCACTAGAAACTCACGCAAAATCATAGAATCGATTACATTACCTAATTTCCTTGGACAATTAATCTTAATAAATGTCTTTCTACAAAAAACGTCAGACGGTATTTTAATTACATATATCGACTCTTCTTTGTAGAATTATAGGTGAAAACTGGAGCCAATAAAAGACTATAAGTTAATAAAAACAAGGTAAGAAATATTTAAAATAACTTTTAATCACTAGAATCCCCCCTTGTTGGGGTCCTATAATATCCTGCTCATTAGGCTACTGGAAATGATGTATAAACAGCTTTGTAAGGCGTTTAAGCGATAAGTGAGCCAATTACCAGAAGGAGGTGATTTTAGCTTTAAACACCAAGCTTATTTCACCTTACTTAACACGATATTTTTAGGGCTTTATGAGCACTACATACTATATTAATAGCGTGGAACAGAAGCCCTAGCCTCAAGGTACATAGCCATCATTCTCCAACCGAGAAAATGAACGTGCTGGCAATAATGATGCAAACATTGTCTAAACAGTCAATTATCTCAATTAGAACATCCTACCCCTAAGTTTTCTAGCTAAGTATTATCATTTTCGTCACTTCGAGTCCTCTAAAGTGAAAACCTGGGTAGAGAGTTGGCATAGAAACGTCTATTGTAATCTAGCAATTGGCCGGGGGCGAAATGGCGTAGGAATTTGACATATCGAGGGAATTTTAATTCGACCAAAATATGTGGTCCCATCTCCATCCATCCTTGTATTGTAAGTCATACCTGGGAAATCTGCAGTGTTGGTAAAAAAATGGAGTGGTGGTTCTCCCGCTTGATCTGTTTCCAATCATCGCATCAGATCAGGGCTATACTTCTATAGCCAGATTACTACATGCTGAAATCTCCTCAAAGGAATCTCCAGTTATTGTGTCCAACAGTGGGTTCTGAGACCAAGACGCCTCATATCCACTAGAGAGCTACGTGTCAGTAGAAATGACTACCTTGAGTCTCTTGTTTTCCCCTACCAGAGAGCCTGACCTAGGTTCTGCCACTTGACGCAATGTGCTACGAATACAGATAGTTTCTGTGGCGCAACATACCGAAAGTGCCCGCGCTGAGGGGTGTTTGTAGAATAAAACAAACGGGTTGATTCGAAGAATCTGACATTAGGGAAATGCTCTTACACGATGGTTCCAACCTAAGGTTTTGACTGGGTGAACCCGATGCTCACTCATCGTAGTAGAGTCGGGAGAGATTTTTGATTGCTATTATAACGAACAGATACGTATATTCAATCAACAACCGCATTGACCCTTGTAGTCTCGAGAGTATGAGCCGTGGTGTTCAACTAGTTGCGTGATCTTACCTGCGTTGCGACTAACAACAAATGTGCTTTTCAGCTACCTTTGGTGAGCATACCACACCTCTTCGAGCCTATAGTAGATAGACCTCTTGTATGCCTCAAACTGTTAAACACTCTTTGTGTTTTGCAAAATTTGACTTTACTGATTCCGATCGGTTCTGGGCAAAACAACCCCTAGCAAGTCTTACACTACAACATGCTAACACTACCTCAAAGTTACATAGCAGGAATGGTTTGAGACCTCACTTGACATGAATTGCGACATTACTGCCTCATAGATAGTAACAGTTTTCTCATCTCTCAAGAAGCAAAAGTTATGGAGGCTTCCGGGGATTTACAGAGTCTGAGTGGGATACCATACAAACTCATGGTGAAAGCTCCAAGAACGTCTTTGAGAACTCTTGGTGTGGGAATGTAGTCAACGTACGAGCAGTCATATCCAAGGGGGACTGTGACGTAAGCTTAGTCGAGGTTGCCCAAAATCTCGAATCGATTTGCTATTGGGCAATATGCAAGTAACGCATTGTTACATGTTTTGTAGAGTACCATCACCTAATCGTTAAATCCAGCTTCTCATTTGCTCAACACCCTTTCCTTCTATACGGTGAATTGCAATATACACCTAATAGGACCAGCGTATCATGCCATCTAATACTTCTCCTGCCCAATCCATCGAACTACCTATTCGAGCCCGAGAGAATCTCGAGAGGAAGATCAGCCGATTGGTTGTAGAGACATGGCTGGTACCTTGGAAGTCTACTTTGATAATATGAACCAGCTCTTTGGCGATGAAATAAGGATCCTCGTGAGATAGTAATGACTTTCCACGTGGCTTCGACACGCTGACTTAATTATAAATCGAAATCTCAATAGTTTCTGCTTATGAGCAGATTTTTGGCTGCTTTAAACATATGAATCCCACCAATCTCTTCTAGATTTTGCAGATAAAGACACTTCGTGGTGGATGATTTTGGGATTAGAGGTTCAATGGGAACCCTGTTCTCGCTTATTACTCCATGACTTAGGCGAGTCTTGGAGGTTACCAGGTGCTTGGGAAATTGATGAGCACCTGGTAATCAACAATGACAGGGGCCACAAGTAAATCTACTTACTATAGGAGAAATGTAACTACCGAAAGTTACTTGACATCTTGGCTAGGTATACTCCCACATGAGCATTTTGAGAGCGATGGTTACCTAAGTTACTTACTACCGTCTAGAGTCTAGACGTGTCATTCCACATCGATCTTGAGATACGTTGCATTTACTTCGATTTGAGTGAAAAGAAAAGGCGGGACCTGAATTGCGTATCTAGACCTCGGTCTGGGTCTGGGTAATTGCTACCTCAAATCCGTCTATTGGGAGATATTTCATTCTGGCGAACGAAGAAATAACCTTACATGACTCCATCACCACACAAAAAGAAAAACAACTTTCCATCACCCCAGAATTCTCAAATAAAAGAAACAGTAAAATATTCACTCAAAACCTGTCTGGTGGTCCATACAGACTACAGCACAGTACAGTACTGTACCCAAAAAACCCCGCACTACCCCACCAAAGCCAAGTTTCACCTGATCCGGGAAGCCATCCTCACCTTGTGTGGGGCCTCTCACTACACTCCTCCCTCTTCACCAGACCGAGTAAAAATAAACTTTCAAAACTGGTAGAATGACTCAATTGCCCCACGAAGAAAGGCCAGTAAATAGAAAAGGGGGCCTGGCTTTCATGATGAACACACTCACGTCCTGGTGCCAGAAACAACGGAAGAGATTCGAAACCAGGCGACGATAACGATAACGAGGAATACCAGGTCAGAAACGAGCGAAGAAGAGGCGGTTTCTCGGATCAACGGAATCGAAGGGCATTTGCCGGAAGGTCTACGCATTCTACGTACTTTGCAACGGCGTATGTTCACTTATTACAACACACCTTCTGCATCTGGGATCGGTTTAGAGGAGAGTACATCTCAAGTACAAGACACAATCCGGTTACCTCACTTGAGACAAGATACATCATCGACAGTACCTCCTCCGGATAAACATTCACACGGCATTCTTCAACGATACGACATCAACACGTGGTCGGATAAGCAAAGCAAATAGACTTTCGATATACCGGCACGCTGCAGAAAAACCAACGCAAATAAATGCCGATTTCTGACCCGACTTTGAGCCGTGTGAGTTGAAAGGGATTTTTATTACGGTACTGTATTCGGGACTGTATTCACGTGGAGAAATAAGTGGAAGGAATAAAGACACAGGCAAAAGGTAGAGAAGAAAAGTAAGTCTTATAAACCCCACTTGTGGGGAATTGACTACTACTGTACAGTACTTCATTCTGACAACCGAATCTAGGAAGCACCCAAGAGACACTTCACATCACTACACAATTCACATTCAAATTGACCCGAAATATATAGCAAACATCCTTCAAAAATGGACGAGAATGTAAAAATCGTCATTGCTGGTGCCGGTACGAAACCTTCCCCCTTTTGTCCTCAGTACAGTTCAATAACTAACGGGAAATATCAGGAATGGGAGGCCTGGCAACGGCACTCGCCCTAGCGAAAAAGGGATTCACATCAATAGATGTCTATGAAACAGCTTCCAATCTTGGTTTTGTGGGCGCAGGGATTCAACTTGCGCCTAATATGGCGCGGATCTTGGATCGATTGGGGGTTTGGGCGGATATTGAGAAGGAGGCTGTGGAGTTGAGGGAGACGAGTATTAGACGTGAGATTGCCTTTCTTACCTTGTTTTGAGATACCTCGCTTTATGCTTCTCTTTTGTTGCTATTGTGATATTGGGCAATGGTGTATCATTGATATTCGGGGATGCTTGGGAGAATTAAGAAGTCACGTTCTTCGATTCTCTTGAGATAGTTTGGATGATTCTCGGTTACTCTGATTTAGTTCGTAACATTTGAGAGAGACTGGAACGAACTGAGGGAAAGGAGAAGCTAGAGATGACAAGGAACGAAATTGAGAAAGTATACTAACAATCATAACAGAAGGAGACTCAGACAAGGAACTCCAACACGTAGAACTAAACTACATCCGCTCACTCTACGGCTACCCTCACATGGTAGGCCACCGTTCCTCCCTCGCGGGCTCCCTCTACGCAGGCTGCCAACGCGAACCCGCCATAAAATTCCACTTCTCAACCAGCATCGAAAGCATCACATCCTTCACCCCAACCCCCACACTGCTCATCAAACCCCGCAACGGCACTCCCCAAACCATAACCTGCGACATCATCCTCGGCGCCGACGGCATCAAGAGCAACACCCGCGCCGCACTGCTTAGTGAGATCAAAGGGAACGCGCAAATCCTCGACACCGACCAAGCCGCCTACCGCATAATGCTCAAACGCTCGGAAATCGAGCACGACCCCGAGCTCCTGGCTTTGATTGAGAATGATGTAGTAACGCGCTGGATCGGGGAAAGTAGACATATCATCGCCTACCCGGTGTCCAACAAGACCATCTACAACATCTCGACCGCGCAGCCGGATAAGAACTTTGCGGCGGCGCCGAGCGCTACGTACACGACCAAGGCGAGTAAGAAGGCTATGATGGACACCTTTGCTGATTTCTGTCCGAAGATCCAGAGGATGCTGGATTTGGTCCCCGATGGGGAGGTGTGCGAGTGGAAACTTAGGGTTCATTCCCCGCTTCCTACGTGGGTGTTGGGTTCTGTGGCTTTGGTTGGTGATGCATGTCATCCGACGCTTCCTCATCTCGCGCAGGGCGCTGCGCAAGCGATTGAGGACGCTGCGGTACTAGCCGAGGTCCTGACATTGTGTCCTAGTTCCAAGCCGGAGGATATCAATAGGGCGTTGAAAGTGTATGAGTTGTGTAGGAAGGAGAGAGCGGAGACGTTGGTTGAGATGGCGGCGCAGAGTGGGAGGGATTTACATCTTGGTGCTGGGGCAGCGAAGGAGGAACGTGATAAGAAGTTTCAGGCTTTGAAGGAGAATGGTCAAGGTGTAACGTCGCCGGATAAGTGGGCGGATGCGGATGTGCAGAAGATGATTTATGGACATGATTGTATGGAGGATGCGACTGCGAACTTTGGAAAACTGTTTGCAAAGTTGTGAAAATAGACGATTGGACGAGCATTGCTGTAATATTTTTTGGCACGGAAGGCAATATAAATAAAACAATCTCGCAATAGACCAAAAAGAAATTGGCATTATATACGTCTCTAATTGTCCTACTTCTCCAAATCGATTTTGAATGAATGCCCCGAACCAACCAACCAATCCAATTGTCCCAGAATACTCAAGAAGGTCTATCACGATCAGAACAACAAGGATAATACCGCTTACCCCCAATTGATATGGTTCGAGAGTCATAGTGATCTTCCTAATTCATATATCTACCCGTATCTAGAACTCAAAACACCCTACTCATGCCCGCAACATCCCCAAACCCAAGCTCCAAAGTCTCGGCCAAAAGATCCCAATTCCTTGCCTCATCGCCCAATCCAGCCCTCGCAACGCCCCTCAACCCACTACTCACAAACCTAACAGCCCTCTCGAATTCCTCTTTCATATCCCTCAACTGCTCCGCATACGACATTTTCCTCTCGTCTTGAAGCATCGACATGGAGAAAATACTCAAATCAACGTCCACTTCTTTGTCCTCATCCTCATCAGAACTCTCATCTTTGAACCTAGGAGTTCGAGAGAACTTCAGACTTGGCCTCGATCGAAATTTTTGCGGCGTATGTAACCCCAGACTAGCCATGGACATATCCATCATATTCTGTTGCTGTTCATTTGCTTCTTTACTCGCTGATGCATTAGCCGCCTGCGCATCCTCAAGTTTGATTGCTAGGTCGAGTGTTTTGAGGATAGTTTTATGGATAAGCCCTAGTTTGGCGCCCAGTAAAGCTTGTCCGACTGTAGATTTGATATACGTGGAATGAACCTCGATCATGGTGTCAATGTCTACCGCTTCCTTTAGTGCATTTTGAATTTTGAGTGATGCTGGCTCCAATACAAGACATGTTATGTAGTAGTAAAGAGCCTGAACAAACCATTGAAGCCCATTTCGTAACGAATAGTATAAGGCGCGTTCATCAGAACTACTTGTTGTTGTGAGTAAATCGGTGACGAGTCTTTGTCGAGTGAGAATGTGGGAGCTTCGTCGAAGTTGGAAGAGAAATGTGAATATTCGTTGATACATAGCTATTGCCGCAGGTGTGACAATTATCTGTATGGGCCAGGGAAGGCGGTATTGTAGTTCTATGATCGCCAAAACCTTGACCGTTTTTCGACATTTGCTAATGTCTTGATTCTTTTGGGACAATGGCAGTACCTTTGTTCGAAGACGATCGATATTGACAGATGGCAAATGCCCAAAAGCACTACTGCAAAGCTCGGTAAGAGTAAACCGGTCACTCCAGGAAGTATCGAGGGTGTCCAGTTTATCAAACAGAGGATAGGTAAATGCAGAACTACAAGCACCATCAGCCATGAAATAAATTTGCCAAAGGGCTTCAAGTGAAGTATGTAATCCACAAGAATCAAACAGTATTCTTTGAAGTTTTGTTGAGGCATGTTGATGTTTACTTTGAATCCAAGTGGCGAAGACTTCGTCAAAAAGCTCATTGAACGGCGCCAAATGTAATGAAGCAGAGCCACAGACAGCATCAAAGTTTAATCTTGGCTCCATTTGCTTATCGATGTCACTCATTGAGGAAAATTGATTGAGTTGCTTGAGCACCACGACACTTTTTCCAGTCGTGAATATCTTGCTTGCAGCAGCTCGAAGAAACTTGGGGGCATGTAGAACACCGTCTTGGGTCTGAAGAAGCTTGAAACGAGATTGCCAAATAGAGACCAAGTCAATTTCCCCCGCGGCTCCGGATATGAAGAAGACCTTGTCTCCTGTGCTCAACTCTCCTTCTTCCATCCAGACTCTGATAGGGCGCAGGTATACTTGGAAACATTCAAAGAATATGGTGCCCAAGTATTCGTATGTTTCCATTTCACCAATCATCTGTGCAATGCATGTCTCATCAAACAACATCTCCAGGTACCGGAACGCATGTGCATATGGTTCTGCCTCTAATATTTTGACAAGAGAAGAAAGCTTGAGGAGCAAATCCACACCTGTTGCGATCTCGGCCTGAATTTGAACGAGGCTTATCACTAAATCGGTTTTCATTTCCAGAAATTTCGCTTGCAGCTGACTTAGATGACGATCGAAGTTAGCAACTCTTGTTAATATAGAACCTTGGAATACCTGGAGTAAAGGTATGCTCTGAGGTCGTTGTGCCCAAGATCTCAGGTACTTGATAGTTGACCCCTGTTCTGCGAACGATCTGATAATCTTATAGAATGCCTCGTGTGAGCAATGCTTCAGAGCGTAGCTTTTGGAGGGTTTGATATCATCCGACTGAGCTTGTGTTTCAAACAGCGAAGTCGGCATACCGGACAACATAAAGAGGACTTCCCGAATGGCTTGAAGTTCCGTGAGAGACTTCTTCACCGTATCCAACTTGACTCCACCAACACTTGGATTCTTCAGCCAGAATTGGGTATCTCGGAGCTTCAATAGACTTTCCCTGTTTGCAACATCCACAATATAATCATCTAGTCGTCTGCCTGAGGCTTGGTCTACACTCGACTGGGTTGTTTGCTCTGTCAATTCGCTTCCTTCGCTCGCGCTATCCTCAAACCCATCATCCGAACTCTCAGCAGCAAAATCTACATTCTGCCATATGCGTTTTTCCCTAAGAAGGGGATCCTCGGCGATAAGATCTTTCCATCGTAATGGTGGCTCGGTTTTGTCTGGTCTCCTTAAAAGGTCCAAGTCTTTGACTTTCGAGTTTATCAGGGGCCTATCAGATAATTCCAAGAGTAGATGCAATATCTCAGGATTCCACTTGGACTGCGACTTCTGGACGTAATCGACCCTTTTCTTGAGCGCATCCGCGAGATCATCCTCATCGTAAACGCGAAACTTCTCATCCAGTCCTTCCAGTTGATTGTAAACATCGAATTGGTTCGTTCGAAGGTAGTTGCTGTTGCGCAAGGCGCGCAGGGCAGACTCTCGATGCGCGCTAAATCGGGCAGGATCGTTCTATGGTGGTATTAGTCCCACATTGGCGCGCAACGAGCAGAGAAGGTCCTTGAAAACAAAGTAAAGTGGTGTCTACCTTTGGAGATGTCGAAGTTATCAGCGTGACCAGCTCCTCGGTGAGAGCACCAAGTCTCGCAATATGTGCCATGGTGGTGTACTTTCATGGTGTTGGCCGTGATCTCGATTGCGCCCAAAGTTGAAGTGGTCTGAATAACGCGACGTTCAGCCTCAGGCATTTAAGGTTATCTTCAGAGTTACCCGTAGAGCTAACCTATCACGAGCCTATCAGCGTATCAACAGGGCATGACCCCTGCTGAAGGGGATTCTGCGAGTGCACAGGTAGAAAAAGATGCTGTGGCAGCACCGATAACCTTTGGCGGAAACTTGACAACATACTTGACAACATGGCGATAGCACGACCGATCAGAGTGCTGGCTCTGGCAGCAATAGGCCTATGGATATTCTTCGCATACCAGATCTTTGGCCCTGAGAAGGCGCCTATGGTAGGGGGGGAAAAAGTCGAGAACATGGAGCGAGATCCCAATCTAGATGGTATGCTATACCTATGCCAATGCGCGCCTCAGAACTCACTGATAACCTTCAACAGTCACTGGAGAGCCTGAGGGACTATTACATCGAGTGGACGAGGGCTACGGGCTTGGTGCTGCTGGCACGGCGCGGATCAATGCGACTTTACTGTCGTTGGTGCGGAACGAAGAGATCGATGGAATGGTTCAAGCAATGCAGGATTTGGAAAGGACGTGGAACCACAAATTCAATTACCCGTGGACCTTTTTCAATGATGTTCCATTCACAGAAGAATTCAAGACGCGAACTCAAGCAGAAACCAAGGCTCAATGCAATTATGGTACATATTCAGCTTCAACCTCAGCTCCATTTTTCGTGGTGCTGAATGAAATAATGCTAACCTCATACTCTAGAGTTGATCCCAACAGAACATTGGGAGGTCCCATCCTGGATAGACGATGCCTTATTCGACGAATCGGCCCAATTGCTCAAAGAACACGACATCCAGTATGGAGACATGAAATCCTATCATCAAATGTGTCGATGGAACTCGGGTTTATTCTATAAGCACCCCGCCCTGGCCAATACACAATTCTACTGGCGTGTAGAGCCAAAAGTCCATTTCTTCTGCGATGTAGACTACGATATTTTCCGGTACATGGCAGATCACAATAAAACCTACGGTTTCACAATCAATCTGTACGATGCGCCCCAATCGATACCTACACTTTGGCCTGAAACAGTCAAGTTCTTAGCTGCTCACCCAGAGTATGTCCACCCAAACAATGCCATGAACTGGCTCACCGACAAAACTCGCCGTCCAGGTCACAATGACGAGGCAAACGGGTACTCAACATGCCATTTCTGGTCCAACTTTGAAATCGCCAACTTGGATTTCTGGCGAAGTCAAGCATATGAAGACTACTTCAACCACCTTGATCGAGCAGGAGGATTCTTTTACGAACGATGGGGCGATGCCCCTGTGCACAGTATCGCCTTGGGAGTCATGGAGGACGCAAGCAAAATCCATTGGTAGAAATCCATTTCCCATTTCACCCCACACTCATCCCTTTACTAACCACTTATGTAGGTTCCGAGATATTGGCTACCAACATATTCCATATTTCAATTGTCCCAACTCACCCAAATGTAAAGGATGTGTTGCAGGCCGCTTCACCGATGGAGAGGCCTGGTTGATGCAAGAAGATTGCCGACCCAACTGGTTTAAATACGTTGGGCTGGGCTGAGTAAATCAAAACCTACATACTCGAGTTTTGTTTTTTTTGGGCGATTTGTAACACCAAATATTTACCCTCTGGTACTGGTATACTATTGTTTATGGAAAATTGGGAGGGGCATTATACGACCAAATGATAGACTAGTCAGGCATTGGCAATGGCGTTTCTGGGATTCGGAGGAAATGAGCGAGAAGAGTATATATGCTCATCGTTGTAATATGTCCTTTTTTAAAACAAAACCTTTGCGGCGTTTGCTTACTCGTTCTTCATCTTGATCGTTGAATAGAGTGAGGGTATATATAGTAGACAAAGAAGAGATTGTGAATGATCTGGGTAATCTCCTAAGCTTTCTTCTGTGAATCTTTCGGCGACTCCTGCTTTGCTACCTCAGGTTTCCTTCCCCTTTCCTCGTTCCCATGTACAGGAAAGTGTATTGTCTACTTATAAATCCTCGAAATACTGTCTTGCAGCCGCTCGCTTCATCTTCTCAACTTCCAATATTGATGCTTGTCACCAAGGCTGATGACCAAAACACTTGAGCAGAAAATGTCAACCGTGGAATGAATTGTTGCTTAGTAGTGGATTGTATGTATTTACATGGACAAAGGCTACCTGGAAACCCGTCATGGTCTCTCGGTAAAGTATGTTCTTTCTATTCCAACCACCTCGCTGACGTCCTCTTCGCACTACTCTGATGGGACGGGAGCTTAGGTCGCTTCTTCCTTCACACGCTCACTATTTATCCCCTCGCCTCAAAGGTCTTGCTCTATCTTATCGCGCTATCGTGGCCTGAGTCGGTATCAAATAAATGTGGGAAGGCACGAGTCTTGTCACTTTACTCATTGCACCTGCACCTTCGGTAAACAACGTCCACATGTACAGTGGACAATCACCAATACTCTTGCCCACGTCGATGCCATGAGAACTAAATCCCAATCCTGCATTTTCGCCTCCCTCTTCTCGCAAACTATTCCCAACATCACCTTTTGCAGGACAACCTAGCCTAACTCTTGAATATACTTATCTTATATCTTTTTCTCCGCATGCCATTCGTCTAATCCATCATCTTCAAAGACGGCGGGCCCACGAGCTGTTACCATGAACATCAACAAATCCCCCACCGTCGTTTATAGAGTCGACCCGCTTAAACATGCTTTCAGAAACGTCTTCGAAGTACTCCCTGAAGGCGTTCGAGATCATGTTGTCGCCGCTATTGGAGAATTCCTCGGCACGTTTTGCTACTTCTTCTTCACATTCGCCGGAGGAGAGAGTGCTGCTGCTTCAATAAGTAGAGTCAATGACCTGGTTTCAACGGAGCCATCAGGACCGAATCCAGCACTTCTGCTCTATATTGCCACATCTGGAGCCTTTGCTCTAGCAGTCAACGCTTGGATCTTCTTTCCTGTCAGCGGTGGATTGTTCAACCCTCTGGTAGGTGACATATCGAGAGCCTGTCCTTTGCTTGATAAAGGTACTGATTACCAGTAGATTTCTTTTGGTATGGCTCTCATCGGAGCCATCACTTGGGCTCGTTGCGCACTCCTCATAGCTATTCAGACGGCTGCTTCTATAGCTGGCGCATACGTTGTATACGCACTATTCAATGGCGGGCTGCATGTGGAGACAACTCTTAGAAATGATACGTCCCCCGCCCAAGGAGTCGTTATTGAGATGCTCTTAACAGCCCAAGTGATCCTCGCTGTTTTCATGCTGGCTTCTGAGAAGCACAAGGCAAGTTTCATAGCTCCAATTGGGATTGGCTCTGCGTATTTCATATCCCAGCTCGTTGGTAAGGCCTCGGTCTATCTTCGCACTTCGCAAACCACTTCGATGCTAACAGGTTCGAAGGGATCGAATGGACTGGCGCATCTCTAAATCCAATTCGCTCGTTAGCTCCTTACATTGTGAATCGATCCTTCACTCACTACCACTGGATATATTGGGCTGGCCCCTTTACAGGAACGATTCTTGCCGTGGTTATCTACAAGCTGGTGAAAGCTTTGGAATACGAAACTGCACAAGAAGAGGGGAAGAGAGACGAAACTGCACAAGGAGAAGAGAAGGGAGACAAGTATCCGGCTCTTCCCACGCCCAACAGAAGACCATCTTCTGCTTTGCCAAGTATCCATTCGGTTGATGTCCCATCTGCCGAGCCAAAGAAAGCTGGAGAGGACATGCCAGTTTGTTATGCGGTATGAATCAATCAAGTCGAAGGTAATGATTCAACTCTACCGTTGACACGGACAAGAAAACTGCCTCAGACCTTGGAAAATTGACGAGAGACCTTAGGGGAGAATCAACAGGCATATTGTGGGTGAGGGATGACGATTCCGTGGAACTTGAAATAGATTGGAACATTACACGTATGATTCCGGGCATTTTCACCGCTGCTCCAGGGAGGCACATACGGCACATACGGATTCTTGGGATGTGGTGGCTTCTGTATCCTGTGCTCTTCTGGCATCGCATTCGCAATTGAACTGTAATGAGATTTTGGTTAGTGATGACGACGACCAACTTGGGCGTCTCCATCGAGTTGCATGAATTTTGCCATCTATTGGAATGTTTCTGACCAAGTGGTCTCGTTTACTTTGCTATACTGGCCTCTGATGTCACACAAGGTCGGTCTATACAGCTTAACGTCGAGTTATGATGTCGTACTCGAGTAGTGATTCGCGGACTGGCAGATTTGTTTGCCTCGACGAATTTCTCTCAGACACATGTCGGTTGATGTCAGCAGCAACCGATGATACCTCGCTAGTGAGGTGGATTTGGATGGGGGCTGGCTGTTTGATTTATTTGTTAGTGCATGATCTCATTCTCGCCACCACCTCCATAATCGCTCTTCTCTAGCCAGCCAGCCTCTGGTTAGCCCAATTTCTACTCAGTGGTCACGCCTCGCGAGCTTCTCGGATGCGACATCGAATCCCAACAAGCGTTGCCTCTCGAGCTGAGAATGAAGTGAGGTGATCCGCGAGGGCCTCCGTCATTGTTGTTTCGGGTATTTCCCATTCATTCTTCCTTTTCATCAGACCTCGCGCGATTTGCGGGTGCTTGATATTATATCTTAGTGGAGTTTTTGTTGGATGAGGGGAAGGAAGGGATTGAGAAGGGCATTATTGATACGAGTACACACTTGAGCATACCAGTACTCGAGTAGAAGACTGCGGTTATTGAGAAGTGCATGGGACGATATGGCAGATCACCTCATTGTACCTTGTGTATGCGGCGCAGGACAAGTTTTGATAATACTTGATCCATTATGGGCTGACCGTTTTTCTCACCGTTTGAATCCTCTTTTGTGACAGGGAGGGAGAGATGGATGTACAGGAGTGGGTTCTGGCGTCAAGTGGTGATCTGTGGGTGCTGGGTACTTACATTGATGAAGTTACGTCGTTTGTTCTCCACTGGATTCAACGGTACGCTTCTTGATCTTCTTTATTGATTCTCCTTCTCGAGGGAGTTTGCGAGTTTCTCTTGCTCCATGCAAGCAGGATTGATTGCAGAGTGAGGCCCGGAGGGTTTACTTGTTGTGTGGAGAGATTCTGGTCAAGTGTCCTGTCGCTGTCCTAGTCAAACCAATTGTGGAGTGAACTTGGATGCACCTTCAATCAAGTAAGTACAAACACTACTGTACACTTACAGATAAGGCAATTGAGACACGGATACAAGTACCGAGTAGGTTCTAGTAAAGCCAACTGTTACTTGTACAGTACCGCGAAATAGCTGCTACAGAAGGTTTCCCTACGAGCAGCCGCAAACGTTGAACCTGCATGTGGTTTTTTGGGGGGTACTTTACCATGTGGTTTCGCCGTGCCCTGTTCTGTTCCCGTCTTTCGCTTGTCCTGTTTTTCGTCATAGGGCGATACGACTGTGAACGGATCAATCCTCCCTGTTGTTTGGTGCTGCTCGGGGAAGATTGAGATAGGATTTAGTTTGTTAGTCGATGGTTGGGCTGAGATTAGTTTGGAGCTGTATGTGGGTGGCTTGGATCGCTAGTGCGGTTTACCTATATTTGTGTGTTACTTTATTTTCGTTGTACATCTCGTTCCATTGAGTCTCTTCATGTACATATGATATGTACTGTACATAAACATTCGCTGGTCTTGCAGAAGCTTGATGTTGCGAATGCGTGCGTGAGTGATGCACTGATGATCCCTTCCCGGGTATTTTTACCTTTTCGTTAAGGAGTTACTGTACGCCAAGGCCCCCTTTTTGTTCAGGGTCTCGTCTCGTACCCGTAAGTTTCTCGCTTGCGGTTGAGTGAGATTTGGGGTGGGAAACGTGACGTAATGGAGACTCTTGGCGTACGTTGAATTACGAGGGAGATTTTTGAGTTTGATTGGATGGGTTGGAAGCCTTGGTTTTTTTGGACCTTTTTGGGCTGCGTGATGAGGTACGGAGTACGAATTGGACTTTTTAGATTTGGAGGAAGATGTTATTGATTATTGATGTGAGTTTAGTGTTTTAGTGTTTACGGACTGCTGTAAAGTGAGTTTGAGGTTTGGGACAGGTGATGTGTGGGATGATACGTGTTTTTGGGGGAGCCGGATGTATCTTTCCTCAGAACTGACACTGGTAATAGATGACGAGATTTTTGATAGTGGGAAGAGATGGGAATGTTTCAAGTTCGCTTGAGTACCATTCCAATACGGAGTAGAGTACTGTGCCATTTTTTTTGGAGTTCAAAGATATGCAGATCTGCAAGGCTGACTGCCGGGGGATTCTCATGACGGAGTGGAGGGGAGGTTATCTGGTTGTTGGGTGATGTGTGATGCAAATGTTCAATCACCATCATTTCTTTCCTTAAGCTTTCATTGGAAGATAGCCAGGAAGGGGAGAGAGGCTGGAGGTTGCCTTCGAGCTGAGTATCCAACAAAAACACCGTGCGCGTGCTGATCTGGGGTTGGGAAGTCGAAGGGGATGGGGTTGAGATCTTTCTTTGCGGCGCCCGCATATCTTTGGGGAACTGTTTGGGTAAGATGGGATGTTGATCTTGTTTAGTATCACCCTCACCCCGCAAAATGGAATGCTTGATGAGTTTCATTTATTTATTATGTTTTTTCCTTTGCCGCAGACACTCCACTTTTTGTTTTTGTTTTGATGGGATGGGACAGGTATCCGTAATGTGATGGAGTATGTATCAGGGCGGAGAGCGATGTGATGTGCTGTAGATTGCATCCTTCATGACGATGCGTCGTCTATGTTGTCCCTGCGGTGAGGCTGCTCAGTGGCTGTTGTCGTTCCGTTCTCCATTTTGATTGTTTTTGTTTTCCCCTCCCCCTCTCCCCTCTCATGATAACGGGAAGGGGTCTGTTAGGTTCGTCTACGATCTGTCTAGCTGCGCCGGGAACCTTATCAGGCCGGATGACTTCTGGCATGAAGGCGACACAGATCATCTGGTGCCGCGCTTGGAGCGCTCCCTCGTCACTACACCCGTCGAGTCTCCATCGCGTACCTGAATGGTACTTGTAGCTCACGATGGAGAGCGGATGGGGCAAAGACATACGGATCCCCCTAGCGATTAGGGGTCTACACCGTGGACGAGGGATGGGGATCTGCCTCCAATGAATGCATGCGAAATAGTCCGAGGAGCGGTGATTATTGTTGTTGTTTTTTTGGTCCGCCACCAGCGTCGCCTAATGAAGAAGGACCCATTGTGTCACGACTTTTCTATCGGTGCTGCCATGCACGTTCCTCGCTCTTTTTAGGACGAGAGTGATGGTAGTGAAGGTCGACGTTGATTGGACGATCCGCATTCGTTGAATAGTGGGCTCTCGACATCGGGGGCCTGAGGGGGAGGGGTGATCCTGGGTGGAAGCAGGTAATGGGGTGATGCAGGTGTGAGTAGGGGTCTGCTTTAGCTTTTTGGGCTCTTGGAGAGGAGGGTTGTTAGGGGATTATATAGCGAGTGGACTTCCTGCTTGGATTATGTGTTTTTTGTTTTGAATATTCATAATATCGGTTTTCTTCTACCACTCACATCTCCATATTCCAAATCTACCAGATTGCCGCAGAGCTGCAATATCTCTCCAGTCATCATCTTCAATCATACCAAAGCGTCTTGAACAGAACACTTCCCTCAAATCTCCTCAACTGTCTCTCGATCACCCCATCAACCTCATCACCCTCATCACCCTCATCACCCTCATCACCCTCATCAACCTCATCAACCTCATCAAACACCACTTCTCAACCAAACACTCTCACAAATGTCTACATATAACGACGAGATGCCTTCTCAATCTCACTTCGACTCCTACAACGACGTCGAAGACCTCACTTCCTACGCACGCATCATGCACCAACACACCCGAAAACAAATGGAAGCCGCAGCACGAAGTGCCCGCAGATGCTCAGGACAGACAGAGAATGGAACTACACCATCGATCTCGATTTCAGGCGGTAGTAGCATCCACAGTACTCGGGGAAGCGTTAGCAGCGCTGGAAGTCGATAAAGTCATGTTCTGCACGTAGCATTGCGGATGGTGTATCAATGGCAGTTAGCAGTTATGGAGCATGACTAATTGTATATGTGGGATCAATGGCTGTAACTTTTGGCGTTTTGGGATCTTTGTTGGTTTGGCGAATCATTGTTTTTTTTTTTTTAAATTCGTTGCTTGGGGGGGATACCTTGGAATACGGAGTGGTATTGGATGGTTCGAGGGAAGGGGTTTTCAGCATACAGCTGTTTGATGTCTGGATTCTTGATGTGGTGGATATTGTTTATGAAATCTAACGATATTACACCTCATGATCTTGACTTTTGTTTTGATGTGAAATGATCTTCATGTACGCTGGTGTAGGTTCAATGTACTTTAAAACCTTGGTCTCTGACGATTCAATACACTTTATTGTGCATCCGCAAAAAGCTTCTGGTTTTTGCAATTCTTTCCAGAAGAACTTTGTTAAACCTTGGTTTTTGAAGATCAATTACACCTCATTGTGCATCCGCAAATAGCTTTCGGTTGCTCCAGAGGAACTGTTCTAATCTAGTGTGTACAGTACTGACGTTGTACTCGTAATCATACCAGTACCTCAATACATCATACTCCCTTGGCAACTCTACATCTAACAACCTAACCCTCTTCTTCGCCACCTTTTAATGCTCATCCATGCCCATCCCACCGCCACATCCCTCAGCGACCCCTACTTACTCCGTACCCCAAGCAAAATTCCACGCCACCTCTCCCCCTCGCCACCATCTCATCTCCAGGCAACGAATCAACAACTCCCAACACATCAACGCCTATCACGAGATCAACCCCCTTCCCTTCCCCTCCCAACTACCGTCCCAAAGAACGAGAGGAGAAAAAAAAAAGTCTAAATAAGAATGTTGTCGCAGACGAGAAGGGAAACTTGGAAATGTCCCGTCACATGTCCTTGTTCAAGACCCTGCCCCACTTATACCAGAATCCTGACGAGGGAAACTGGGATGGGGTGAGCTTTATTTGGGATTCCCTATACCCACTGGATTACCTGGTCTATGAATATATCCACTATTCACTTGCTTGCTGTATTGCTAATCATCGATCCATGTACCCAGGGCCACGAAGTTCCTTACACACAGACACACACACTTCCTCTTTCTCTGAGGTACAAAAGAAGGAAAGGTTAGTTTTCCTCACCTCATTGGTGCCAAGTTTTTCTTGGGTACTGTATGTGTATGTGCTTTACTTTTCCTCTTGGTATACCAGTGACCCAATCTACAGTATTATTCAGAGCACAAAACACAGGAAGAGGCGAACGATCGCTAACACGCGAGATATTTATTCCTCGGCAACGTAAGGAATCTCCTTGTATGCCGGTCTAGATCTTCATGGCCCGGGGCATTACTCGCAGCCACTGGGGAAGATGGGGAAGGTATAAATGGGCTCACTTAAGCGCCGGTTCTTTTTTCCTTTGGGGCGAGAGAGCTGGGCGTGGCGCGATGAAGGGGTTGGATGCTAGGATGGGAGGAGGGCTTTTTGGGATTCTGAGCGTGTGGGGATCGGGTGGTGGGAGATCTTGGATCTTGGGGATGGTTTGGTGGGAGGTTTTTTTTGGGAGAATTTTGAGGGCTTTGGGTTGGGTAACTTGAGCTGGGTTTTGTGGGGGAGGGTGCTGGGAGGTGGATTAGTTGTTAGATAGTTGGGGTAGCTTGGAAATGTTTATAGAAATCTTTGAATGATACGACGACCTTTCAGTGTCTTTCTTGTCTATTAATAGAGTGGAAGATCCGTCGTAAATGGAAATACCATGGTAAGAGGATGTTACCCACCATCCACTCGCCGCTCTCTAAGTTGAGGGAAGAATAACTAAACGTTACTATGAATTCGGTGGGATACAATGTTTGGGTTAAAATGTTTTTAGACCGTTTTTTTAGACTACCTCGAAATAACTTACGTTCTATACTATGGTTACAAGATTAAGTAATACAAATTCACCTTCGCTCGTGGATTTCTCGGCTAAGGTACGATACCGGAAAAGGGGAGACTGAGGATCCTCGCTTATCTGTAATATTATATTATTTATTTCTAGGTTTTTATTATTTTACATGTTTAAGACAATATATTCTTGTGAGTATGAATATACAGAAATAGAAGTATATTGAATATTGTTCTAATTTGATTTAATTTAATTTGTTTCTCCAAAGAGATTATAGGCTATAACTAGTTATAAAACCTAGGACAACAAGTGTTATCGGAGGTAAAGTAACTAAACGTTTTTTTCTCGTACACGCTTTTGTTATACTATCTTTGTAAGTAAATAGAATTTGAATCGAATCTAATGAATATAAACAGTTCAATTATGAAGTTTCACTCGTAGCCTAGAAATGTTACTTGATCTACCTAGAATTGAAGCTTGTTTGCATAATCTAGGCACAAAATCTTATTCTAAAGGAAAAGTTCTCCGGTACTGCAACGGAGTTCGACCTCCAAGGATAGGAATAAGCACGAAATACCATCTATTCCAAACTCGCCTTCACTTTGGTCCCCATAGATTCACTGACTCAATAAAACAAGCCATTGTTTTGTCCTTTTGGTTTACCTGTGATGTTATACGCCCAAGCGTATAATTTGTAGCAGAATTGTAATTTTCCGGAGTTCTACAGGAATTTCGTCAATCGTTGATACCTATACAGATCGAACCCAAATATAAATCTCGAGAGCTGACTTACTTTGTACACCACGACGTATCAGTACTGTTCGTCGTGATAACCACATTTTTGAAAACCAAACTGCCAAAGTTCCATGCTTGATCGTAGAGCTCGATCGCGAATAAGACCTGATTGAAGCTCTTATACGCGAGCGGAAAGGAATCAACGACTTTTGTCGAAGGCTGGTTGTTGAGTACTAAAGTTGTGTCCCAGTTGGGTGTTGTTGTAGAACGATTGTAGGTGAAATGAATAGAATCTCCTTTCTTCCCGTGAAATCCACCTGGCCCCCATGGAAGACTTGGGTTCTCGCAACACCATCCGTTGGCCATGTACCATTGGCCAGCGATGTAGTTTGGGTTATTACTCCGACCGTCTAGGACAGATTGGAAGACGCCTGTTATTGAAATATCTTGAAGTCCTGGCCAGCTACGGATATTTCGTAAGTTTCTACTGTCTTCTACATGGCAATAGGTAGCTTACAGGTAGGGTGTCCCACGGTTTGGATTTGGTGCTGCTGGAACGATCATATCACCTGATAACTAATTCTTTGTATCAGCTTGCAACTCTGGTTGCTGGCTGGGAAGAGATATACCGATGTGAATCCCACGGAATTTGAAGGCGTGTAGAAGCGGAGGAAATTCCTGGAGCAAATTAGGTCATCGGGTCCTTTCTACCTATGGACAGAATGAATATTATGTGAGAACTAACCATGATTGAGCCGTGACATCCTGAAGACAAAATGTCAGAAGAAAAACGCAAGCGAGAATGACACGCATGATGACGAAAATTCGAATTCCACAAACGCACGGAAAGCACAAGGTTTCAAGAGACTCTCAACTCCAAAACGCCCCCCAGATACAGCTATGCTATATACAGACTCACTTATTTATTTATTTATTTATTGCTATTTAACGTCAAGCGGAGTCTAGCTCGCGTGGGCTAGGTCCTAGAAGAGTCCCAATATGGGCAAATGACGCTAGGGGGGTGCCCTAGGCTACAGGGGGTGTAAAAGAAGAGACGCTAATTTACAAGAGACAGTTTAAAGAGAAGCCCCACTTTCGGGACAGCCCTTATCCTTAATTAGTTTTGAGAACCAGGGTATATACAGACTCACAGTATACAAAGTCGGGTTCTAACTATCTCGAGATCTCTTTACCCGATGGACGCTGGGCTTTTTCCCACCACTCTCAGGACACCTTACATTTCCAGAGCGGAAACGTCGAATTTGCCAGTATATTTGGCATGTGTTATCCTAAAAACCACAAGGATAATTGAACTGATATCTGGTTGACATTGGTTGACCAGCTGCAGGGTATCTGACTGGTAGCAATAAGTGGCACCTCGCCTCGGCACTTGCTTTGCAGGTACAATTTGCCTAAATACCAACAAGCGGTTAGTCCAATCTAGGAAGATATGTTTACTGATAAGAGAGATTTGCTAGAATCTGACCAGTGATTGACAAGCTTTGATTGCTGTGCCCCTGAATCAACCTCAAACTTCAAAGTGTGGAGGAAAAGAAGCTTTGGAAAATACCACCTGTAGCTGACTTGTAAATGCAGGTTGTAGATCTAGAAGTACAAGGAAAAGAGGCTCGTGATAATCCTTGCTCATATAAGCACCATTGCAGCAATATAAAGGCGCCAAATAATCAAGATTCGTAAGATATATGTATCTAATCCTCCGAGCTCGCCAGGCGCCATTAAGTGGTTTCGCGTCTTCCTCCTTCACGACCTCTGGTGCTTCTTTGGCCAGTTATGTAGACTTCTTCTCTGTAGTTGCCAATAACTCCTTCTCAACAGACTTCTTCTCTAACACTGCCTCTTCATTACTGGCAGCCTCTGGACTCTCGCCAGATTTCACGATCGATTACTTCACAATTTCTGGGGTGTCTTTGGCGATTGGCCCTTCACTAGTGGGTTCGGTAATCCCATTGGTACCCTTCTCAGCCCTTCCTTTCAACCCCTCTCGCACCTTTGGTAACACGTACCGTCCATAATCAATGGCATCATTCAAATTATCATACCCACGGATAGAAATGAGTTCACATCCAAGGTCAACATAATCCAAAATCGAGTCAACAATCGTCTGATAGGACCCCACGAGCGCAGTGGAAGCTCCTCTGGCCCCTGTTGCGGTAACGGTTGGATACCAGAGAGCACGATCTTGAACCTCTCCACGCTTAGCAATTTCGAGTAGTCGTTGGGAGCCAACATTTTGCGGAGGTGGTGCGTTTGAGGGGACCCTGCTTTTTCCAGCGTCTCGGTTGGCTGTAAGAGCATCGAGAGTGCGATGAGCTTTCGACCAGGCCAGCTCCTCTGTTTCTGCAACAATGGGTCGGAAAGTGACCCAGATTCTTGGTCGATCGATCCGACCTGCTTTCTCTGCCTCGGCGTAGATGCGGTCAATCTGCTCTTTCGTCTCCTTCAGTGGTTCTCCCCAAAGTCCAAAGATATCTCCCAAACTTCCGCCTATTCTGTATGCCTCGTCCGATGATCCTCCAACGGAGACAGGAAGAGATTTTCCATTATTCGGAGGAACCAAATTTCTGAAACCCCTGAACTGATAATGTTTTCCTTCCCAGTCAAAAGGCTCAGGAGATGCCCATGCTCTTTTGCAAATCTTGATATACTCTTCAAGTCTCTCATAGCGCTGTTCTTTGGAAAGAAAGTCGCCTTCCCTCGCTTGCTCAACATCACTGCCTCCAGCAATGAAATGCACAACAACACGACCTTTGCTGATCTGGTCAAGAGTCGAAAGTGCTTTGGCTGCTAGAGTGGGATAAAGTGTATTTGGACGAACTGCTATGATGACACTTAGTTTCTTCGTCACAGCCGCGATGGTAGCTGCGACAGTCCAGGGATCAAAATAGGAGGAGTCGTAAGGGACGAGTGTGTAATTGAACTCATAGTCGTCGAGGGATCGTGCATAGCGCACAAGGTAGTCTGGGTCAATAGTAGCATTTAGAATTGGTGTAAGTTCAGTACTTTTATTGGGAAAGGTTGCGCTGATGAATTCGACTGGCATGTTGACTGATTTTGAAAATTAGGCAGAGTAAAAATGGGCGTGGTAAATGAAACAACAGGGAAAGAGGCTATCCAAACTTGACTTTTATGCGATTGTTAATTTTGTTGATTGGTAAGATTGGAATTGCGACAGATATTGGATAATTGCGTCTTACATGCATCTGATGTGATTGATTAAGAGTAAATGGCCTGTGGTTGCACCATCGGTGATCCCTGGTGGTTCAAAAATGGGGGGCTGTCTTCGATATGCCATTGTAGGAAGCTTCACGTAAGGGCTGGAGGAACCACCAAAGAAGGCCTTGCACTGATGACAATGGGATTAAGTATTTACCAAAAAGAGAGCCAGAGACACCAGAGGTGGTTGAAGTGTATCAGAAAATCGCAGTGCATTTCCGTAACAGTACAAGTAGTAGAGTAACATGACTTCATCATGACGATACCCATAACAACAAACTAAAATCTACTCCTCCAGCGGTACATTCTCGATTTCAAAGTAATCGACAAACGTGAAATATAGTCAGCGCTGAATATAGTTGATTGTCGGCGTGTTCAAAGATAGAAAGCAGGAGGACAGTCTACTGAAATTTGTCGATCGGACAACGATGATACTGCTTTGTGTTGAATAGGAATAGCATTCTCAAAAAAGGAAAAAAAAAAAAAGAAGGGATTACGGAAGAATGGCGACTAGACTTGGAGCGAACATATATTCACTTTCCTCTGATCACACAATGCGTGAAAGGAAACACTCATCAAGGCTGCCTAAACTCCAAAGAAAGAAAGAAAGAAGTACGACCCGATCAATTACAACAACGCCAGCTTCTGAAGGCTTCACTATGAGAGAGTAAGGGCTTGAGATTTGGCGCGTTCAATGGTCAAGCGCCGCTACAAGTGATGTCTGTGGGAAGGCTTAAGAATGTTATATATACCCAATCGCTCTTTCCCTCTCAACCCATGCCTGTAAAAGCATGCGAAGGGACAAATCAAAACCAGACACCTCAATTACTTTATTACTTTCAGTTTCTTCCATGTCCGCGGAGTCTTGTTAATGACAATTGCTGGCGGTGATCTTGCAGTACGGTTGCAGTAGCTGGATGCAGGTCTTAAGTGGTAGCGCAAAGGGAGGAAGGATCTATTAGTGCTTATGCGGTGTACAATGTTCGATTTTCTACCTATCGACGGGTCCACTTGAGTTTAATCCTTCCCTGTTTCTCTGTACACTCAATATCTATACTTGGTCAAATCATAACCAAACGGCTCTTCTTACTTCGCTTAGGCAAGAACAAACCAACTCGCTTAATGAATTGTTGGTTCAAATTAATCACAATTTGCTCTCCACAACTACGCTATGCTGCTATTCTTTCCACACCTCATATCAAGCATTTTAAACCACCAATTCAATTCAAATTCATCACAGCCATGAAAGATACGTGCAAACGTCTTGGCGAGAGCAATGAGAACTTCTTTAAGGATCACCAAGCCCCTATTCTTCGTCTGGATATTTTGCGCTTCTTGGTGAACATAAGGACCTTGGTTTGGGTCTGTTGGGAACAATCAACCTAAATAACTACCATTGTGTAGTATGGATGAATGTGCATTACTGAAATATCTGTGTTTCAAAACCAGCAAATTACAACGATAGTAATGCCTACAGGTGCTGGGATGCTAATGATATCAAAGAATTTGAGGTCTAGAGTTTAATGCTGTTAGCTGCAAGTGAACTTTGACTTAGTCGTTCGTCGATCCACGAAAACTAATAAATCAATTTCGTAATACTTCATGTTTGTGTGATTTTGTAGCTCGTCGATTTTGGCTAATTGGTCAGTGCCTTTGTAAAGCAAGTACAATTTTGTGTTGTTGAGACAGCATTCCATTCCAAATTCCATATTACTTCGCCTCAAAACTGAAACACTTGATGGAATGGATTACCGTGTGAGCTTAAGGTTATCCCACATGCTAAGAAATAAGTTGTTTTGGTATAACTATGCCATACCGCTAGTCCCCTCTTTACTATCAGACGTGAATCAAGAACTTTGATGTTAGGTTGTAGAGGCTAATTGGAATCGGCTCGCTCGTAGTCGCCTCATATTTGTAATAGTCCAGCCCCTCATCCCCACGGCGGGATTCATCTAGGCCTCAACCCCGCGACCAAAACCACCAATAACTGGCACATATCTGATTCTTTTGACGGCAAGGTTGTTCCAGAGAGATAGATTGATCGTCATTTTCGGTCATAAGGGATCTAGAAGTGAGAGTTGATGCATGGGAAAATCGAGATTCCCATTCTACATGCCGCTGCGGAAAGATTCGCAGAATGCAGTCTATGAGTGGCATGCAGGTTCCTCCTTTTGGTTTTTTCCGTTACAAATTGCGGTGAGGATGTTTTTGAAGACCATCAAAATGTATAAAGACTCTCATCCTTCTCGTAGGTTTTTCATTGGGCATTCACAACTCCTCCACATCTATTGAATTCATCCATTCAATCTACAAACACATTTCTCTACCTATTTTCAAAGTCAACATGAAGAATATCTTTTCTTTCGCCCTCCTAGCTGCTGCCGTCTCAGCTTCTCCATCGTCAAAGGATGGCCCCTCAGGCAGTTGCAAGTCTACACAAAATGCAAATTTTGACGACTTGACTGGTGTTCCGGCAGTCCAATACAACCAAATACCAGTTCCATATAAAGGTCTCAAATACCAAGGATTCAACTTGCTTGTAGTCGTCAAAACTGGAGTCGCTCCCGGAGTCGTTCCTCGTTCCGGAAACAACTATGGTGTGTCGAATGCTGTCACGAGAACAACTGGAGGTTCCCCTAGGTGGACTGCCGACAATCCAAACTCAGCTGTGAGACGATTTACTCCCTTGAGCTTCTATTACGGCTGCTCGATCGATCTTCAGAATGGAGTTGCTGCTGCTCCAACTGCTTGCGACATCACTATCACTGGTTACAAAGAGGGTGATAAACGAGTGGCTTCACAAACCTTCGCCTTCAGACCCGCCTCGGCCCTCAGTGTTGCGCAAATGACGAAAGGAAATTTTATTGGATCTTTCCAGGAGGTCCAATATGTTACTGTCAGTTACACTGTTGCTGCTGGATCACCTCTCAATGCCAGTCTGGTATTGCTTATGGACGACATCCAGTACGCAACTTGCTCGTCTATTGGAGGTAGAGATAATTAGATGGGTTGGAAGACAAATTGAGAGCCTTGATAGCTTCAAGGATATAGTGGTAACAATCATTCTTGAATCCTTTTGGTATCCAAATAAGCTACGAGGGTGATCCGACAAGCTCGCATGTATCTTTGTAAATCTTTCAGTGACCTAAAGATTACAACAATCGCTCAAAGGTCTACTGTACCCGTAATATCATCAGTGTCAAAGTGAAGATTGAAGATTGAAGCCACGTTTTCTAAAAAGTACCTCATATCATCTCCATAGTGCTGAATAATAGTGATGGAAAAAAGAGGGTTCCAGGCGTTAGCAGCCTTTGATAGCGTTTTACGTTCGGAAAAGATTGAAATTTGATGAAGGGGGTATGTTTGTGGAGTGCCGTAAATTTCAGGATGACTGGAAAGAGATTTGTACTCTGATGACTGTCAGATTAACTACTTTGGGCAGGAGCTTGTCTTATTGTAGACCTGTCATATGTTCTTTCTAGAATCGTACCGAATGGAACCAAGCTTACTTATGGGTTCATGTGATGGAAACCACTACCACACTAGTAAGGACCTACTGACAGCAAAAATTGATAAAATTCGAAGGGTTGTGAGGTTACTAGACGTAGAGCTACGAGTAATGTACATATCCTTACAATTTTGAGTTCACGGGCTTCTTATTCCCCCTCTTGCCAAAGGACTCATTAACCCACCATTTCCAATCGTCGTCCATCTTGGCTCGGCTACCGATGGGGATTTTACACATAGCTTCCCTTTCTCTCTTTTCTTCCTGTATCCAGTTTTCCATCTCTTTCTGTAACCACTCCTTGAAGATTTTGGCTACCTCCGTTGGCTTTTCAAAAGGCACAAAGTGACTACCATTCAGGACAAGCTCGTCAACTTTTCCATCGGCATGACCCCCACTTCCACCAAAGCCAGTCCCAGTAAGTTCCAGCTTATCAGCTCTCCCTTGTGATTGAGATGAAACCATATGAGTCCTTGAGCCATAAACGTATAGACACGACGGTTTAAGATGAGGGAGCTGAGCAAATGTCTGCGTTGGTACCGGATTGTAGAATATACTATCAGGATTTCGGTTTTCTAGGTCGAGATCTGGATATTCTGAACGTGTGGGGTGAAAAGAAGAGAGAGGGACACCAGATCTTGGGTGGGAGGGTCTACCGAAACTGAAAACCTCCTGATGTTTTGTCGTCGTCAAAGTTGTGGTCGTCTCAGTCGAATCCAGTGACCCAGTTGGTGAGTTTCGAAGTCCATGTTTGACAAAAAGAGATAGAGTTTCGGGATCCCAATGTTTGTAGAATGGGTGTTTAAGATACTAGTCTTCGGCTTCCTTTCGTGTGGGCCAAGTGTCCCTTTTGAACGTAATCGGGTAAGCACCTGTAAAATGCTTCTCAAGCCCATTTTTGTTGATCACGGGCTCGATGGCGATGACCGTGGTAAGAAGACGAGGATGGAGTAGAGCGAGATTGATCATTACACAACCACCCAAGCTATGTCCAATACCCACGATAGGTCTTTGCAATTCCTCGCGGAAGTGATTGACCATGAGAAGAAGATCCCGAGCATGGTCAAGATAGGAAGCTTTCCCACTTAGCACAACTTGCTATGGAGTGTTGTAGATACTTACGCTCTGAACCCAGATTTCTCTCGTTGAGAACACCACTTGCTCCTTGATTAGCAATATCAGCAAACCATATGTTTTTAATACTGAAAGATTCGTTTGATTTTGTGCGTTGAAACAATTCGTTCCATACTGGTTCATATAGTTCTTTTGGACACCCGCTAGCATGGCTTCCAATAATAGTAACGGCCGTGGAGTTCCTTGATTGTGAGTAACGAGGTTTGTACTGCTTAACAACTAACTTCAACTCATCTTCCTGGCGCTCAGAAGTACCCCGGGCATAGTGCCTGATGTGCTGTCCTGGAACGACATGTGTGATGCATTCATAATTTTCCGCCGACATGATTGATGTTATACAGCAGATTGCAAAACAAATTGGTATTTTGAAGATTTAAAATGGTTCAAATGTATCCTCCAAACATTCTACATGGTGGGATTAGATCTCTGCTGAAGAAAAAGATGGGCCGAATCGGTCTGACAAGCCCCCTTGCAGGTTGATTTTGAAGTGAAACCCATGAGCCCTCGCTTGGACAAATCCCTGTTAGAAAAGCTGATACCACGAGATTATGCATCTAAACTTTTGCGACGCTTATAATGACGATTTGATATCCGCGGTTTGTTCTTCCAGTTGGCGCAGCAGTAATTCTACTGGTCCGGAAAATCCGGGAATGAATGGTAATAATTGCATGTGAAGTGGTGTGGTTCAAGATCGACAGAGACGCATACAAGCCATATACGATTTCTTCAAGCCTGGTGGCCTAATCTATGGGGAGATACTCATTAATGATAAATTTCGTTGATACCCAGCTTTATAACCAGAACCGAGTGTGCATATCAAGGGAAATCCTGGAAAAATTGAAGTTAGAGTAAGTTTACAGATGGCTCTGCAAGGAGGGCCTTAGGTACTGTACCAAATTCGGCCAGCTTCATGAACCAACAACAATGCAATGGAGAAGCAGGCTCAGCTAGTCTCAAGTAGCCACAGTAGTATCAGCACTACTTGGGCGGGTCAAAGGTTTTTAGTCCAGACTAGAACAATACGAGCAGGGGTAATTGGGGGAGAGTCAGTGGCTTAGTGAAGGAAAGGGAAGAAAATTTGATGGCTGAGGATAAGCATAGGTAGGTGCCGCTCCGACCACCCCTCACCTTTTCAGCTCAAACAACTGACGGTACCATACAACAAGAACGGTGACAGCAACGAGCTGATTTTATTTCTCGACCTCAAAATCCATGGGTTAATTTCGTTACAATGCCACCCCTTGATTGTAAAGGAAACCTTGAACCACATTACTCGGAGTCTCCCGATCGCATCCACACTCATAAACTCATCCCGAATTCTGCTGGCAATTAACTCTAGCTGAGAAGAATGGATATGGGAACATATAAAGAGAAGCTTCTCATGGAAGTCTGGGGAATCGATGACGCACGAGACTATTGGCAAGAATGCCATCCAAACCCAACCGACAAACGAACCTTTGAAATCCTCCAAATATCTCCACTTGTGAAGGCAACGTACCTACCAGCGGCCTTCTCGTTTCCAAAATTCGAACGATATAACCGCGGTGAATATACCAAGGTCACTACTTGGGAATTATGGTGGGAATGCCGTGAGAGTCCGAGGCCTGGAACGACCTGGCATAAACCAGTCACTGAAGACAAGCGCATACAACCTCTGGGCCCTCCATTTGTCAGTCTGAGTGGACTGAATATTTGTGCCAACGGTGAAATCATCATTGGCCGATTGAATCCCGACTGAATGAGTAATGGTCTCAACGAGTCTGGGGTCTGGGCCCGTTATAGTACTAAGTACTCATTTCAGCCTCAGGAAACGCTAAGATTATCCGGTGGAAAGCGTAGAAGCAGACTCTTCTATGAAACTTGTGAGTTTTACTTTGCAGAAACTTGCGAAAACCCAGAACTACTCACAAGGTGATGTTTTGTCTGTGTTTTTCGTCTGTATGTGAACTATCCTGTACTAACATTAGCAGAGCGGTAATGAAAGCCATTCTATCCGTGTATTGTGTTAACACTGGACGAATAATGATGGCCATGGTTTTCGAAATTCTTTCTATTCTTTTCTTCCCAATCCAAAAATTTCCAAACAGATCTTATCGTCGTTATTTCGTTCCTGTTTTTATATCTTCATTGGGCGACTAGTGAAGATAGTTAACTATCGTGACCTACTTGGTACGATTCTGTCTGGAGACCAAGACTTAGTGCCAGTAACCGGTTCAGTCGAGCTCAAGTCTTCGCAGTCATCAATGATGCATATAATCATATCGTCATTTTCAATTACGCTTCATTAGAACCAGCCCCTCTCCAGCTAGCTGTTCTCTTCTGTCTTCTTATCCCAAACCCTACATAATTTCCCAACCCTCTTTCATTTTAGTTTTTCTCACCCTTCTTTACCAAACTTTCATTTTGAAAAGTCCTACGGGAAAAAAAAGGCACCATGAAGCCGTCAATCGTTATCGGATCTCTCTTGATCGCTGCACCAAGCATTAATGCGGCATCTTACTTCCCCCGCATAATAACAAATATAGTATGTCTTCTCGTTCGTAATCATACTTGACCATCAGATAAATCAGGAAGGCGAGTGGGAGGAATAGAAATACTAACCATGAAAACAGGGAAAGAGTGATATTGACATAGAGGAAGCCGACATCGCTGTCAACAAACGTCTCTGCTCAGATTCGATTCCCCTATCACTTAACCAAGCATTGAGCACCTCCAACGTGGAGATCCCAGCTGCCTCTGAAGGGACTTTGCAAGTTCTGAAGGACAAAATTGTTGCTTCATTGGGTCCTTTCCAGGAAAGTTTGACGGTTGAAAGCCATGCCGACATCAAGGCACGTCGCGACGCAGAGCCCGATGTTTCCATGGACGAAGCAAATTCCCTGCAGAAATGGCTCCATGGTATGAGCAGCTCCAACCAACATGCCGAGATCTCGAGGGCGTTCATGGGAAGCAATTCTCGAATCATGGGCCGCAATTACGATGGCGCTGATGAACACCGCGTCGTTCTGTCAAAGTACATCGATATCATCCGCAACTGCCCCATGTTTCCATCGCCTTCTACGGAGGAAATAACTATCCCGCAGGGAGAACTTGACGACAACAACTGGTGTCGCGTCGCCTTCGGTGATGTCGTCTTGAGAAACAAAGATACCCCTTCCACAATCGTTTCTAAGTTCAAGGAGTGGAAGGAGAAACTCATGCATCTCTCGCTCAAGGCTAAGAGAGATCGGGGGTTCACAATTTGGGACTTTGGCGAGCCCATTGAAAAGCGAGAGGACTTCTGGACGCAAATTGTTGAAACCCCTGAGCGGTTCAACGTCGATGAAAATTTAGACGTCGAGACCAAAGAGAATGGCGGCACATTCGAAAAGCGGGATGGCCCTCCTTTGCTGCCGTTTCCAGAAGAAGTCGAGAGGTTGATGAAATCCCTATTCGAAGGCGTTGAAAAGAATATTTTGTACAAGCACCCTTACGAGAGTGATTACAAGCGCAAGGAAGCTTGGGAAAAGTTTCAAGTAGCCAAGGGGAACTTCAAGGACGAGTATTACAAAAAGGCGTCCCCCTCTATTCATGGAAAAAGAGCTTGGTTTGACGATCTCCAAGACATGGCTTCAGACTTCACGGACAGGTGGGATTTCCTCGACGGTGATGGAAACGAGGAGGAGAAGGTTCAGAATGAGGCCCAGAACCAGGGTATTGACTGGGAGAAGATAAAGATCGACTTTTTAGATGAGTGGTCTGGAGACCATGAGAAGAGGGATAAATCAAGCTTCCAGAAGAGAGGTCGTTTCTGGTCCGATCGCGGAGATCCTTGGAATCGGAAGGAGGAAGATACTCCTGAAGGGTTTCATGCACCACCTGTCGAGACCAACAAAATGTTGGAACCTTGGTAATTCAGTCCCATTTCTTTCCACCAACTTAATCTGGGAACCTGGCGTGTATCTAGAAGCTCTTATCTTTTTGCGTTGAAAATCTACTCGTATCATCGCCATACAATTCTTGCTAACCATCAAAGAGAGAAAATGAAAGAACGATTCTAACTGTGACCCCCAAACAGGAAGAGATCATGGTGGTGTCCCTGGTGTGCAGATCCCGTTGTCGAAGAGCCACCACCAACTATTCACCATGAGATTCTTCCAGGCATAGAACTCGAGATTCCAGTCTCAAATGACAAACAAGGAGATACTGCGCCAAGCGGATGGCTCTGGGACGAAATCTGAGAAGGCTTGATCAATATTGGGGGCACGGTATATCATGTTCCTTTACCTTTTCAGAACCTATTACTAACATTTTCCCAGCTCGAGAATCTGAAGAATACATCTGTAGAACCACAGAATTTTCCCCCAGCGACAAAAGAACACGATGAAGTCGGCGATTCTGCGCCTAATGGGTGGCTCTGGAACGAGATTAGAGGTGGTTTGGTCAATGTCGAGGGACATGTATGTATTCCTTGACCTCTATCTACGTTTTGCGTGCATTTGGCTAACAGATATGAAAATAGTTGGTTGATGCCCACGATATCGTGGAAATTAACATCGATTGGAAGGAGAGGTAATCTATTCGAATAAGATAAATCTGAAACTTAAGGATGAGTAATGTTGTTCTTTTAGCATAAAGCCTAAGACAATTAGGTCTACAAAGGTTCTAAAAGGAGATAAAGCCAGTACGATTGTTGTGTGTTCTTAAACAATAAAATTCATTGAAAGATTTTGCAGTGTCCTATTCAGCCCAGTCCCCACTAATTATCTATGAAGTCACTCAACTCAACTACTCGGTTCATTACTTCGCCTAAAAACCACCGGAAAATTTCATTCAGCAGTATCTCTTCGGCCATGTAAGGAGAAGTTCAGCCCCAGTGTCTCACGGCTAGATGAAAGCATTATTATTATTGAATGACCAGAAACCCACAATGTCTTCTTTCAAGGTCCTTATCCCCGATGCGAAATACAGAATTGTTTAAACAAATCCCCTGTTTTCTTTCCCCCCTCACTTTAAACCCCCTACAGAAACCAACTAACAGCAAAGTTTCCCACGCTAGCAATAACATCAGACCTCACAGGTTCACCTCCGAACTACGCATTCAGAACGGCGGCACTCGAAGAATTCGCCGCAGCATTATGGACTGTAGTGGATGCTTTAGCACTCTCAACAACAGTGTGGGCAATGGTTTAGTTAGTTCGTTTATTTTCGTTCTATTAAACTGACCGGTCTTCTCAATTTTCTAGGGTGCTTTGTAGAGAATTTAACAAGCATATGTCCACTAATACTACAGGTTAGAGTTGTCGTAGCTATTTATACCTAAATAATTTAGTACACTAGTTTTTGCTATACCAACGTAATCATCTGAATTTCCATAGTAATGAACCACGATAACTTATCTTAACCCACGAAGATACTTATCCGTCTGGTCGTTGGTATCTGGATACAAAAGAAAAACCGCTTTAGATCAAAAAGAGCATTACGAGAGAAGTAAATGCTTTTGTACAGCTACTAAATAGCCGATTCCCGTAAAAGTAATGCTTCGTGTTGTAAAGCTACAACAAATTATCCAGCTCAGTCTTGCATTCTTCTTACTCAGTCTTACAATCTTAATCAAAACCACATCTAGTACCACAATATCGAAAACCAACCTAAAACTCCTCCGAGCAACCCGCACTAAATTGTAAACACTGCCTAAGAATAACCCCCGTAACCCCCGTCCCGTTCACACAAACCTCCGGCGCAGGTGCCATCGCATCTCTGGCAAACGTAATATCCGCACACTAATCCACCATTAGCCCTTCACATTTCCACAGCCCCATTTCTTCCCTCCCCTAAAAAAGAAAGGGTTGTATATACTCACATTATACAAAGCCTGTCCACTGTCATCACTCGTAAAAACCTGCACACTCGCCTCCTGTCCATCAACAACCACCAGATTGAGCGGTAGCTTCACCAAAGGCAAACAATATGTTCCATTTCCCGTGACATATAGCAATTCGGGCGTAAGCGAGATGTTGAAATCGGGGTTGGAGCCCCCGAGTCCGAGGTTGATGGATAGGTATGTCCAGGGGTGGTGCAAGTCGACGGATATGGCGCCGCCGTTTAAGGGCCAGAGGGTGCGGGGTGTGGAGGGGGTTTGGCTGATGTTTGCGCCTGGGTATGAGTAGTATATGTATGGGATTAAAGATTTGGAGGAGGTGTGGTTGGAGTGGGAAATTTGAGGATGTTGAGAGGTGAAAGGGGGTGAACGGACATGGATAGATCAGTTCGGATGCTCCTTTTGCGAAGGGATCGCCTCTCGCTGCTGGGTAGGACAACGTGAAGTGGGATGTTGCTACTGTTGTGACGCAAGGATCGAGGTGAGGGGTTGGAAAAACATATCGACAGTTTCCCCTGACTGTATTATTTGAGTGAGTCGTCTTTATCAAATTGGAGAGGACAGATTTAAAATCCCGAATTATGTTAAGGAGTAGATATATCCTAAGTTTGGCCGCATCTGGATGGATGGATAGACAAAAGAACGCAGAGAAGAGACAGAGCGACTTAATATACCCCCTTTCACAAACCTAGAAACTCCCTCAAAACCATCTCTGGGGCGGCCACGCGATGCACCTTATTAAGTCCATTCAACCCATCAACCCATCAACCCATCCACCCATCCACCCATCCACCCCTCATACCTCCCGAGATGCAT